CCAAGACTCTATGTTCTTTTACAACCGTCTGACACAGAGCGACCCCAGTTTCTTGATCGTTGTGAGCATCAACACGGCCGCCTCTAGAGTAACGTGGAGCATGGCCAAGGACAACGCTTTTCCATTTTCCAACCGCTTGGTTAAGATTAACAAGAGACTTCAAACTCCTCTCAACGCCATTTTCACCACCATTGGCTTTCAAATCGTCATTGGTACGCTTTGCCCATTTTCTGCTCCTAATGTCATTGTCCGCATATGAAACTGACCCTAAGAAATATCATAGGCCTCGTAGTGTTCGGGAGCCAGAATGCTTTCCAGACCATCGTGAGCTTGGGAGGAGTGGCCATTCAAATTGGATACTTTGTTCCTGTTGTGCTGGTAAGTAGAAACACGCCAAGCCTTCGACAGTGTAGTTCAAAGGAAATGAAAAAGTGACAAAGGAGCTAACTGACTTGCCACACAGCTTCTTCTTAAGGGTCGTAGCGTCCTGCCTGCCGACCGGGCTTACAACCTTGGGAGATTTGGCTATGCTATTAACACTGGGGCTGTTTGCTGGGCTGCACTCATTATTACAATGCTGTGGTACGTTTCCATATTGATTTCGTTAAGGACACAAATTTGATCGCCATTGCTCACGAACTCTCCAGTTTCCCGCTCGTGTTTCCAATTACTTCTTCCAATCTCTGTAAGAGCTCAACTCCATCTTTTCTACTCTCCATTGTTTCTTCGAGACTGACATCAAGTACAGTGGAGATGAACTGGTCCATTGCTGTGTTTGCTGCGGCCGTCTTGCTCGTTCTTGTAGATTGGATTTTCCGGGCTCGCTTTCACTACCAAGATGAGATCTCTAGCTGAGAGACATTTGAATCACTACAGAGGTTTTGGTTTGTTGGTTGATATTATCAACATAAGATTTAGCAACGGCTCGTTTAGCATGTAGTACAATAAATGGCAGAATATCCATGTTCATCATGATTTTTGTAGAGCACGTTGTACCAGCCTTGTGGAAAGCCGCAAAACTATGGCACCAACCGTCCGAGAGCGGATGGTGACCTAGGTAATATCTCTTTCAATTTGGAGATCGATATCACATGAGTTTTATGTCACTCGTGATGGTATGTACCACTTAAACCAGTGTTCTTCTTGCTGCTGCTGTTTTTCTTTCTTGACAGGATTCACGAGCTATGTTTGTCTTTTATAAGTAGATTCGATCTAATCGATTACGAATTCAAGTTCACATGAACAGCTTTGATGTTTGAATAAGCAGCCAAGCCCGCCTCCCCAAGCTCTCTTCCAATACCACTCTGCTTCACCCCACCAAAAGGAATTCTCCAGTCTGAATCTTGGCTGGAATTAATCCAGACCATACCAGCCTCAATCTTCCTTGCTGTTCGATGTGCCCGTGCCAAGTTGGATGTGAATATGGCACTGCCTAGACCGTATATGGTTCCATTGGCTAGTTGAACGGCCTCTTTTTCCGTGCTGAAGCGTGTGATGACGACAAACGGTCCAAAGACCTCTTCCTGGAAGACCCTCATGCTCTCCGTGACTGCGGTGAAGACTGTAGGCTGCACAAAGTACCCGTTGCCCAAGTTTGGAAGGGTTTGGCCCCCCAGCTCGAGTCTAGCTCCTTCGTCTTGTCCAATCTTGACGTACTCGACAATTCTTTCCTGCTGGGCTTTTGTAATTTGCGGTCCCTGGTAGGTAGACTCGTCGAAAGGGTCGCCAACCTTGGAGATTGCACGGACCTGCTCGAGAAATTTGGCCAAGAACTGATCATATATGCCGTCTTGGACCAGGATACGCGAGGTGGCGGTGCAGATCTGCCCTTGGTTCGACATGATACCAGCATGAGCCCAGTACGACGCCAGGTCCAAGTCGGCATCGTCAAAGACAATCAACGGGCTCTTTCCACCCGTTTCCAATGTGATGCTTTTCAAATTGCTGCTTGCCAGTTTCATTATCACTTTTCCGGTGGCAGTGGAACCGGTAAAGGCAATTTTATCCACGTCTTCGTGTGCGGCCAACGCGGCGCCAGCAACTCGGCCTAAGCCGTTCAATACATTGATGACACCGGGAGGGAAGCCAGCTTGGGGGATAAGATTGGCAAGGTAGAGAATCGACAGCGGTGTCTGCTCTGCGGGTTTCAGAACTACTGTGTTTCCGCATGCGAGGGCGGGTCCCAACTTCCAGGCGGCCATAGCGAGCGGGTAGTTCCAGCTAAAACTGTTGTGAGTAAAAAAGGAAACGAAGAGGGGGCAATATGAAGCCCAGGATAGTGTTTATGAGGATTCTTACGGAATGATTTGTCCACAGACCCCAACCGGGTCGCGGATCGTATAGGCGAGTTTTCCGGGCGTGGTCTCGATGACCTGACCAAAGATCTTATCTGAAAATCCGCCGTAATACCGCAACGTCTGGACGACTTCAGCGATATCTTCATTGAGGGCCGCCGTGTACGGCTTGCCATTGTCCCAGGTCTCAATGGCGGCAATGGTTTCTCGGTGCTCTTCGATCAGATCGGCCAAGCGATTGATGAGCTTTCCCCTCTCTGATACGCAGAGGTCGCACCAACTGGAATCTTGGAGAGCTTTTCGAGCAGATTTGACAGCGGTATCAACATCTTGCTCTGTGGCAGCAGAGACTGATGTGATTTGTTGATCGTTTCTGCAGATATGTCAATGATCGGTTCAGATATTCGTACCTTCTCAAGACTCTATATCACTTACGCTGGGTTAAGAGTGGTAAGTTTCTCGCCATTTGATGAAGCAACCCATTGATTGTTGATGAACAGTCCTGTTGGCTGAGAATACTTGACGCCATTTGGCGCGGTGAGCTCAACCGCGAGATTTAATGCCATCGTGGAAGCCTAGTACAAATAGGAGCTACAAAAAAAGATGATAAATTAGTCTTGTTTCTTTCTTCTCTTAACTTCTATAAGAGTGTCTAATATTATATATCTACGAATTTGTACAAATACGACGCCCTTCATAATTGATATCTCCCGGTCTGGCGACTCTCGGACTCAATGTCCACTTAGACAGGCTTGGAACACTCTCAATCTCATAGTGGGCACTCTCTTGTGCAAGCTGTTGCCCGAACTGGGCACTTAAAGTGAGCGATGCTAAGTAGCTATGGCACAAATATGCTCCAAACGGCAGCACACAGAGAAGCAGATAAAAAGACAAGGAAGAAAATCCTCTAATCAGTCGTCGGCGGACTGATGCAGGTAGTGGAGAACTTCGAGGTGAGGGAAGTGTCATCTGACAAAGGGCCGAGGATGGTGTGGGGTTCCCCAATATTGTCCAAATTAGGAAGCAATAGTGAGAATAAAGGGACGTATCTTTTTCCCTCGGAATCTGATCGGGAGTAGCATCTCATTATGGGGGTTCGACGATTGGTCATGGGGGGACTTGTTCTGGGGCTGATCTAGATTTTCTCAGAGTACCTACAAGTATGCTGGAACTGTGAATGATGTACATGTATGCATGTATTGTTGTTCTCACGATACCATCACTCACAATCACACCATCCCCCGCTCTTTAATAAATATAGAGACTCGTTTGCTGGTCCCGTCCTCTATTACTAGCCGGTATTTGAAGCTGTAATTTTACCAATACTGTTTCGTTTTTTCAAAAATCATGTCTGGAGCACTCGAAGGCATCTACGAGCCCGGAGTCGTTGACCCTGGGCTCCCTGTCGCCAATAGCACTGCATCATTCTGGCACTCCAAGAGCCATCCTTTATCAGATCACCAGTCCTCCTGGCCATCTGGGCCTGTCGATGTCGTCATCATCGGGTCTGGGATTTCAGGAATGAGTATTGCTCGTACACTCGCTACCGAAGCTCCTCAACTCCGGGTCATCCTCGTGGAAGCCCGCGAGCTGTGTTCGGGCGCTACGGGACGCAATGGCGGTCACTGTAAAACGATGACTTTTGCCATGTGGGAGGAGCGCAAAGCTTCCTTCGGCATTGATGAAGCAATTCGAATTACGGAATGGGAGGACAGCCACTTGGGTGCCATGTCTACGGCTATTCGTCAAGATAAAATTGACTGCGACCTTGTCCTAACGGATGGCATCGAGGCATACTATGATCAGACTAGTTTCCAGCGTGCTGTGAAAGCACTAGAGGACATGCGCGCTCATTTACCCCAGGTCGCGTCAAAACATACTGTTCATACAGACAGTGCATTTCTGCGTGACACTCTGAAGCTATCAGATAAATGTGTCGGCGCCATCGCTATCCCTGCAGCATCAATCTGGCCATACAAATGGATCAGCTCCGTCATGGCTAATTTAGTCAAGGCTGACAAGATCAATCTTCAAACCCATACCCCGGTACACGACATAGTGGACGACGACGACAAGGACTACGCTGTCGTTAAAACATCGAGGGGTGATATCCAGACAAAACACGTCATTCATGCAACCAATGCTTGGCTGGGCCACTTACTACCAGAGCTGCGCTCTTACATCTCTCCCGTGCGAGGCAACGTCGTCCGCTATGCACCAAACGAGAAAACAATGACTTCGGCCCTGGGCCTGGGTCCTGACTACTCTCTCTGGCTTCGTTACGGAGACAAGGACTATGACTATCTCATTCAGCGCAAAGCGGGAGACGCCATCGTGGGCCGGGCCAACACTGGACGGAAAGCTACAGCAGACGACAGCACGACGGATATCTCCGCCATGGCGCATCTTCGCGGCTTTGCGGACGAAGCGCTGGCTTCGCCGGACCGTGGCTCGTCTGCCAACATCACGCATGCCTGGGCCGGGATTCTCGCCTTCTCCCAAGATGCCGTACCCTTTGTTGGACGACTCCCGTTTCCGGGACGAAAACACCAGTGGGTGTGCGGTGGCTATCATGCAACGGGCATGATCAAGGCCTTTCGCGCTTCGCAGCTCTGTACGCGCATGGTGATGGGTCGGGAGATCAATTATGAGTACCCCCAATCCTTCCTGGTCACGAAGAAGAGGATACACACCCTGAGACAGTCTTTGGACAGTGGGAAGATGCCAGTGTTCTATTCTGCAAAAATGTAATGATGAGATACTGTTCCATGCTACTAGTATACAGAACACCAATAAACACTTAATCCACACACATATTCAGAAGCAATCACCTTACATGACAAACAACTTCTCCTCTGGTAATAAACATGCCCACTTCTCAGGTAACCCTCGACCCCAAATACGACGAAGAAAGTCAACTGCCTTCAGTAGGTTCATGAAGCCGTTCCGAGCATGGTGCCGTCGAAAAAAAGACTCAAAGTAATCCTTGTGTACATCAATCGTACAATCAGACGCAGCTACAAAGGAAGCCCACAATAAAACATGTTCACCCGGTTGATCTTGTGGAAAGCACTGTAGCGTGTCGATGAAGGCCTGGACGCGCGCAACTGATCGCGCCGAGACGAACGGGTCTTCGCTAGATCTTTGCAAAGGTGGTGTCTGATTAAGATAGATTTCGCGTGCCTGGTGGATTAGACTGATGGCTGTGGTGATGACCTGTTGATGTTTTGGCTGTTGCTGTGCGCAGTAGTTGAGACATTCAAACACTTGCATCATGCGGACAGGTGACTGCATCGTTTGCAGTCCATTCTCCTGGCTGATCAGTGGTGCTGCGTAGACAAAGAGCCTAGTAGACAAAGTTAGTCACCTCATACGCAGCGCCAAATGGAGCAGAGGGGGGCAGGAGGACATACTTGTGAATTTGGCGAACCAAGAACGCTGCTAAATCGCATTGTCCCAGGCCTTGCTCTCCTCCCAGCGCGTCAAAAGCGGACTGCAGCATGCGGAACAAAATCGGAAAATCTTGATCGCCTGTCACCATAGAACTCGTCAACAGGACCATGATGGTGACGAGGATTGGGAGCTGACTGGCGCCATCGTAAGACATAAGCTGCCGAGAGTGAAGTCCCTTGATAGCACGTGCGTAGAGGTGACGAGGGTTCAGACCCGGACCTGGGAATTGCCACTGGGACACAGCGTCCTCAGCAGATGGGCAGCGCGTGTTGATGGAAGAGAGGCACAGATGGAAACACGAAACGGCCAAAATAGCATCTCGCACCAAGGAGTCGGTTCGTGCCATGGGTAGAATAAGATATCTCCAGCCATTGTGTGGACCGTCCAGAATCATCATTTCTGGCGCGATGTGCCGGGAGACTAGTTGTAAGGAACCGTCAGTGTTCATACAAACCCCGAGCCACAATCCCTGAATTAATTCAACTTTCATAAATGACTCACAGTAAAGAAGCATAAACTCGTTGGCCGAATCAAGGCCTTCTGGAGAAGGTGGGGAACGGGGAGGGCTGAGTAGAGTTTCTGTAGCTTTCATATATCTACTCTCCGATGACACTTCGTTTCTCGACGGGTCATTTGTTTGATCAGGCCACTGGGGTAACAGTAATGGCATCAAATCTAATGTTAAGTCCGGTGCGTTCGGTTCAGGGTCTATGGTCGGCATGAGCTCCAGTAATTCGTCATTAATTGTGGTCCAATCCAGAAACGTCAGGGACACCGTGGAAGAAGCGACTGTTTCCCCGGCCGAATCAGGTCGTAGATTTGGTGCAAAGTCGAAAGAATAAGGTATGTCTTCTGCGCCGCATGGTGTCCACAAGTCATGAGTGAATGCATCTTGGTGTAGTGTGCATGCTGCGGAAGTAGAAGTGGTGGCAGCAGCATCTTTTGTAACAGTACTAGTAGCAGTGGCAGTATTCGACTTTCTGTTGGACAAATGTTCAGTATCTGATTCAAGCCTGAAACCCCATCGTAACTCACTCATGTCTCTCATTATCATCATCTTCATCTTCATCATCAAAAACAGCTTGCATAGTCTTGCCGGCCCATTTACCCCTGGAAGCTACTCCGTGAGCGAATCGATGGCGGACCCCGAAGCCGCTGCACTCAAGGCCCTTTTTCTGGCATTTGCGGCAATATGGTTTTGTACGATCGCATCGAATCCGCCGTTTCATACATTCAAAGCAATCTGGTTGCCGGCTCAATCGAATCAGTACATAGTTGCATGTTTTAATAAATATGGATGATTAGCTCACTCACCCCGGATTTTAGGAACGTGGCGTTGGGTTTGGCCTGGGACCGACATGAAACAAGTAATGAAATGCAATTGCGTCGTAGGATGTAAGACGGTGCGTGGGGCAGATAATTGCCAATGTGACGATAAGTAAGAAGCGCCTATACTTGGTTGGGCACTCTCAACAGAATAGGAAAAGAAAGAAAGAAAAAAACGCCGGATTGCTTCAGTTTGGAGGGAGATATCTCACACAGTGCGTTATTAATTATGGGGCCTGTGTAGGTTCTCCATTGTGATCGCATCTCTGAGTGGAGCTACCCCGCACTTCAAGTGCTTTGCCCAATTTCAATCTTAACAAAGCTGCCACCAAGATGAGAGAAGCGAGGAAAGCTAAAGGGGAGGTGAGGTCGTCGGACGAATCTGAATCTGACCATGAGATCTCCGAAGGTCCCTTACCACAATCAGTCAGTCCGCGACGTGCCCTTTTGCTCATCTAATCGGACAGGTTCGAAGGTTTTACCTCAGCTGTTCAATCGCAGAGTCGTCCTTCAACCCGAGACTACAGACGTAGCGTATTGGCTGATTTGCATACGCCATGTCTTGATACGGGGGTAATGGTATCGCCCCGCCCCTCCACTACCACCGCCCTATTGGTGTACAACTGCTCCATAACCAGAATGGTCTGTTCCCACCTTAGTAATACAATAATGCCAAGCCACACCGCCCTGCTTCTCATACGCTGTCATGATAACCCTGCTCGTCCCCTTGTGCCCAAACCGAGATGGCGTACTCTAAATCTGAGAGGAAACGTGTCTTCCTTGCTTGGCGCAGGGTGTTTTCGTCGCAAGGTAATTACGCTATACGGAAGTCGAAAGCTATTCGCGCCGTTATTGAACGATATAGCCAATCAGCGCTTTTGTATCAACCGAATCTAGTCGCCGTGCTAAGTCTCTGCTAGAGGACAACGCCTTCAGAGGCGAGATCTACGCACGGGAATTATTTCCCGAACTTTATCCCCAGACGGAGGCGACGGAGGCTACTAGCTCTCGTCCTCGTTCATCTTTCGGGATGGAAGTACCAAAAAAAGAGCTACTAGACTCCTTCAAGAAGTATTTCAGTCCTCCCATGCAATGATACTCGCTAGTATTTATTCTAGTGGGCAGTACTCGGATTTCACAATTACCTGCAAGGGAAAACGCTTCCAAGTACATAAAGCTATTGTATGTCCCCGGTCTGGGTTCTTCGCTGCAGCTCTTCGTACGGCCTTCAAGGTTGGTTCAACTTGTCAACCCTGCTACTATTCCTAACGTTGTTTGTGTAGGAGGCATGTGAAGGAATAGTCGACCTTGCAAGTGATGACCTTGATATTGTCGAGATAATAATTCACTACTTTACCATCTTGATTACGAACTTCTACCACAACGGCGTCACGCGGACACTGGAACCAACGAATTGGAGCAACCACGTTGTCTGTCAACACATGCTAAAGTTTATTCTCTTGCAGAGAAGTATGCTATCGTTGGTCTTAAAGCTCTTGCACTCGAGAGATTCAAAGCAGCGACTTCAAAGCACTGGGAAAACAAGATCTCCCCGGAGCTGCCAAAGAGGCTTATGTATCTACTATGGAGACGGACCGAGAATTGAAGAATGCTGTGGTTAGGGCGTACTATGCACGCTCTAAGTTGTTAGAGCATGAGGAGGTGCAGGCAGTTTTTCAAGAGCTGCATACACTCACCTATGATCTCTTAATGTACGTATCCTTGGAGAAAAGGTCATTTTGAACTGCACTACTAGCGGGGTGTAGTATGTCTGATAGTCTTGGATGATGGGATTTTGGTACCCGGGCAACACCGCATGATGGTTATATTATTTCATATCTTCGGAAGTTAGCGTGAAGCTTTGAAGGAAAGATATCCACTATAATGTACATTGATCTGCAGGTACAACCTAGGCCCGTGGCGAGGTCGACGTGGTGGTTTCCAGGATGTCGTGGGGAAGAAGCTTCTAAGGTGGCACGATGCCGAGCATCAGTTGTACGCCGACATGGCAGACGATTCGATAGCCTTAGATAGCAGCGACTTTTCCATAGAATAGGGTGACTGTAGATGAGTCATTGTCCGAGGATAGGTTGATCCCAAAACATGGCCTCTCATAGCCTGAATGTTTATCAGGCTCGTTATCAGGGCACATCACTAGATTTGATGGGCCTAAATTGAGGACTCGAGACCTAAAACTTAGTCATCAGTATTCATAATAGAATTCGCTGGAACGTTCCTAATCAGGTGAAACTCTTTACATTCCTAGGGCACAATTTCCTTCTTTGGGAAAAAATCTTATGTTTTAATGCTTAATTTATGGCTTATCTTGAGGCTGTGCCGAATGATATAGGAGAGATCTCTGCCCTCAGCTACAGCTACAGGGTAAGCCCTAGCTTATTATATTCGGTGTCCTTCTTTATCTCCTCTCTACTATTTGTTATTTTGTTTGAAAAAAAAAAAAATACACCGGTAGTATATTCTATTATTATAATACAACATATATCTGTAGAATACTAGTACCTAACTCTTACAGCGTTACTTACGAGGCTAAAGCAAAGGCAGTACAGCAGGATTATTATATCGATACTCAGGACTACTGAATGCGGCAACCCGGCTCCTCGGTAGCTGTCAATATACCCTAACAACTAGCTATCTTGCTTTGCCACTCGCCCCTTTCCCCTTTAATTTTATAGTAAAGGAGTTATAGTATAAACTGTAGTCTTATCTATTAGGTCAGATGATGGGCATCTTACTGCGGCCCCTGTCTATCTGAGGAATGAGTCCTACGGACGTGGGCTATTAACAGTTATATTAACTGCGCCAACTCGACGTACCAAAGTAGCTCCTACAGCTTAATCGGCGACTGGTATGGTTCTGGGAGGTTTTCGGGCCCTAATATATCTTAGGGCTGGCTATCTGCTCGGGAGGCTAATCTTGACCGTTCATTGTATTACACGCAAGAGATTAGCATTGATGTGACGAATACATGGTTATTTAGCCTTCTGTTTTTATCACCCGCGCCTCCTCCTTAATTCCGAGGTATGGTATAGAGATAGCAGAATAAAAGTCTTAGTGAGGAAGTTATAGCTACTGAGATATATTATATAATTATATAGAATACCTTCTTACTACTTACTTAAGGTATTTTTATATAATTACTAGTATTACTATTCTGTATTATTAGTAAGCTTAGTTTCTACCCCAGCGGGTATAGATATCTCCTAGTTACTAGATATTAGGAAGATTAATCTTTATCTATTACTACTAGTTTATATATAAGCTATAGTATATTAGAAGGAATATACTATCTATATCTTATAACTTAGTAGCTTTATAATTAAGTTAATAATAGAGTAACTAAATATATACTTAGGAATAAAGAGTAGGCTTAGATTTTAAATAGATAGAGAAACTAAGATATAATAGTTAGATAACTTATACTAAATAGGGTCTAGAGTAGATTAGAGTTAAACTAATTAAAGTATTATTCTGAGTAGTATAATTAGATTATTATAGATTATATAATAAAATTACTATTAATATATAAGTATTATAAAGCTAGTAATAATAGATATATAGATAATATTATTAATAACTATTTAAAGAAGTATTCTATCTAGTAAAATAAATAAATATATATACTAGATAGCTTATAGGGGCTTATTAGTAATCTAAAGTAAATTAGATTATAGATTATATAAGCTTACTAGTAATCTAGAGTAATCTTTTCCTTATTAATAAGAATAATAAGATATAGTATATAATACTAGGGGTATTTCTTTATTTATAATATTATATTAAAAAGCTAGTAGCTTAATATTTATTAGAACTAAGGTATTCTATAATATAATATACTTAGTAAGAGTTAAAAATAGTTTATTATAAATATATTTTTTTTTTCTAAATTAAAAAAATATTAAGCTTAAAGAAGAAATATATACTAATTTATATATTTATTCCCTCTGAAAGTACTAGATTAATAGAACTTAAATAAATATAAAAAAATAATTTCTGCCTATTTAATATATAAAATCTAATAATATTCACCCTATAGTTAGTATAATTAGGAATTGAAGCTAGTATGACAATGGAGAAAACCCGCTTCATAGTTGTCCCGAACTAACGTCTACCGTTTTAAGATCAGAATTGCTGATGCTTCTTAAGAGTATCTTCGTCGCGGCGCCATTGATAGAAGCTAGGCCCTTTTATACTCTTATGGAAGCGGTGTATCCCCTCCATTTAGGCTACGGGCAAGTTTCGCTTTCTATAGCCCGTGGTGGGAGGAGCTTTCCATATTGAGTTCCAGTTCCCCTACCCCTGCTTCAATCCCTTGGCGACGTGGCAGGCAATGGAATAAGCCATTTCATAATATGTCTAACTCCATTGAAGATACAAACAATAATTTAGGCAAAAGGAATTCTACCTAGTGACCCATACATAATACACAACTATCCTTCTCTTGGGTTAGCATAAATTGGTAGCTAATAAGTCGCTGTTTGTAGCGGGTCTAAGCATTCAAATACTGGATACTAAAGTTTGCATTGACTCGGTGTCATGGCTCCTATACTAGTCTCAAAAGGGCAGCTTAAAAGAGACTCTTATGTGGCTTTGGGTGAGCAAATGGACCAGCTTTGACGACCCCGTTTGATTCCCTAGTTTGGAACTAGCTCCAGATCCATTCTTTGAATAAGGGATTAGCAATTTCGCTGATGCTATTTTGTCCTTGGACAATATCCCGTCTGGGGTTTGCAATGTATTATCGATGTCTTGCTGTGTTACAAAAATTTTAGCGCATAGATGTTTCTGAAACAAGCTATTCCTGGATTTTTTTTTCCTTGAGGTAAAGGTACCAGCATACGCAAGGCGTGCCAATTGGGACAGATTTGAATTTATGAAGGTGCAGTTTTGATAAGCTCACAGTGCAAGGCGCCCAAAGCCTACAAGGCTTTGGACGCTTCTCGTTGAATTTGCAGACATTCAAGCTAGATATGAGACGGATCACATACATTGAACACAACGAGATTGAAGGTCTGGTGACAGAGGATACCGGCTGGCCCCCGCTGAGTGCCTCGAGTAATGACGTGGTATTATTAGTGGATTTTCATTATGGCCTGGGGGTTGCAGATTGCGGGGTAATGTTCTAGGTTTCCGGGGTACGCTTCCTAATCAACCAGCTATCCCGGGTTCTCGGACACCAGCTTTCATCAACTTATTTCACATTTCAACCTCTTCCAAACCACTTCCGCAAACTCCATATGGCGCGTATAAGAGCAGCGCACCGGAAGTCGCGGCAGGGTTGTCTTCGATGCAAGGCTAAGAAGGTAATGTGTATACCCCTACCTTCAACAGTCGTGAGCTAATTCATGAGCGTCACCTGGCCGCAGACCAAATGTGATGAAGGCAAGCCTGCATGCTCACGATGTATAGACCGTGGGTTTCAATGCCCCGGTTACTCTCTCAACATCAGATGGCCCCAGGAATCTCGGGTTCAGACCCAGTGCGGCTCGCCGATAGGTGCTAGGCCCTCACGAAGCCCACGGCAGTGCATGACTGCCGTTGCCCAAAATGCTATCGAACCTATTTTTGATGGAAATATGCCTGGTCCTGTTGAGAAAAGTGCAGACGTCGTTGAACTCCGGCCAAATGGAGATGAAAATGGGGAAAATCATTCAGTCCAACTTATAGATTCCTTTCCCACAGAATATGACTGGAGCTTTTGTGATATCAATGAGCCTACAATTTTGGAAGGCTCGCTAGCACCACCCACCCAGGTGCAGAATGCAGATTTAGCCCAATTCCCCAACGCAGAGCCTTGGAATGCCACCTATCAATTCGGTGTCGAAGACGATTATTTCTACGGGGCGAGTAACCGAAACCATTACGATGGGCCGCCTGGGACCATGACAAGGTCAGACCGACAATCTAGCATATGCCAAAGTCCTGCATATGAACCCATACATGAAACTGATAGTGCGGGGAGAAGAGTATCCGATTTTGCGGAAAGCCCACCAAACGAGGTGATAAATTTGTCGTCAGCACTTTCTGACTTTTTCTTCAGAGAAGTCATTGCCCTATACTGCACGTGGGACAGTAGTGCAAACAATATGCGCATTTTGACTGGAAACATGTGGCAGTCATCCGGCATTATATACCACACTATCCAAAGCATGGCTGCCTCCTGCTTGGCCGGGAATTTTCCCCATCTGGCCGCGGTAGCCAAACGAGAACGTTCTCACGCTGTCGATCATCTACACGGGAGAGTCAAGGCTGTAGTCAGCAAAGAAGAGAGGCTTCTATCGCTGATGCTCCTCGGCCACACCGCCAGCTGGTTCGACCCTCACGACCTTGGCCAGGACCAGTTTCATGATGCGTGGATCATGACCAATTCTTGGGCCTTGGAGATGCAAAAAGATTCAAATTGGCCTTTCTTCGAGCAAAGCATGGATAACTGGTCTATGCTTCTTGCCTTTTTAACCGATAAAGGCATTGATTCAGTGATACCACCGCTGTCAACCGGCCCCGACCAGCCGACACAGAGCACAATGCCCCATCCTTTCAGTGGTATTTCTCACCAGCTGGCTAAGTTGGTAACTTATACCGGGCGTTTGGTATTTAGAGTTCGCAAGCGTTTGTTGAATGTCATATATATGACGGAAACTGATATGGATGATTTTCGTGATTGGTTTCGCGAGGCACGCAGCATTGAACGGAGACTATGTGCCTATATTCCGATGAATGTCTCTTGCATGGTGGACCCGGGTGACCCTACAATCTCACTGGACCACTTCCAACAAATGGATCAAGCATTTCAGTATATGGCATTGCTACAGATATACCGTGTCTTCCCCGATTTGCTTACCGAACGATACCAACCCTGGAACACCCACGCGATCCTTCTTCCACAGGCTGCGCTCAAGAAACCAACACGCGAAGAAATGGACGCTTGGCTGACTGAACTAGCAATTCATATACTTTCTATATTGCAAAAGATCCCATTCGAGTCGCCAACACGCTCTGTTCAGCCGTTTATTTTCACTGCAGTCTCAGGCGAGCTCAAATATCCACGACATCCAGTCGATCTTTCCGATGGTGTTTCTGCTCCCTTTCAGCCTATCGACCAGGCCTCAATCAAAGTGGCGAGAGCACGACAGTTTATATTGTCACGCTTGTCAGCATATGGCAATATCTTGACTGTTGGCAAAGTGCAGCAGATATGTCGACTAATCAAAGCCGTGTGGGATGCACTCGACGCAGGAGATGCTGATGTCTACTGGGTGGATGTAACTTACAAGAAACAGCTGGGCACAATGATGGCATAACTGCGTGAGTTTGAAGTTTGTAGTATAATTCTACGTATGATTTTCCATGATTCTATAATTTGCTTTTTGCTGGAATTTGCGTTGTCTTCGGAATTGCATCAAACTTACTGAGGAGGTTGGCCATGCTCATGGCTTGCTCAACACGTGCTTCGGAAATATAGTAGCACTTTGGGAACCATTCATCCACCTCTTGGCCCAGAACCATCTTAGCTAGAGCTTGGCCGGTTAACCAGCACTTATCCATACCATAACCATTAAAGCCAGCAGCAATCCATTCACCAGTACTACCCGGTCTTCCTGTGACTTTTTCTGGAATCTTTCCAACTAAGGGAAGCCCATCCGTGGTGTGGCCCTGAATGCCGGCCCAGATACCTTTGATACGCCCCAGCTCGGCTTTGCCCCATCCCAAGAAATAATTGGGCAGGAATTTAGAGAGCTCTTCCCATGAATCAGAAGAAATATATGTATCATCACTGCTGAGGGTATCTCGTAGATGCGAGACCTCAGTCCCAACCCAGATGTCGCCCGTGTGAGCATTCTGCTGAAGGTAAAACAACCCAGATTTGTACATGCCTGTGTCTGGGTCAAGCGACTGCTGGTTCATCCCACTCCAAGAACGGAAATCTCCCTTATTGAGTGTCGGGCTGGCCTCTTGAACAGACATAGTACCGCGGAAAGGATAGACCTTGCCTCGGAGGGGTGAAAGAAGATGTGACGCAAATGCATTCGTGCAGTGGATGACTTGTCTGGCTCGGATGCTGCCCCGAGGGGTAATGACGGTATATGGGTACTGGTTCACGTACTCATGGACAACTGAGTCGTATGTTATGTCGGTTACGGGCGTGTTTGCTTCAATTGACAGCCGATCAGGATATTTCTCCAATAGTCGCGCATAAATTCCTGTTAATAGGCGATAAGGCCAAACCGCACCAGCGGGGTGCTCGATAGCTCCAAAGCCGTCTTTGACATTCCAACGCTACATTCACAGACCAAATATTAGCCTCAACGCACGCTCTCTACACCATGACTGAAAAAAATAATATAGCTCACCTCGGCGAGATCCCCCTTCTCAATAATCCGGTGGTAAGTCTTGTATTCTTCAACGGCCTTCTGGAAGTCTTGAACAGACTTCTTCGAAGCCTCCCACGTAGCCGCATCTTGGGCGACCATGACCTTGATGACGTCTCTGATCTGACTGTACTCTTGGAGCTCTGGATCCATTTTACGAACCATTTTCAAGATATAGTCAATATTCATGATGCTGAATCGGGTAATTTCCTTGGCAGTTTCTTCGCCGTAGTCATTGGCCAGCTCTCCGTAGGTATGGCCAGCGGCAGTGACAAGATGTCCACCATTTCGGCCTGTAGCGCCACTCACAAGCGTCCGTGCCTCAAGAAGTGTGACATGGCTGGCCTTACCGGTTTCGCTGATGTCGGGCTGTTGATCGAGTAGTGTTTTTGTTACGCTACACCCCGTAATACCGGAACCAATGACTACGAAATCGGTCTGTTGGGGTAAGACCGTGGACTGGATAGAAGCGACAGTAGGATGAGGAGGCTCCTGCCAGAGAGAGACGGTTGGGTTGTTTCTTGGGAGGCCGGGGTCTTCCATTACAGCATCCCGGACCTCGGCGAGGAAGGCCGGTATCTCGTCTAACGATTGCCTTTTGCATTAGTTTAGATCCTTATTTACAAGAACCTAACGTGGATGGTAGAGGGAATGGAGGGTGTAAAAGCACGGGCTGGAGAACGACGGCGGAGTCTTACCTCGAGTGTTCCCCATTTTTGGTAAATGAAATGCAGGTGAAATTCCTCACAAACTTGTTTGACTGGTCTCTGGATCGATAGTGAATTATCTCACGGATGGGATATTGTCTCGGGGACTGATAGCTCATTTTATGCGCCAGGCGATGCTCACGGTTTTCCTTCTTCTCCTTTGTCGTGCCTTGTTTTCAAGTCAGCCTCTTGAGCTGCAAGACGTTTTCCGGCCCCACTTATTCGTATATTTGTACGAAGGTAACGGTTGCGATACGAAAATCGTATTGGACTTCCTATTTGGGAAATGGCGTTATGCCCTCCCCTTTGCCCGGTGTGTCCCAACTACCACGAGCACGGGCTGCTAGGCGACCCCGGGGACAGGTGAGCATCCCCGCACGGAGGCCCTTTGAATAACTCAACCAACATAAGTCTCCCATGCGCGCAGAACTCAAGCGTACAACTGGCGGCCTAGATAGAAACTTAGAGACGAACTTATAAACTGACGTGCCCCTTCACAGTTCTTTTTATCACTCTTCTTATTTAGTCTTCATCTTGCCACCTTACTTCCCATTCTTAAGCAGAAACCCAACACAATGGTCGCCGATAAGGACAAGGAGGTCATCGCCTCCCACGACATTCGTGAAGGCAAAACGATCGAATCTACTGAGCCGGACCACGAGGTCTTGCATAGGGTCCATAACATGTGGACTGGTATGTAGCGACCCCTGCCCTAGGACACTCCCTTTCTGACATGTTCGTGCGCTGAAATTATTGTCATCTTGACATTCAGCAAGTGCGTATCAAGTTCTGATGATGGCAAGCTGGACTTGTAACATTGTCATGTACGGTACTGTGTTTGACCTCGGCGGCCCCATGATGTTGATTTACTCCACGTACGTCTTCCTGCGTACTAAAAAACGGTGCATTGTGGCGCCTCTACAAAACAACTAATTTTGGGCTGTAGAATTATCGTCTGCATCGGCCAGTGTCTGCTGATGAGCTCTCTTGCGGAGATGTGTGCTGTATGGCCCTACTCTGGGGGTCAACAGTAAGTAATAACCCAGGGCTTGGGATCCTACAGTGCCGCTAACCTCGCTGTCTCAAATTCAGAGCATTCACAAAATACCTTGCCCCCGTCAGGTAATCCATCATTCCACTACCATGTATTAAGGCTGCAGGCCCTCTGACCCATCGTAGATTCCGTCGATTTTTGTCATACCTTGTTGGATGGCTCGTTCTCTTCGGTGACCTTGCATCATCAGCAAGTTGTGCTATGAATAACGCCCAGACGATTGGTGCCATCATTCAACTCATCCATCCAGACTTTCAACTGACCGTAAGTACCATCTGATAATTTCCCTGTGCTCAGTTTCCTGTGCTCTAAATCATAAAATATAGAGATGGTCGACTTGGTTGTTATATATAGCCAATATTCTCCTATCAGTAGTCTTCACCTTCTCCCAGAAGCATCTACCTTGGATTTCAGCTATCGGTGGCGGTATAACCCTAGTAGGTGGCATTGCATGGGCAGCGTTATTCCTAGCACTGTCACCGAAGCAATCCGCTAGCTTTGCCTTTACCCGGTTTCTGAACAATTCGGGGTATACAAGCTCTGGCTGGGTTGGCATCATGAGCTTCTATTCTCCACTCTACGCTCTTTATGGCACTGATGGGATTCTTCATATCGCTGAGGAGATGAAGGATGCGCACAGAACTGCCCCTGTAAGACTTAGCACAAATTTGATTGGAGCTTATAGATCAGGACTAATGAGGTTCCCTTCCCTTCTTTGCTATTAGAAAGCTATGATCTTGTCGATGGTCTTGAGCAGCATCACGTCTATTGCTAGTGCTATAATCATAGGCTTCTGCTGCGGAAACTGGGAGGACTATATGACGACCGAGTAAGTTATACAAGGAATCATACTCTTCAGTCCTATATTTAGCTGCAAGTAGGACTTGATCTGACTAAAATTAGTATTCCCTATATTTCCTGGTTTGTCGACACGCTTGATAGCATTGCCGGCGGCATCGCTTTCCTTACAATTATTATTGTACTTCTCAAGTAAGTGATTATCTCTACCTCCGGAAAAAAACAACATTTCTTCCTTCTAATTGAGTTTAGTTTCCTAATTGTTGTTGGCATAAATACTGCGGTATCCCGCCTTGCCTGGGGTATGGCGAGGGATAATGCTTTACCATTCTCTCGCATTTTCGTCAAGATTAATCCCACAGTCCAAACCCCACTTAACGCCATCTTCCTCGCCGTTGTTATTGAAATGGCTCTTGGTAAAAAACATGGACTGCCAGTCTTTCACAACCTATTACAAACTAGCTAATACAGGCATAGGTCTTATTGCCTTCGGTAGTGACTATGCCTTCGAGGCTATTATTAGCTTTGGTCAAGTCGCTTTACAAATTGGTTTCTTGATCCCGGTGCTGATGGTATGCTATTCCCTTGTCTATTTCTCTCCTGCTTTATATAATTCCCATAAGATAGCTAAAGCTAAGCTTTTCAAATCTTCCCTAGCTCCTCTGGCGTGGTCGGCATACCCTTCCTGTTCCAAGATCTTTCAATCTTGGGTCATTTGGCTTCGCTATTAACCTCGCCTCGGCTTCTTGGTCAATCCTAATTATTATCATGCTTTTGTTAGTTCGAAAATCTCTAAACATCCTTTCATAGCCTATTACTAACACTTGGTTTCCTCTAATAATAGTTTCCCACTCTATGTCCCGGTAAATGCGGAAAATATTTGTCAGTTCAATCGTGCCATGGTCCTTTACTATTATTAGTAGATGTAATAGCTGACCTTGCATATTTTTCAGTCAATATGAATTGGTCCATCGCGTTGATTGGGGCCGTCGTGCTACTTGTCTCGGTGGATTGGATCCTTCGCGGACGGTATCACTATGTCATCCTGGAAGAGTGATCTGCCTGGAACGGGACATGAGGCAGTTTGTGGCCTGTTCTCACTGATGAGCGGGCCTGGCTGATTCCTGCAAGGGGTCAGGATGTATTTCATAACCTTCAGAATTTTCACACGCTGGATGAGCGTATAGAAGCCCCCTGGAAGAACGTCTTGATATGATGCCTTATATATGACGATCAAGAGTGGTTGACAGGTGTGCACTGGGGAAATTGCCATGTTTGATGGGAACCACTGGGCACTGGGTTTGGAAAGAGGGATATAAAGACCTTCCCTGACAGATAGATCCTCTTCTTCTGCTTTCCCTCTCCACTCTTGATACTTCGTCGGTAGGCACCAATTTATTTCTTGATATTTTGATGGTAACGTAACATTATACTGGCATCTCGGTTGCAAACAGTTGGGTTCTTCTCATGAGTTCTAAGACGCAAAACATATACATAATCAGGTAATCTAAAAATAGCGTGTGATGTTTTCTTGCGTTGATCAAGAAGAAAGGGCCCCGAGTCCGATGCCTAGAGTCATAATGCCCCCAAAGAATATACATACGTAGGGAATACACGACGCACAAATCGCGACATAGGGGAAGATAAATTCTATCCTAGCCGAAAATGCGAGCAACACCACTATTGGACTTTTGAGTCTAGAATAGAAATCACTAAAGAGTTTGGTATTAACACCACTTTTCTTAATGCCTTGAGCCCCGAGAGCGCGATACAAGCCTAGAACTGCTGACGATATTGCGGTAAATGCACAATAAGACATAGACGAGCGACACAAACCAGTCGAAGGTATAACTGAAATTATTCGATGCTATAAGGAATAAGAGCAGAGTTATAACCACATAGACCAGGGAACGCCGCTCGCGAATACTTGAGCAGGGTTGTTGGGGCTCAGCAATCTTGAGCGAATGAGTAGAGTCCGACTAGGATAGTACAGAAAAGCATTTCCGTATGGCAAGCCAGAGAGGATAACAGGGTAGTTCATAAATCCGGGAAGAAAGCCGCTGATGCAGACAGCAGAGCATTCTGACAGCCCAGTTGAGGAGTCAGCTAGATTATTAGAGGGTAATTTCGAATAAAAATAGGATATGTTTCCCCATTAAGACTAGTCCATTATGAGCACTATATAATCCTGCAGTATTCATAAGAGAAAATGGGGGTTTGCTGAATTAGCAATCCTTAGGTAGATCATATTCACTGTCCTATACGCCATCTCCCAAATAGGATACTCAATACGGAGTAGTATGTAATTGCCTCGTTTTCAATCAAGTGTGGCCGGCATATGGCTATTTCCCAAATAGGAAGATTAATACGATCTTCGTATCATAGCTAACGTTTTCTGATCGAGTGGTAGCGAGTTACTAAGATTTTAGTATGTCTAGCCATAGTAACCTATGGCCTGTAAAACATCGAACTTAACCTCTAGCTTACGTTAAGCACTTATTCAAGGATTTCATTATACAGACTGCCACTAAGGCATGCAAAGCTTACCTTTGGACGCAAACTTTCTTCAGTTCTGCTTGTCAATTCTCGCCATTTGATATCATTCCTGATCATACCCTCACTATGAAAACTTGTGAGGGCTACTTGTACAAGCGTGATGGGACCTTCCAGCAGGGATTAGTCTGTACGGGAGCCATCCTACCCCCCACGAATATCTCCCCATTAAGCTCAGAAATATTTGATGTCATCGTCCTAGGAGCTGGTTTCGCCGGATTGACGGCCTGTCGCGACCTCACCCTCTCAGGTACGCCCATTCTGTCTTGATGGATTTCAATAGAGTTAATAAGTCACCAATCGTCAGGTTATAAGGTTCTTCTTCTCGATGCCAGAGACCGGGTTGGCGGCCGCACCTATACAGCCAACGTTGATGGTCATCTGTATGAGATGGGCGGCACGTGGGTTCATTGGCAACAGCCGCACGTCTACCGTGAGATGTCCCGTTATGGCTTCACCAAGATGGTTGACAGTATTAACTCCGACACTGGTTGCAACTATTCCACGGTCACTGTAAACGGTGAGACCACCCACTTGAACAAAGATGACGAGGTGAGTTTCACCCGCTCTGAAAATTTGGCCAATCAAAATAACAGACCTTGTATCATCCATAGTTCAATGCCGTCACCAAGTCAGTCGAAGAGTTCTGCAACGTTGACGGCGAGTCAGGTCATCTGATCATGCCGTTCCCTCATGATCCTCACTTCAATCCGGAGGTTGCCAAATACGAAAAGCTGTTAGCAGCTGAGCGCATGGAACAGGTTCGGTCGAAACTCAACGATCTGCAAATAGTTGTACTGGAAGCAGCCATCAGTGCCTCATCAGGCAGCAGCTTAGAGAACACCAGCTTCTTCGAAATTTTGCGGTGGTGGGCTCTGTGCAATTATAGTATCACTGGTCTATCCGACTCTCCTGAAAGGTACAAGATCGCGGCCGGTCAGTCGGAGTTTGCACGGGCCTTTTTCGACGAGGCCCTGGCCACTGGCAATCTATCGTACTCATTCGGCACCCATATCAGGTCGGTTAAGGACTACGGTAACATGGTGGCGCTCTTCAGCCGCTCAGGCGAGCACTTCTCTGGAAAGCGTGCAGTTTGCACTGTACCGTTGAACATCCTCCATGAGCTCAAGTTCGAGCCTAATCTCTCCCGAAAGAAGACGAGTGCATCTCATCAAGGCCATATGAACTTCTGCTCCAAGTACCATATTGAAGTTCAAGGCGCCAATATGAGGTCATGGACCGCCAATTGCGCCACCAGAGTCGCGCTTCATCTCTGTCCTCAGCGATGGGCTGAACCCTGCGGGTAACACTCAGCTGGTCGGTTTCGCTCATGAGAGTCCGGTGCAGGGGCAAGAGGAAGGCCGAGACGTCCTCGCGACGGCGAAGAAGATCCATGAGATGGATATTAAGAAAGTGGTGCGCATTCTCTATCTCTATACATACTGTTCGTTTACTTACGAGGCAACTTCATATCAGGTCTGGCATAACTGGGTGGCCGACCCGTTTTCCCGTGGCACATGGGCCATGTTTCCACCCAACTTCAGCTTCAAATACCTCGAGGCATTGTGGCAACGCCACGGCAACGTTCTCTTCGCCAGCGGTGACTGGGCTCTGGGGTGGCGCGGCTTCATCGACGGTGCCGTGGAGGAGGGAACACGAGTGGCCAAGGAAATCGCCGTTGAGCTAGGCCACCCACACCCTGTCGCTCCATCTTCGCAAACCAAAGCATACATCAAGCCACTTTTGTAATCGCCCGAAATAAACGGAGACAGAGCCGTGGTCAGGTTCAGTATGTAGTCGGGCGTTTCGGGTTGTCGTACCCTCGGGCACCGTTGCCACACGTCTTATCCGCACCCTGGATGAGAAATCGCTTCGTAGCTTTGTTCGACTCAATTCTTTGAGACTAAGCTATATCCATAAACTTGGTAGAATAGACCGGCTTCTAAATTCCCCGACTTTCATCATAAAATCGCATCTTTTCGGTTTCCCTCTTCGTCGGATTTGTGGATATCTCACATGAATGGGATTCAAAATCTAACTGCTAAGCGGTCGACCGCTGGAGGGGCAGGGTTCCATTGGCAACTAATGCATGCCCAAAATACCACCGAATCGCAGCCTCGATCGGTCTCTCTTTGCTGAAAGTGACTATAGCTGAGGTCATTGTGCAGCCATTGCCTCTAATCGGGGGCACCTGCGGTCTAGTTGCTAGGCTCCTAGACTATGAGCGAGAAGCAGGAATTGCTCCTCTTGATCGCTCGGTCACGGCTCTGGTGGGTAATGAGCATATTTTCCTCCTCTCTGCCGGTATCTTCTTGCTGCGCAACTCAGCCATATTAATTCTTTCCAGCCAGATTCTTGCGCCTCAATTACATGCCAAGCACCAGAAGCCCCGGGGGCGATCATCACTGTTGCAGTGCGTTCAACATTCACATAGCGCCACGCAGTACAACAAAAATCGTCGTGCAGATAATCCCTTGGAATTTCAAAACCCAACATCGAGGGATGTGACAGAACCGTAGGGCCTAGCTTGCGCAAGTTTCACGCCCTCTATCGAGACGAATGAATTACTTACTCTCATTATTCTGCCAGTGAACGTCTATAGATTTACTGGATGATGCCTTTACTTCTGAAAGATCGTGTAACTTGCTGGCAGTCTTGATGTTCTTGTCTGGCCACTGTGATTGAGGGTCTATCTCCTTGTTCTAAGGTGCCTCGCGACCCCAACCCACCTAACTCTTACTGATTGAGAGATAGGCAGAAAGAGGCTTCCGTGTCCATGTATGATACCTGATGCTTCTCATCACACACTCTAGGCTGGTCGAGAGTGTTATCGTTGCTTTGTCCGGAAGTAATCCGGGTGCCACTGCCAAGTAAACCCTTTCGACAAGCACTGGCCCTGACCTGGGTGCCGCCTCTTATCTCCCCTACCGGCATTTCTGTCCGCCAGATGTTACAAGCCACTTCTTAGAAGCGAGGTTTATAGCAATCTCGCAAACACTGGCACGCATACTCTTACCGAATCGATGATACAAATCTGATTTACTTCCCTACGGCACATACACTACTTAACCCAGATCGCCGAACCACACGGTATCTGGCCCCGCGAAACTTTGGGCTACTGTAAGCCCTGATCTTCGTCAGGCATGGAACATCCCCGATAACAGCACCTTTACCTCGATGGAGTTCGGTAGTATCCACACTGAGAGCAATAATGAGTGTAAGCACGACATCATCACCGTTGGCAAGATCGTGAAGGGTTGAGATCACGATTATTGGCAAGAACGTCATCGCGCCCGCAGTGATCAACATCACGCATCGATCTTGAAAATCAAAGCGGGCTGGTACGGATATCAAGGGGTGTAAGACGTGGTCGTTACAGGAACATGGACATACTCAGACATTAGTGTATCGAAGGCACGGCTGACATGATAATGTCTCTACACAGGCTGTCGGAGACGAATGCGTACACGAATTTTGGGAGGAGAATAACGATGACAATACTCCCGTGTCCGATTGCCTGCATATGTATAGGCATCAAGCCGTACAGCAACCGGATTCTGCTGGCATTTAGAGCGTCACTTGCTTACAACCCTCTGCTGCAATCTATTGATCTGGTTCATGGACCAGATCATGTCCCTCTGGGCTGTGAGGATCAAATCTTGGTTTAAAACTAAGTTTTCGGGCTCCACGAACGTGACCCCAACCGGAGATGAGTCCATGTCCGGATTCCAGTTCATGTTGAGATCGCCTTACTCCTGCGTGGAAGCTGGTGGCGCATCGCCAGGTTAGCAATAAGACGCCGAATGGATGTATGGCTGTCTCCCTGTTTTAGGATTTGTTCGGAAGGATAGTCACATGTTCACAATGAATTAGGGTGCAGACCCAGGGCCAGCGTCAGGGTCGACTTACCAGGTGATCTCTGACTCTGCCAGCCCGTTTGCAGGCTTGTTCTCATAGATACTAGTCAACCAGTCCGTCGTGAGCATCCAGAATGCCATATCAACCAACCAAATCCTGGGCGAGATTATGGCAATGGCCATGTTTCTTGGAGACGATGATGGGGAGCAGCACATCCTTGGTTCTTCTGGTTCAGTTCCAGTGATGCACACACACTTGATGTGTTTCACATCGTTGACTACGCACCTGATCAACCTCCAGACAGGTTCATCAACTCACTCACGAACCCTAAAAACACCATACTAAACTACAATATCGCACCCATTTTGGTCAAATGGGCGTCAACGAGAATGCGGACCCCGACGAATGCGCAGTCGCATTCAAGAGACGTATTACCACTCGAACGTGAAATAGAAGGTGGACACTGGCCTTTGAATACCAATACTACATCTACAAGTCAAGGCACTCGTTGCGCCTACCACTCCCAGGATCGTCAGTGTGAAGCGATTGAACTTCTTGGAGCGCAGCAAGGCCCTAGTGCTAGTATTTCGAACCGTCCGTTGGCTTGTCACGGCGCAGGATCTTCGAGATAATATTGTAACAATTGTGTAAAATCACGTTGAATTGAAGTTCTAAGCAGCCGAAGATCACAATCGTCCCTGGCTAAGTCCTTGCAGGCGGGCGCTCGAGTCCAAATAGCGCATAATGGATAGTATTGACCTACATTTTCCACGGAGGAAAATCCTACCGCCTTCACGAGATCCTTACCAATGTGTGAGATAGACCGCGCTCAGGGCTAACAACCTGGATGGTGGCATATTCGAACGAAGATCATTGACGTTTACCATTATTCATGGCCTGCTACCAAGTCTAACCAAAGCGACTCAGTCGTAGATCTGTTGGCGCAAGCTGCAGCTTATGTTCATCGCCCCCATTGATCTATCCAATTTCCCTTTTCTCTGTAGCCCCGAGTGAACATCTACTGCGAGAAGCTACTCGTCATCGGTAGAGATGCCAAAGTCCGCTGTCATCTATGAGCCATTTAGTCGGCGCGTAAGACGGTCCAGCCAAGATCTTGCATGGGTTGCTTTAATGACGCCTCCATACTTCTGTCGTAAACTCTGACAGTGACATTTACGAGGGAGTCAATTTCGTTCAGCTGCGCATCAATTTGTGACAGTGCCTTAGTCGCTAAAATCGGGCTGTCCTCTATTACCTCGGCCAGGCCACTGGCTTTCTGGCCATAGATGAAGACCTCGAGCGTCTTTAAGCAAGTGCACTCTTGCTGGAGAAGATACAGACTGCTCAGGCTTTCTTTTGTCAGCGTATATCGCTGAGCACGATCCTGCGATTTCTCCACGCCGGGAAACTTGATACATAAGTGGGTAAGAGCACCGGAGTTCAAAGACCCAATGCAGGCAAGGAAAGAATGCAGCAGGTCGGGTTGCTTATCCGTTGTGTCCACGAGATTAAAGAGGTTGGAGCCATAGAGCACCGCGCTGGCCTCCTTGTGCATTTGCCGGCTGGTTTGCAAGGGCGCGAGCCAATTTCGAGGCTTCTCTGGCGCAAATACCTCTACCTGCGTTCCGTTTCCTTGAAAAAGATAGATGGGGTGCGTCACAATGAGTATGCTCTCGAAGATGCGCTTGCGAACCTTCGCTGGCAAGGAGAAAAAGCCTTTCGGAGCTCTCGGAGGACTCAAGGCTCCCATGGTGTCCTCCCCTTCGAGACGGATATCAAGCATTGTGTGCTTTTCTTTCACTTGAGGTCTGTTCGAACTCTTTTGCAAAAAGCCTGGTCTAGGGGCGAAGAATGCGTCGTCCGTTCGCCGGGAGAGCAAGTGTCGCTAGACTGTTGGTGGACTGGTGGAGAGAGCCTCGCGGTTCTTGTTTGATGCTCAGAGTCAAGGAAATTTACCACATGAGCTTTCCGAAAGGCTCTAAAGGCGACGTCGATGGGATTAAAACACGCGCGGGCTGGTCGAGGGATGGCGAGATTGAAGTCGTGCGGGGTCAAGGGAGGGGAAGAATTTTGTGGACGTGTAAAGACGTGTTGGTCGTCCGTGCATGCTGCGCGATTCTGAAAGGGACAAGTAGTTCTCTGTACGGACTTTGTTGTGTTGGCTGCAGCCGGGAGTCCAGCTGCTCGGGCATGGTGTGCCTGTTGGTGGCATCTTATGCCGAGAACGGCTTCGGCCAACTCCCACGGGCACATACGCATGCCCCTATGCAGGAGGGAATAGATCGACGATTTTCTAACAGCTCAGCTTGCTTGCCGGACTTTTGGCACCTAATGGGACATCATATGCGGATAGCTCTCACTAACCTCAACTCATGAGCTATCAGGTCAGCACCCTTTTGCCTCGCCTTGAATCTCACCTCTGAGACTAGTATTACCTTCCTCCCCGGAAGTCGTAGTAAGGAGTAACTGGCATGTTGTCTCGAGGCCAACCGGTACAAACACTGTGGACAGGCTGGTTTCAGAATAAGGGTAGGAAGGCCGAAACAACATCACCAACTCTTCCCTCTCGCCTCTACTCGCAGCGAGAACCTTAAACTGTTATTTCTGTTCATGTAACCCAGATAAATAGTATACCAATGAAATCGTAGTAGAGGTGGAAGCATTCTGTTTTTCCACACCTCGTCATTCCAGAACATGCATACCGTCGCCACGAGGAAGACGATTTCCACACCCAATAGTATCACGGATATATCAGATACTTCTACTGGATAATGAAAACCTCTTCTTCCCATTTTTTTTGGTCCCATTATAACGTTGTTCAAAGCGCGCCCGCATGGGTCGCGGCAGTGTGAAAATAAACTTCAGCATGTCCCAGAGGGTCCATTTTCCGTCTGGCCCTTCCAATCGTCGTGAAAGATGTGAGTTGTCATTCTATCAAGGTTGAACCTCTCACTTGTATTCGTGACATAAGGTATCTTATGTATACTCCAGCTATGCTCTTGCGCATTCCCTCAGCTGCCTTTCTCGAGATATCAAAGACAGTCGGTCGCCGATGGACTATAATTGACATTATTACATTTTTGTATAATTTTAAATCCTGGGCTGAAGGCTCTCGGTCATCGTAAGAGAGCGTTCTATCGTACGTCATATTGGCTGGTCGCAGGACTTTCCAGTACAGTTGACATTCAGCATACTCAGGCCGCCATTAGCGGGAGAAATTCCGGTCACGACAACATGGCTGATGAAACCAGGGTCTTTAGTTAAAGTGGCATCTCTATGAATGTTGAAGGACCGTTCATTCGGAGTAGGTTACCCTCCTCGTCGGACATGACAGCTTGAGGTGTGGGCAACAGGACCAGTGATGGGCGTGGAATTGCATATTCCTTACCAGAATTATTTTAGCTGCATTATTTGCGACACTGCTAGATTGGACAGCTATGCTCAGCTACTTAGACAGTAGTGACAAGAAACGTTCATATGGAAACACGAGCTGTAGAATGCTGACTGTTAAAGTCTCCCTACAACTGGACTCTTCAGGTTCTTGAATCACGTTGTCGTCAACCTGTCGCTCTATTTTCTCTGTGTTTGCTACTGATCATGGCCAGCTATCTTAAAACCAATGGGTATATCGCCTCTGACCGAAACACTGAGCTGATTGGCCAGATTTAGCGTTGAGGCATTTGATCGCTATGATTCGGCTGACTACAGAATCCCACTCCAGGTGAGACACGTTAGGCAGCAATGAGCTGCTAGGCCGATTGCTGTGGTTGCAACATTCTAGTCTAGGCTGCTGGGTTGATGAGTAGCTGAACCAAATCGCTGAACGCTGAATCTGCGATATCGCCGTCCAAGTTGTCGGACGAATTAGGTGACGGCCTGGGTGCTACATCCCGATAGACGAGTGAGCGTAGAGTTATGGCTGGTGTAAGTGTCATGCGGCCTGGAGATCTTACGGTGGTCTGCCTGGATGGGTATTTAGACATGGAGGGGAACCAGGATAAGAAGGAAGAGGGAAGCCGGAAGATAACCATATTATATCCCAGGGTATGTGCTGATTTATTGGATGACTTCCTCGGTGCTGAAGATTCGGATATAACCGATATGTAAGTGGGGTGTAAGACTAGCTAAGCTAATAGCTTTAGTCTATCTCGAATAAGGCTTAACCTAGTAGGGATGTATTTAAATATAGTTATATTAAAACTAAATTAAATATTATAAGGATAAAACTTCTTTTAAAAAATAACAACTTAAAGATATAATATTAATTAAACAATAATTTATTTGATTTGATATTTTTTATATTTTTCTGTTATTATTATATGAGATATAATAAAGAGAATAGTCAAACGTCTTTATTAGTAATAAAGTAATATTATTTGTATATACAATACAGGCACTTGGCCTATGTGGCCCATATTGCATATTACGCATTACTCAATGCATATGCTCAGGTCGCCTTGCTTATTTTCCTGTATTTTCAATGCCCAACAGCTTCCCCGCTTCATCTTACGATTTGGTTCGTGATGAGCCTGACAGCTTGATATCGATCAAGCCGCCATGGACTCGATACCATCAGAAATATTGGTTCAGATATTCACATATCTGCAACCCTGCTCTCCTCTGCATCAATGGCAAGAGCTGAGTTTGTCGAACCGAAAGTGGCCCCCGGCAAAGGATCTCGCGGCACTCTCACCGGTGTGCCGCAGATTCCACAAACTAGTCGAACCGTTGCTATTCGCACAAGTTGCAGTCAGTTCCGGAAATTCCAAGGACGACCGGCTCGTGGAGTTGTTTCTCCGAGGGCTACACCGAGAGCCTTCGACACGTCTCGCGGTGCGCAATATCTTCCTGGACGCGTGGGATGTGAAGCTCGACATTGCCGGTATCGTGCGTGAGCGACTCGTCACTGGTCCTAATGATCTTGGACAGCGACAGGTGAGATGGCTGAAGGCTTGGCTCTCAATGCCGAAGAAGAAGGTGTTCGAGCCCATCCCTTGCGTCACCCTCTTCCTTACTCCCCGAGTCAGACTCCTGGATCTAGGTGCCGCTGTTTGGCCTGACTGGATCGCCATGTACATTAGTGGCAATCGGTATCTGGAAGAGAAGGCGTTGGGAGCTAATATGTACTTTGGCCAATCTGGAATTTGTCCTTATGAACCGCTTATTGCAAAGGGACCTGATGGTGATCATGATGATTCTGCTAGCCAGCAGCACACAGAAAGGGTGCTTTCTACCCTGCTCGCCGACAGTCCACTTCCAGAGCTCAAGGAGATGCGGTGTAGATATGTGTTACCCAACAGCCTTCAATCCGCCCGCCGCATCGAGCCCCTCTTCCTTCACCCAGGGCTTGAAACTCTGCGTCTGTTCGCCTTCTCCTGGGACGGCGGCATGAAATGGATTCATCACACAAGCAACCTCCAAGTCATCCAGCTGAACAGCTGTTTTGTGGACACTAATGGCCTGGAAAACATCCTCCGTCGTTGCAGCCTTCTGCGCCACCTCTCTATTCAGTTGCCTGACAGCGATAGAATAACTGACGGTGGTGAAGACCTTGCTAACTTCGCGACAATGGGAGACGTTTTCAGGACGTACGGACACCACCTCGAGACCTTTGAGCTGGATGCAAAGGCGTACGGGGAGTTTTTCAACCCCACTCGGCCCTTTGGATCTGTGGAGGGGATGAACTTCCTCCGCAACTTCAAGATTTGCGTGGGAGACTTCCAGGATATTGAATCGGGCGAATTTGACGAGGCAGAAGGGAGGCGCAGGTGGACGGTGCCCTTGAAGGGCGTTTTACCCCGGGGGCTAGAATCATTTTACGTGGTCCGCTCTCCGGGCATGATTCCGCTGAAGGACGTTGAGATCTTGAGAGCTCTGCGTGATGTCCTAGAAGACCAGACCCTGACTTCATTGCGCCGGGTCGAGCTGGAACTTTCCGGTGAGGAAACCTTCGATGAAGACGACTTTCTTATCCCAGGATGGAAAGTATCAGAAGGAAGGCATTTGGTTTGTAAAGATCCCTATAAGGACAAGGATCGATATCCCGCCATTGATGAAGATGAGGAGCCGGACGAAAGAGAGACTATCGTCCTCCAACGCAAAGATGGATGGCAACCGGCCTGATGCAGCTCATCACTCCTATTCAGAATGTTCTACTTGCTCTAAGCGCCACAAACACTTGCAAACATTATTTTCATTTCCTTTATCCGGTCGTTTTAGGTAATTAGATTGCCAACTGATAATTATGGAAGGGCAGCTACAAAGGTGGTGCAGTTGGTCATGGGTGGTTATCGTCTAGGGCAACGAGGGAAATGTGCCTGTCAATTCAGTTTTCTGTCATCTCTGTTACCAATCAAGTACGAAAAATTGATGTTTTGAAATGTAATATGAGCGCATGCTGCAAAGCTCAGCTTCTTCCCTTGAATTCTTGCTGCTTGCTACTCACTTTCACTCTAGTCCGTACATTGTTAGATTCACGAGCTGAGCATCTATTTTTATTGTCACTAGTGAGGAATCGGTCTTCGGGCACGGAATTGGCCGGCTTCTCCAAACTTGCAGCCCAATGAGAACACTGATCACCCGTCTATGGATGTTTTTGAAGCTGCCTCCCTCCCCTTCGGTGAGTGAAAAATACATGAGACACTACCGCGCCGCGCTTACGAAGAATACGGCGTAGTGTTGTGGTGGTCAGCAAAGCCTTGCACAATATAGTGAGGGGTTCAGATTCCCAGTCTCAGTGGGAGATGTATGCAGTCAGCAAATAGCACACACATGTCAGGCTTCAAGCATGTAGTAATACCACTTCAAGTTGGATGGCTGGAATTTGCGGCTGAAGAGCCTTCCGTCTATTCTAGGCACGCCTTCGATCGTACAGGCCAATGATCGTCGTGAGTTGCTGGATTGTGTGTGTTTTTCTGATATCACAAATTACTCACCCAATCCTGCAAGGACCTTGATCAGCCTTGTCAGACCCCTTTCAATGTATGGCTTAGGCGCATTCATTTCGGTGAGGCAACAATTCAAGCGATACAATTGGTCAGGCTCGGCGAGGGATGGCACACATGAAGTGTTCCTGAGCAATCGTGGGTAGGTAAGCGGACGGCACCAACTTGCATCGCCAACCGGGCAGTGGCTCTCGCCTTCGGGGTATTTGATCAGACGATAAGAGTTAAATTCCTTAATAGAATCCCTCGGCGTGGAGGATCCAAAAATAGTCACTAGAAAGTAACTATCTCTCATCACATTCGTAATTATATAGAGGTTGGTTGCTCCCTGGATTGTGATCGGGTCTCTTCGCCATAGATCTTTCAAAGCAACAGCTCTTCTCTTTACACATTGAGTCCAAATCTCCCGAAGGAATAAATCATTCGCCACCATGGCCTCTGTACCCAGGGCCTGGCTATTTTTGGCCATCGCCATCTGCTGCCTGCTGCCCAGCGTCCTCGGTGACCTGGTGCACTACGAAGAACGCCAACCCACCATCACCGACGAGGAGCTCACCGAGTACGCCCGGGATGTCCTCGACTCCCGCAGCCCCAATCTTGAGTTTGTTGTAGCCGAGCTGGACTCGCCGAGCAAGCGGGGGCTCTTGAGCAAGGCCGTCGGTGCCGTCAAGAAGGCTGCTCCCGCTCTCAAGAAGGCCGGGGGCGCCGCGAAGAAAGTAGCCGCCACCGCTAAGAAGGCATCTGCTCCTGCCAAGAAGGTGTCTACCGCTGCGAAGAAAGCTTCCCCAAAGCTCAAGAAAGCGGCTTCTGCTGCCAAGAAGGCTGCTGCTCCCAAGAAGGCTGCCGCTTCTAAGAAAGCCGGTGCCAAAAAAGCACCAAGCAAAGGCGTGAAGAAGGCATCTGGGAAAAAGGCCTCTGGCAAGGCTCCAGCCAAGAAAGCCAGTGCCAAGAAGTCCCCTGGCAAGAAAGCTCCAGGTAAAGCTCCAGCTAAGAAGGCTCCTGCCAAGAAGGCCGGAGCCAAGAAGCCTGCTGCTAAGAAGACCGGCTCAAAGAAGTCACCTGCCTCAAAGGCCGGTGCTAAGAAAGCTCCTGGCAAGAAGGCTGGAAAGAAAAGTCCTTCTAGCAAACCCGGATCTAAAAAGGCTGGCGCTAAGAAGACAGCTGGAAAGAAAGCTCCAAGTAAGGCTGGTGCCAAGAAGACCCCCGGCAAGAAGAGTTCCGGAAAGGCGCCTGCTAAGAAGAGTGGTACTAAGAAAGCTGGAGCCAAGAAGACTCCAGGAAAGAAGACTGCTGGAAAGAAGACCCCTACCAAGAAGACCGGTGCTAAGAAAGCCCCGGGAAAGAAGGGTGCTGCCAAGAAAGCTGGAACGAAGAAGACCCCAGGGAAGAAGATTAGTGCTAAGAAAGCTCCAGGCAAGAAGAATCCCATCAAGAAGGCTGGAGCCAAGAAGAATTCGCCCAAGAAAACTGCGACAAAGAAAGCTCCAAGCAAGAAGTCTCCTGCCAAGAAGACTCCAGGAAAGAAGACTGCTGGAAAGAAGACCCCTACCAAGAAGGCCGGTACCAAGAAATCCCCGGGGAAGAAGGGCCCTGCTAAGAAAGCTGGATCTAAGAAGACCCCAGGGAAGAAGACTGCGGCTAAGAAAGCTTCAGGCAAGAAGAATCCTACTAAGAACACTGGAGCCAAGAAGAGTTCTCCCAAAAAGACTGCGACAAAGAAGGCTCCAGGCAAAAAGGCTCCTGCTAAGAAGACCCCTGGAAAGAAGGACCCTGCCAAGAAGGCTGGGGCCAATAAGGCTGGAGCCAAGAAGACTGCCGGAAAGAAGACTGCCGGAAAGAAGGCACCAGGTAAGGCTAAGTCGTCGCCACCAAAGAGCTGCCCCCTTGGCAAGCGCTCAGGGGACGGCTCATGTGTCTTCCGAGGCGACAATCGGGGTCCCACCAAAATCAAAGAAGCCGGGGGCTTCAAGAGCAAAGGCTCTACGCACCCGCAGGGTCCCTACAATAAGCCCGACGCCTTACACAGGCACGTCACGGAGAACTGGAAGGGCGAGAGACCGTACAGGGATCCTTACATCTCCACAGCCGCCGATGTCAAAGTCGCTGAGAAGCATTACCCCAATGGGCACATCTACAAGATCGCCAAGAACCAGGCTGGCAGGCTCGTTGATGCAAATGCGAAGCTTGCAGAGGGTGGCAAGCAAAACCCTCACAAGAAGGAAGGGGAACTATCTACTAAGGGACCCATCCGCTGGGACGGCATCAAGGGGTGGCACAAAATGAAGAACGGCCAGGCGGGTCCTTACAAGGAGAACTCAGACTACAGGCCAAGTAAAATACCTATTCCTAAGCAATCGAACAACGCGGGAGGTTCGACATCAAAGCAAGGACAGCCCCAAAGGCAACGGCCAACGTCAGACAAGCCGAGCAAAATTCCTATCTTGAAGAACCCCCCTTCAGCGGCATGGAAGCCGCCCCTTGGATCCGCTAAAAGATTCTAAGAGAACAAAGTCGTCTTTGAGCGCTCTTAACACAATGAGTCAAAGGGGAATCTGCTTTTATCTAAGGTTGAGAAGTGTGTGGAGTTGATTATTTTGCGAAGCATTGAACTTAGCTTTTGTATTAGTATGGGCAAGGTTTGACTTATGGCACGACGAGATTCAAGGTTCTTATGTTCATTGCTATTAGACTATTGGATGTACAACAAATATTTATCTGTTTATTTTTATCTCTTTTGCCTCAAACAAGGGTGATCCCAAACTCAAGCCACACGTGACTGTGTTAAACACTTCTTTGCATGACAAATGTAGTCATAATAGAAGAAGGAGGATTTAAATCCAGCGGCAAATATCGGTTGTGAAAAGAGCCTTCGCTGGAGGTACTGTGAATCATCAGTATCACCAACTTTATGAGTGCGCTCGTTTCAGGGTTTGGCGACGGCTATCCGACGTTTCAAAGCAATCACACCACCAAAGCTTCGGGGTCCAACGATCATCAACATGAAGATTGCTGAGCTTGCCGCCATTCCGGCCAGTTTGACTGGTGATTTCCGTGCGAAGGAATCACATGTCCTGGATCTCGACGAGCACCTAACTCTGAGAACGTACCATAATGGCTACAAGCTCAGCGAGCTTGACGAGAAGATATGGGTTGCCCTTGCTAGCAACCGAGCCGCTGTGCCCTTTATTCGCAAGGGAAAGTTGGCAAACCTCACGCGATGGCTTCTCATGTCGAGCAAGCTCATCCTAAGATCCAGAAGGATGTCAAAAGGCTAGACTGCTGCCGCCGCGAAGTTCGCGGCGGCAAGCAAAGCCGGTGGCATCTATAGCCTCCAGCTCCAAAATGTCGATCATAGAGTGGTCACCAGATTCCTGCCTGAGCCGTCCGGATATCTTCACATCGGACACGTGAAGGCAGTACGTATCTATTTCTACTTCTGTAGTCGGGTATTCGCTCAGACTGGCCCTATAGGCTTTACTAAGTTATTGCTTTGCTCACCAAGCATATTCCGGCAGCTTCAGATTGCGACTGGATGATACCAATCGGACGAAGGAGAAAGAGGAGTATCAGGATGCTATCATTGAGGATCTAGCCCGGATGGGGATTCACGCCGACAAATTGACCTATACATCCGACTACTTCTAGTATTTGTTTGATAAATGTGTTCAACTGATCAAGGATGGCAATACATATGCAGACGACACGGATCAGGAGACCATGAGAGCGGAGCGCATAGATGATATAGCTTCTAAGCGACGAGACAGGTTAGTCGATGAGAATCTTCGCATTCTGGAGGAGATGAAGGTCGCCTCACCCGAGGGTCGGCATAATTGCATCCGGGCCAGAGTACTTGGGATAACCCCAACAAAGTCATCAGATACCCCGTGATCTACCGTATATCCACTGAACTTGATAAAAGATAAGAATGAATGAATGAAACAGGTACTGACTCAAGCCAACAGGTGTTAACACCGGAACACCACATTATTGGACCGGTACTGATTTGAAGATAATCCAATGTATGACCTCGTATGCCCTGTGATCAACAGCCTAGAGGGCATAACTCATGCGTTAAGATCCACTGGATACACAGATCGCAATGTTCTTTACCAGTGGTTCCTTAGGACCCTCGATCTTCGCATAGTGTATATACATGATTTCTCCAGGCTGTCGTTGGTCAGGACCTTCTTATCCAAGAGAAAGCTTGAGGAAAGTAGTCTCCAATCATGCATTCAATGCTATATTATAGTAGTGTTCTTATTGTGACTAGAAAAAACATAGCTGCGATTGTTTTAGATATTCAGGGTAGAATTAGCTATAAAGATCGCCTAAATTATAGGCTTCTGTATATTGACGGGTTGAATAATTGCTAGCATAGAACGGATAGCGGGTAGTAGGATGTATTAGAACGGAAATCAGGGATAACTTAAGAATAGTAATAGTATCAAAAGAAGACATATCTTACTAGTAATAATTGCTGCGGCAGGGACACGGCCAGCGTCTCTGGGATTCCAGGAATAGACATGGTGTCACACCAAGGTTTATAATAGGTATACTAAAGACCGATTATAGACGATTAGTGCTTACTAGACTTAAGCTTCTGTAATCTTGATGGAGCCTATGGACCCCTTCTGGATCTCGTGTTCACCGGCGTTGTATTCTCGAAAATCGCCCGACAAATCACCATTAGAGTAAACAGTTAGCTTGCTACCTTCGGACACTCAAATGAAACTGATAAGACTAGGCTCAAGGCCGGCCTCTGTGAGGAATACCTCGCTGAAATTCCCCTCGCCGCCGAGCGTCACGGAAGAGAAAGAGAATAGAGTTTAATAATAATAAAGCTGCCAGGGCCTGATAGCTTAATATAATAAATATAAAAGCTTAAAAATATAATCTTTTCTAGTCTGCTTAAAATATAGTTATATAATAGGAAAATTCTATAAATCTTAATATAGATAATTTATTTACTATTAGAATAATAGCTTATTAAATAATTATTAAAACTATTTTTTTTATCTAGCTTTATATTTATATATTAATCTATATACTCTAGCTAAATATAAATCTTTTTAATTTATAAGAATATTAATTAATCTAGTAAGTATTATTAACTCTTTAATTAAAATATTTATATTAATATATCTATAGCTTGTAATATATATAATATATTAAAAAATAAAATTTTAATATTTTCTTTTAAAAATAAAAATATTATTTAATTTAATATAATAAAATTTAAAATTTATATAAATATATATAAATATATAAATTAAATAAAAATAATTCTAATTAAATATTTTAATAAAACTAATTAAATTATTTAACTTAATTAGTTTAATTAATTTAATTAATTTAATAAATTTTATATAAAGTATTTTAAAAATCTTAGATAAAAGAAATAATTAATATAATTAAATAATCTTTCTACTAAGTAGATCTTAATAATATTTAATTTTAATTAAAATATTCTTAATTATATATTAGAAAAAAAGCTTAATATAAATACTATTATAATATTAAAAAAAGAAATAAATTAAAATAATAAATATTCTTAATATCTAAGATTAGATTATTATAATTATATATAGCTATTTAGAAAAATAAGTAGGATAGTATAATATAAAGAGAGGAAGGATTAGAGGAGATAGTATTAATAGAAATACTTTTAAGCTTTAAAAAAATACAGTAAAAGGCCGCTGAGCGTTACACCGCGTATACCTCCCTTCGCGATGAAGACGGCAGCGCCCCGTTTAGGCTGCGGAACAGGTATAGAGCCATCGAAGCTCAGCTTCAGGACATAAGCAAAAGCTTCGGCTGGTTGGGAGGGAAGCTCAATATTGAGGGCTTCGTTGGTCTGCTCCCAGATGGTAACGTCGCTGTATTGTCCGGTCTCGTCGCCGAGAAGCTGAACAGACGCCAGGTTATCGAGCGTGACAAGAGCATGAGAACCCAGGTTCGCGATAGAAACCAGGCCATCCTGAGGCCAGCCAAGAACGGTTGCATAGAGAACATTCGCATCCTTATTGCGAGTGAAGCGGATGTCGCTGCTGCTACCCACCAATGGCGCGGTGAAAGAGCCTCCCCCAGCCTTGTTCGGGCCCTCTCCGTATATGTCCCAGGCACGAGTATTGTAGATAGACGCGCCGTAACGGCGCAAATAGTCACCAATTTCGCGAAGGACCTGCGTTTGTTCGTCGGGTAGCACACCGGCGGCAGTAGGCGACACGTTTAGGAGGACATTGCCATTTTTCGTGACGCGGTCAAGGAGCGAGTGAATCATAGACACTGAGCTATAGTACTTGATTCCATCAGTATAACTCCAGCTGCTGGCACTGATAGCTTCATCGGTCAACCAGTAGGGACGGGTAATATCAGCAGGTCCGCCGCGTTCATAGTCAGCTACGGCAGATGTGTCGCGAAAGCCGTAATCAAAGTGCTTGTAGGTAGTCAAAACCTCCTTACCCCACTCAACACCACGGTTGGAGTAGTAGGCAAGGAAGTCTAAACGGGCTTGTTCACCTATAGCGCATGAGTCGCTACCGCCGTGGCAATAGCCAGGGCTGTCCAAAGCAAAGTCATTCCAGATAATGTCAGCCTGGACATGGTCGAGCATCTCGCGGCGCTTATCGAACCATAGTCGATCGGCTTCGTCTCGCCGTAGCTGCCCGAGAAGCTTCCGCAAGCCCGGGTCATCGGCCTGAGGCGCGAATTGGAAGAAGCCGTTGCTGTTATAGGCCTGGTGCATAGCAACAACTAGCTTCATGTCATTCTCGCGCACGAGATCGGCAAAAAGCTTGGTCAGGTCGAGATTGGGACCATGATTGACCGAATTCCACTCGTTCACCTCACTGTGCCACATCGAGTAGCCGTCATGGTGCTCTCCGACGGGTCCCGCGAACTTGGCGCCTGATGCCTTGATAGCGCGCATCCACGCCTCTGGGTCGAAGTCGCCCCCTTCAGAGATCAGTACCGGCTTGAACTGTACGTCGTTGCCATCAAGGTCCTTGTTCCCCAGAATAAAGTTGGCATAACCCCATTCTTCCGGCGGTCCGTAGCGCTCCGTGTGATGCCGGCGCATACATGTTGCGAGGGTACCATTCACTGCCGTATTGAGGTGTGGTAAAAGCGCCCCAGTGCCAGTATACGCCAAATTTGGCATCACGGAACCACTCAGGGGATGCTTTATGTCTGTCGGTAGACTCCCAAGTTGGTTCAAAAGGACCAGACGCCTGCCCTTGCACAGCTGCAAATAGCAGCGAGCATGTTGTAGCAACTGCTATGAATGAAGACATATTTCTTGCTAACAGATGCATTCAGAATGTAGATTGAGAACGTAGTCGACAGGTGTATACCCTCAACGAATGCGTGTATGGTACGAGGTCTACTGCTTGGATTGAGTCAGGCGTGAGATAACACGAGAGAGTAATTTTTATTTCTGGAGAAGACAAATCTAAGGCGAGACAAAGTCTGGCTTTTATAAAAATTGCTATAGGCTGGTACAAGCTGCTAACGTAGCTTTCTCCTCATGAAATATCTCAACAGGCATAATAATACCATAGTAGATCCGCCTAGGTTGCACATTTCGAAGCAACTCAGAGATCCAAGTGTATGGAGATGTTTAATCCATAGCCGGGCAAACGCAGGACGGGCCAACTCTGTGGTCAAGCCTATACAGGCATGATCACATGTCCATGGGGGTCCTATACTCTCATTGGTAGGGACAAATGGAAACAGGCGTTGCTGTAGATCTTAGGATTTGATCGTCGGTCATATTGCGCTCCAATCACAACTAGCAGATTCTGGTAACTTCTATCCTTGCTTAAGCCGACGGCTTTTGTTTTGTAACTCCAAAAGTACGGATGTGTGAACAACACCTTCCTAAGTTAGGTTCACTTGCCGAGTTTAAGCTATATATCTTCCCCAGATCTTGGTGCCCCATGGCCTACCTCCATTCCAGGTATCTTTCAGGTTACAGGAAGGAGTTGTGCGTGGATCATGCGTCAGCTAATGCCCCCCGCCGGACTCTGAATGAATACGAGAGGCTGCTACAGGGGTGATGTATCTGGCTTATCCCGAGTTTTTACTGGATGAGCTAAGGGTTTAGAATGCAGGGTGGGCTTTTGATCTACCGCCGGGTTTTCAACTATCTTGTACGGTAGAGTACCCGGGCGGAGAATATACCGACGGCTATTTACCTCTCTAAAATCGCTTTTATATATGGCAGGGAGCCTCATACGTATTGGGTTCTTTTTTCTTTTGGATTAGGCGAGGGAGGGCGAAAAGCGGATTAGTTTCCTAGAGATCCCCGTACACCGCGATTGGCACGCCTCGAGCACTTGCGGGGCGGTTTTTTTACCCGATGATCGTTCTCCGGCTAGCCTCGAGATCAAAGTCCTCCTTGATGTGTTGATAGACGAGGAATACATGGTGTTTGATAGTTTGTTAACTAAGGAGTGTCTTTTAATAGTTATTAGTAACTATTCTCTCGTCAAAAACAGCTCCTCAGTTCCGACGTAGTGTTATTAGGACTCGTGAACCGTAATTTATTACAAACTGTTTTCTTCAGCGGATATTATTTGAGGATCTAACTTATTTAGACATTCCGTATGCTTCGTTGATACCTCTGAGCTCACTTGCAGTTAGTGGGATAATCGTTCCATGTCGAGGAGCAGTAGGGTAATTGTAGCTGCCGCTCAACACCCATTGACCGGACGCCAAGTTGTCAGACTCTAATGGCACATAGCCATTGCCACCAAATTCGTCAGCAATCAGAATGTATCTCTCCCCATTGATATCTCCGGGATTTGTCTTGAAGATTGAAGGCCCCTCGACTTCTTCCGTTCCTGCGTTGGTACCAATGCAACTTGCCAGCATCGACCACTTGTCTAGATTCGCTGTGAGAGACAGACTGCTTTCTTGGACAATATCTGCGCAGCCATTTATTGTTGCCTTTGTAAAACGATAAAACACATCTCCCTCTTTGATGACCGTAGAATCAATCCTGCCTCTTGGGGGTTCATCTTGCCAAACCTTTGGCGTAGTGAACGTTACAAAATCATCCGTTGTTGCGTACACCATTCGCTGGTATTCAATCTCCTTGCGGCCGGGGTTTTTGACATCGTCATAGATCCCCGAAGCCCAATATGCAACATAGGTACCAAGAGTATCGTCATAGTATGCTTCTGGAGCCCAAGTGTTGCCGTAACTCTCCGGGGAAACGAGAACGTGTCGTTGCTTCCAAAAAGAAACTAGATCCGGCGACTCCCAGATCTCAATGTGCAAACTGCCATTGGTCTGAGCTTCGCCCCAGCTTGTGCCGCAGCCAATGCAGAGGTCGGTTGCCAATATGAAAAATTTGTCTCCCTCAGCGGAGCGCATGACGAAGGGATCTCTGACTCCGCCATCACCGGCTGTAGATACAAGCACTGGCTGTGCGCTGTTCAGCTCCGTGAACGACAAAGCATCATTCCCAATGCTCGAAGCCAAATAAATTTGCTCGCTGGATCCAGTGAAATAAAGGAAAGCGTAACCCTCGTAATCCTGCGGTGAGGATTCACGAATGCTGGGTCTATGGGCGATGGAGGATTCATGAAGTTCGGGAGCCGCCTGTACGCACATGGTTACCCCCATGGCAACAGCAACGGAGATTTTCGGGTTAAGATACATGGTTGCAGAATCTGTTTTGCGAATGCAGTACGAGAAGCCTCAAACGGCTAGGCGGACGGATATGTTATTTATGGTTCGACTCCTTGGATAATCCAGCACTCATTTCTTGATTTATCCAAGCGAGCAGATTTCATAGGCGCGCATCTTGTGCCCCGCTCCTAAATTGGGTAATGCCTTGAACCTCGGACTAAGTATAATTGCTGCAGATCCATCTGAAATGTTGCAAGGCCACTACAATGTTAAAGAAGTGCTCGAGATGTAGCAGCAATGTGTACACCCAGGATCCGCGGGATCCAAATGCGTGTTTACCTTCCAGCCACTGCTCTTAATCGAGTAACAGGTCACCGTATATGACATTGGAACCACGGACTTAGAGCGTGCCCATTTGTATTCCGTTATCTGTAAGTGATGATGTCTCGCGTGGCGCCGATCTTAGCGCTTATAGACGTGAAATCTCGTATCACTTGGCATATACACCACCTAAGACTGGCCACATCAAGAGAACATGGGAAGATTACGGTCCGGATATGCATTGCCACCCTTCCTTACTAAGGATTGGCCTATTGGCTTTCTTGCCCCATCATCGCCACACCCCCATCTTCCTCCGCTTGTTTTCCACTTTACGCCTGTGTAAAAGATGCGGTAGACCAAGATTTCTTTCTAGCGTATTGGGACAAATAAGCTGGGTACATGCCTAATGGCCTTCCTAGGCTAGCCTCGAGAAACGAAGTTTGCCTCCTCAACACCCTGGCCCTAGCCCTGCGCATCGCCTTGTGAAGGTAGTATCTGCTGTTAAGGATATAAATTAGCAGACGACAGGCTTCGCATAGTCTAGATCATCTCTCCAAATGTGGCAATAGATTCTGCTGTAGGGCGGCCAGACTCGCTCTCTCTACAGGGACCAGCTACCCTACATAAGCCAGCCGCAATAAGTTGGCTTAGGATCCAATCACTCCAGAGCTCACAGTGGAATGGCACGATCACCAGAGAAAGGGACGGCATCAAGATCTGAAAGTCATCGAGAACGCCGGTGACAGTATCGATTCGGGCGTAAGTCCGGGCGACAAAGAGCGCCGCAGCAATGGAAGTTGAGTACTCTATGTCAAAAGAGTGGGACGGAGGACTTTGAAGTGTGACATCTTCAGAGGATGATATAACGACCGAATTGCAGGCTGAAGTGATAGGGAGAGGGGGCTGATAGAATAGGAGTATGGCTAAGATCTCTAGTATATCTAAATGTTTTGGCGGAAGCGACAGGAATATAACCCCTGCCACGTGGTAGTCCTTTGAGTTATGTGTTTAGAGGCTTATTCGACTCTAGCCTGCTTCGTTAGCGGATAACAGCCATTAATCAGCTCTCGTTGTTTATATTTACGCCTTCATAATCGTATCCGAGACAATTCATGGGACAATTGTCACAATGGTCTTCGAAGAGCTAGCTCGATCCCTAGATCAGATCCGTCGGCTTATATTATTAAAGTGGCGGTTTGGCATAGGCGGGCAGTGAAATAATAGGTATAAAAAGGGTCCAAGGCATGGGGGAAAGAGCAGCGAAAGCCTATGGTGACAAGAATTCTAGGGTTGATTCGTCATTGAGTGCTATCAGTACCCCGAACTTGGCCTCTGAGTTGATTAGAGGGCGACGCCAGCTACTAATTTTAATATCTATCGCCGAGCTTGTCTGTATTAGGGACATTTCCAGGAAATTTGAAGAAATATAGTGCCCTCACACTACCATCTATCATTTGTTGAAACAGAGTAGCCGGATTTATTCCTTCACCTGTGCTTCAATCACTTGTTTCAAGTCCAAATTCATCCTCGCATAACCCTTTCTCAAATCGTCTAATTTTCCCATAGCCCCAACGATTGGTGCCAAAATACCAGAGAAACGTTCACCCTGAATAAAGCGGGTTGCCTCTTTATCGCCTGCAATCGGCTCCAAGCGACACCAGTGCTCAGTGTTAAAGAAGGCTGCCATCAGGATATTGCCGTTCCAGCGAAGCTCTTTTTCAATATCTAGGACCGAAACAGTGTTGGTGTACGATTGCGATTTGTTGATCGTTATAGTTTGCTTGCTGCCGATGCACAACTCGGTGTGAGGAGCCTGCACCTCGATGAATGTGACAAACGTGTTCCATTCTGACCAGCTTTTCAGGTCCATCAGTTTCTGCCAGACTTTTGCAGGGGCTGCAGAAATAAGAATGGACTCTTGAACCTCAAGCATTCTGCGAGAATAAAGCCGAATTGAAGGTGTAGCTGCCTTCTAGTAATGCCACGCTTAATTTAAAAACATAAGAAAGAAGGAAAAAAACCTGGGTTGAATACACACAGCATCATTTTGTTTTATACTGGATATTACTCACCGTTGCCAAACATGGCGAGGCGGCTGTCGGACAAGAGACATCGTCGGACCCGAGAGTGCGATTTCAGCGCCGTTGTGGGTCATTCTGCCGACATGGTAACTACTGGAACTGAAGTCCTTTAACTTGAGGTAATCTGTGTATGAATTGTGGTGCAAAGATCAGATAGGTAAAACCAAGTCCCAAGGGCAATTTGTTTTCCGTCGTATAGGTTATAGTTTCTCTTCCCCGCGCGATTAAGGCCTCGGGGCCTCCTCTCGAGGTATGACAGCGAGTGCTCTCTGCTTACACGATTAACAGCTAGTGCTTCCTGATAATTTATTTAAATAAGAACAACTTCAAGCAAAGCAACAGCAAAGCAATGAAACCGCTCAATTTGGTGTTGGGAGATTTCAGGCTTAACTATCGCAAAACATTAAGGCAGTGCAGTCCCGAAAGCTGGTACAGGGGCAATTGCATTTCAGTGTATCAACTTCAGTATCGGCTTTGGGGGTGATTTGTATGTTCATAGGCTGATATTCAGTTTATCAACAGATCGCGAAGTTAGATCCGCCAATACGAAGCTATTACGGCTCAATGAGCGCAAAGCAAAATGAGAATTCAAGATGAATCAAGACAGTTGTTGACTTCACAAACTACATATACGAGAGCTTGTTCTCGGTCTGCCTCTCGGAACAGACAATGTCACCCTCTAAGTATAGAAACTAACCTAAATCGTTTGTCCCACTATCGAATGCTGACGATTGGGCATGTTGGCTCATTTGATGGTGACGCCGAGAATCAGCTGCAAGTTGCGACTTGAAGCTGTATAGCGCATCCTCAACACGGATTCAGCCGCAAATAGCGGCAGAGATTATCGGCTTTCTAACAGCTTCATTGGCGGAGAAAGTTCCACAAGCCCTGGCCGGTACAACAAAGGAGCGGAGCTGAAACCCTTGAAAGCCGCTAGCGTCTTCCAAATATTTGACGTCACACAGACGCGTCCCTATCACATACTCGCCAAAAGGGGGTGCTAGAAAAACGGGCACTAAAAGTTGAGCCTTTGATATCAGTGCCATCTCAGAGACAAGGGTTGGCAGAAAGTTTGAGAAGAAATCATGCGGAAGATTAGCTATTTTCCTAGTGGTTGGCTCTTGTTGAGAGACAGAATTAATAATATGCTTTGCAAGAAAGGACGTTTGAGGATTAGTATTAAGAACGGCTGCCCACAGTTGTCTGTATGATTTTGCGATCCCTGTCTTTTATCTTTCTCGCCCTGACTCGCGTCACCAACAATTGACTTATTCACACAACTCTGACAGTCCTAAGCTGAACTCCCCACCGGAGTGCACCGTTGTGTTACAGGGGGTGTAAGCCGTGTAACCTCGTAACCCCAACATAGATCACTATTTTTGGTACCATTCTCGGGAGTTGTCCATTCTTTTGAGCCATTGTCCTATTTTAAAGCCGTGTATTCTTGTGTGTATTACTGTTTACGCTACCCTGCTTGTTTCCTTACTACCCTGCTTGCTACCTGCTACCTCTTAAACTCCTTCGTACTCATTTTTTGATTGCGATGCTAGAACCCGGCCGAACTAGTTCCATGCCGAACGACCGAACACCTGCACAGATTGCCGATCTCTCCCGTGCCCGAAACAATCAGCGAAGATCTCGTGCACGAAAACAAATCTATGTTCAACATCTTGAGGATCAGCTGCGTGCATACGAGCGTCGAGGCATTGAGGCGTCCGTACAAATGCAAACGGCTGCCAAGAGGGCCCTAGAAGAGAATAGAAAGCTTCGAGCCCTTTTCTGGAGACAAGGGCTTAGTGATACACACATTAATCAATTATTGCAAGGCGCGTCTAGTTTAACGGCCTCTGAACTAGGGGAACCAGATGTGTTCACAAGCAATTTTAGGCTAATGTGTGAATTTTCTGAGCAACTTCCCGCTTTTCAAGATTTCCATTCCCCCAGCATGCCCCTGTTTTTGCAAACGCAAGCTCGTGAACCCGCTAGCACTTCTCTACCTCGGAATCAAACTCAAGAAGCAACATCACCCCAATTCACCTACGAACAAGCAGGCAATATTCAAGGCCCAATAGAAACACCAGATTCTACACAATCATACCCAGCATTGTTATATTTTAGTAACAAAATTTCTCAAGACCAGCTCTTTTCACCACATCACGCAAGTAGCGCTTCAGCCATTCGACATAGTAAGCCCTACTTGCCGCAGACTGAACTTAATATGCAGCATGTCAATACCATGCCCTTTACTAGTTCTGGGTCAATTTTCTATCCCAACCAATAATGCCTCGCACTGTCCCGCCTATAGTGATTCGCGAATGGCTAAAGAGCTCTTTAAGATTTCTCACTATCATTCCTCGCAAGACCACTTTCCAAACTCAATATTCATCATCATCGTGTCAGTCTCTTTGAGTAGAACACTCAGCCAAATTGATGACTGTGATGGTGGTGGTGGAAGGAAAAAGAGAAAATTAATTGTTCGGGCAAAGCTACATTATCTATTGCACTTTGCGAGTGGAAAGTCGTATTTGTTTTAACACATCTACGACGAGGAACTTGGCAACTAATTTCCGCGTCGTTTGTTATATATAGAAACCAGAAGTTGAACGCTGAGTCTTGCCTGAAGGCTGACCTACTTTGAGAGTCGCTATTTCAATATAATGATAGCGGGTAAGCTGGGAATGTAGCAGAGAAGATTTCTTGCTATCACGGATATACAAGGCTATATGTTCGACTCCACCTCCATCATAATCTTTCCTTTCATTTCCTTACCTTTCCTTTTTATCGGCAGCATACTTGATCAGGATAATGAAAACGACAATGTTTAAGTAGACACAGAAAATTAATAGCTCCAGTTTTTTCACCTCACTGATTGTACTCTATGAGTTTTATACCTATTTGGGCGCAATAACTAGCGAGTAATTTCCATATCCCTTGTGCAATGCATGGAACTTCAGGCCGAAACTTGACTGCAGTTAATAATTTCATCTCCAAGCCAGGATATACATATCCCAACTTAGCCTTGTTTCATTCGACAATGAGTTCAAAGGCGTACGCGGTTGTAACAGTAGCCGGAGTAACCCAAAAGGTTACCTATTATTTCAAAATCAATGATCAATTCCCGGCACGAGGACGAGGAGCAAAGGGATAGGCAAACAGAAAAGAAAATACATACCTGTCCATCTTTAACATCGTGCGAATGAATGCCAAGATCAACTGGGTCTGTCACTGCTGTGTCCTTATTTGGGCCGTCAAATCTCAGGGTTCTGACAGAGACCTTAGCTTCGCTGTGGCCAATCGCATCAAGGCCGGTAATATCGAGATCGTAGGTTCGGGTGCCAGCTATAGGGCGAACAGCAGCCAAAACCTTGACCGAGCCGGTATCTGCATCATGCGTGGCATAGGCCTCGAAGATCTCATCTGCAGACGATGTTGTGGCAACGCGCTGGCCCTTCATCTGTTCTACATAGTAGTTGTACACGTGCCACTCACCTGTTGTCTCGTAAGAGCCGTCGCTGTTCCGGATCACCAGGTAGGCCAGCGTGTCATGCAAGCCTTCGTTGCTGCCCCAATTGGCCCTAAGCCCATGGCTGTCATAGCGCTCCAGTTGCGATATATAAAAGACACCTCCAGCTGGACTCTGCTCATTATCGCCGACCCACGCATATTCGTTGATGACAATCGGCTTTTCTGGCAAGCCATATCGAGAACGAAATATGTCAAACGTTTCTTTGGTGTCTTTTAGTGTGCGTCTCGGGTCCAGCAAGTGCCAAGACCAGTAATCGGGTATGGTGCCGGTTTCGGCGACATAGGATAAGAACTTGTCCCACCATGTATTACCTGTTGTTGGCTGAGATGCGGTAGATGGACCTGTAATTTGAACCTGAGGTAACTCGGCTCTTTTTCTCTATTGTAAGTAGTGAAATGAACATCAGCTAGTGAAGACACATAAGCTTACCGAAGCCTGTGGTGAGTCCGGTTCCAGGTTGCTAGATATTGGTCTTGGCTTGCTCCCCAGAAGCCAGCGCCATCGGGTTCATTCCAGATGTCAACATCGAGTCCGGGCGCAGCGTGGAACTTTCTGATATCAGAGAAGACTCGGTCAAGGAATGCGTCATATTCCGTCCAATTGCCGTTATCTCCAGGCCAAGAAAAGGTAGGAGATTGCTTGCTATCTGCTCCCCAAAGGTCATGCATCAGCAAGGTGAATCTTCCTCCGAAAGAGCGAGTGGTGCGATAATTGGACAGAGTAGAATTCCATCGGCCCTAGGTATGGATAAGTTTATTGGAAACACATCGGGATGGGCACACCCACTTCGTAGGATCCCGCCACCCAGCCAAGAGCATCAGTGAGTTGGGCACCACCAGCACGACAATAATTGAAGCCCATTCCACCAATGAGCTCAGAAGGAATCTCTCGGTTTTCACTACCGTCTTTGTTGTCGCGTAGACCGTAGATGAAGCCAGAAGCTAGATGTTGAGGCTCGCCTGAAGGCTGAGCTAAGTTAACAGTAGCTGTTCCAACAGCTTGGCGTTTTGCGTGGCCAAGCGCAAGTGCCTGACCGAACGCCAATAGAGTGGTCAAGAAGAACCCTTTGATCATATTGACAAGATTGCTGGATTAGTGGATAAAGTTTATGGACTAAGTATGTGGTTCCAGAGTAAGTTAAAAGACGTTTGTGCTCCGAGCTAGTGATAAGACTCTACGGCTCTTATATAGTACATGAGACGATACTATGTACAAAGCTATAGTCGCGCACGTTGAATACTACCCGTGCCTATAGGGTTCACCTCGTGTCCATGGCCTCTTGATCGTGCGCGGACCCGTGACCCTCCGTTTTGACGTTTTCCGGTGGGGGTGGAGAAGAGCAATTACCGCACTCGGTACTTCGTTCTAATTGCTACTCTTTTGGCTTGATGTCACCTATCTCCTTCCAGCTAGAATAAGCTGTGTATCATACAATTATACCGTCATCTCCAAGGTAGGTTCTGGTAGGTATCAGTATACGTTCACTGAGATGATAGGTTAACTACTTTCTATCAACGCTTAGAGTATCCTTCACGGCAATGCTTCACAATCTCCCTTTGTGTTTTCTCATAAGTCGCGCTTTCATCAGCATAACGGCAGGGGATGGTGCTCATCTTTATTAACCATTATTCCATGAACGAGCCTCAATGTCTTCATTGTGAATACACTATGCACATAGTACAGTGATGATCATCATACATAGGCATTATGATGGGCAAGCAGATCATGTTCAGGCCGGTGGTGGGGGTGGATTCGTATCTCTATGTTAGAACATGAAGAACTGGTGCGCGGGCGGAGGCGGGGCGGTAGAAGTCAATAAATGTGTCTCTAGCTGACAAGGATCCTAGGTAGTATTCATTACATATCGCCTAATTCTAAAAGATTTGATATATCAGGACATGGCTATTCTCCACAACATAACAAGTGGTAGCGGCAGATTTCTCGGATCTCGGCCAAGACGAAATATCGCGAACCCCAATGTCGTATGCTAATGATCTTCCCCACCCCCACCGGAAATGTTTTTCTTTTGGCACCGCATGCTCCGGAGGAGGTTAAGTTTCATATTCTTCCGGCAAAAGAGGGTATGTAGTGGTACATGCGAACATACATGTTACATTGCTCTCCTTGGAACAACCATTTTCCCCCCTTGAGAACCAGTTTACGTATCCATCTACTTTAAGGATCAGTTACGATATATCTATACATATTCTACGCTTATATCTATGGCGATCTGCCACAGCCTTAGGTTACTATCACCTAATGAAGCGGTATCTATAGAAGACTGGACTTTCCTAATATCAGACATAGGTTCATGAATACTTTCCTATTTTTTAATGAGCTATAATATTGCCACGTGATCTAGACTCCGAGAGCCCGCTACCTCATAAAAATCTTCTTCTCATATAACACTACTATGTTGTAAGTAAGTATGGACGCGTGGACCTCTCACATAATAACCCTAATCTGTTAATTCTTCCATATATAAATAGCCTCATTCTTCTCCTTTTTAGCTTTAGGGTTAAGCATTTAAGAATCCTTATACTGCTTTCTACCGCGTGTCCTGTAGCTTGAGACTCTGTTCGTTACATTTGGTCTTTGTATTGGTCTCTTCAGAATGGGACAAAGCCAGCTTCTGAATCGAATAAAAGAAAAGAGCCGGCCTAGTTTACCAGCTCTTGGAATTGAATCTTTTGTATGGTAAAGAGAGAAGTAACATGAGCGTTACTATACAAGCGATAATTGTTCTAAGCATTTACACTGTCGTTACCGCCTATACCTAACTAACACTATCCGAGATACCAAGCAAATACAGAGAATGGCAGGGCTATATGAAGAAAGCTTTGTCTAGCCCTAAAATCGAAAGCAGAACATAGAGGCTCGGATTCACACGATATCAGTAAATAGGAGGAGTTAATACTACTTTCTATCATACCTTATAAATCTACTAAGGCTAGAATTTGATTTTTAATAACTAATGCTACAATAAGGAAATGATCTGTACTATACCGTACTGATATTGCAGTCATTCAGGTGGATTAATTGATCACTTCATGCTCGACACTCGTCAGCCACTGCACCCGAAAGTCCGACGACCGGGTTTCAGCATCCCAGTAGTCTCCGTGATATAGCAGTCGGAAATAGTATAGAGTTTCAAAGCGAGCTGCCAGTTTATTGCCAATACCGCCCTATATGAATATTACCATTTCATTTCTAGCCATTACTCACCCTACAATATGAGGACAACATCCGAACGGACAGTCATAATTGCTTTGGGGGGGGGTTATATCCGGCCTTTCCCTCGCTAACATGCTGGAAAGAGCTGGTATACACTATATCATACTGGATAGATACTGGAGCAGTGACTGGATGGGACGATACTAGTATGCTCACTGTTGCTGGTGTTCGAAGACGTGACATAACTGCCTCGGCCGTCGAAGACTTCATCACCAAGCAAGGACCCAGCCGAAACATCACAGCCATGGAGTGGGGCGCAATTTGGGCAGCGAATAAAGCTGTCATCAACCCCATCGCGCCCCGCTATACAACAGTCTCGAGCAAAGACTTGGTTAAGGTTACCGCAATTGGGGTCGAAGCCCCCGTGATGCCCTTCACAGCTGATCGACTCCTGCACCCCAAGAACAAGGATGTTAGAACCAGGAAGGTTGTGTTTGCTTCCGAAATGCTCATGGATCAGGCAAGTGTGAAACTTATGCGAACTGGAGAGGAGATCACTCTGATGGGCTGGGGCAATGCCTTCATGAAGGACATCTCGAGTACCGAAAACGAAAAGAGTGTGAATATGACTGTTGAACTCAATCTGGGCGGGGATTTCAAGAAGACGGACAAGAAAGTCACTTAGCTGGCAAGCAAAGGGCAAAATCTCATCTCAGCCGAGGCCTAGCAGTTCTACGGCATGGTCACCAAGGACAAGCTTGAGAAGGAAGACAATTTCGAAGATTTCCTTGCTCTAATTACGGCAACGATGGAAGACCTATAGTGCGCCGAAAATATCAGTGACATGAAGAATCATGACATGATCCAGCTTGAGAGTAGGACATCTATCGTGTTGATAAAGGCCTTGCGGACTAGGGACATGGAGAGGAAGGGCCAAAAGGCAAGAGACTAGTACTTTTTGCTATCCCAACTGGAAAGTCAAAGTAGGGGGTTGTTCGGCTGTCAGAAGTTGCGCCTGGGCCGACTTTTACTTTGCGTCTTAGGTGCTCCCTAGCTCCGAACAAGAGACCATTGCTCATTTAGCCCTTAGATAGCTAAATTAAAGAAGCTGACCTGCCAGTCATTTTAACACACCAACATGCCGCCTCCTTTTCAAGTGGTCGTCGAGTTTAAGTTGGACTCCACTTGACTAGGGAGGCTTGTATCTTGGCCCCCGTTTCTAGGACCGGGCCGTGTGGGTATAAAGCCAAATACCCTTGCTCAACCCCTGCGATGCTGTCAGGTTTCCAGGGTTCCATGTATCTCCAAAGTAGAGCTCAACGGCCGGATTCTGTGCCAGATTCCTAGTCAAGGGGTTCTCCATCCTTGCAATGACTTGGAGGAGTGGCCTGAAGACGTCTGGACATCTATCATCTTCTCTGAACCTCTACCACAAGTAGACCTGTTGAGGAAGGCAAATAGACGAGTGGAGCCATTATATTCAAGCCAAAGGAAAAGATTACGAATGTAAAGCATGTGATATCTTGACCGTTACGCATGTGCAGATATTATAGAGGCAAATATTTTATTGCGATGGACCTCTGGGGGAGGTAATAACTTCAAATCGGCTTTACTCGCCTTCCGGGCATCCTTCAAGGCCCTGGCCATAAACAAGTGCTATCAAACGCATAATGACCGTTCGGTTGTTGATCAAGAGAATATCATCTTTACCACTCTCTGCCATGATATAGTCCTCATCTCAGAGGGCGTAGCACTTCTGTATACACATTCTCTGACATACAGAGTGCCATCTTCATCATTCCCAACTGACCCCCTAACAAAGGTGACCTTATTAACCTCATAACACTGCTCATCCTCAACTACCAATACGCGATCAGCCCTGGTCAAGTCCCGACGGAATTTAGCAATCCATAATCCGCAATAGCTCTGCTTTATAATGATGGCTCGGCAGTAATAACCGCCATTGCTTCTCTTGCGCCAACGGCAGGCGTAGCCTGGTTATAGTTGATTTGGTTGACATTTGTGCTAATGAAGTTGGTTACCCCAGTTACCAAGATCGTTGTAAACGTGGTCATAGGGTCTGCCTGATTAGCGTCCAAGGTGCTCGCATTGCTGGCATATTCGTTTGCCAACAAGGCGAGAGTATTTGCCTGCTGCGCATAGCGGTTTGCCTCCACAGCTTGCAGCGCTGCTACCAAAGTCGACACGGCGGCCAGGAGGAACGCTGCGATTGCGAAACCAAAGCCGCAAAGCTGAACCCAAAGCAACGCCCAGTCGCGCCCCTTGCGCGCGTCGTACCACCACGCCCGAATTCTACTAGGTGAAGCATTATTGAACTCCTCTTCCAGTATCAGGAGACGCCTCTGCCAATAGTCGTAGTTCGAAGCTTGGTGCGACCGGTGTGATGGATAACTCCTCCATTGGGTCCCAATGGTCCTATCGATCATTTGTTCGCCATCCAATCTCTCGTTGAGCCAAATAGCACTGTCAAACCACGGACGTTGGTCGGGTGGCATCAAAAGAGCCATTGTCATCAGTCCTTCCTTGGCCAGCTTCTTGAAATCGTCTGTAGGACCGCTATATCATCCCATCAGCCACTTATCCATAGCCCCTTGAAATAGGTTATAGCCGAATTAGAAATAGTAGAAACCGTCTCAACATACCTTTCTGAGAGCTTCTTCAATACATTTGCATGTTGAAATATGTAAACAGTAGGCCTAAACCAGTCGTCTCGGTGCTTCATAACCCTGAGATGTTGAAGAAGATTGTCTGTGAATCTCACCCTGAAGTTTCCCATTCGTTCCAAATCTCTCAATGTGAAATAGTCTGGAAATGTATGAGTATCAACAGATTCGGGAGCTCCCAGGGTTCGGCGAAGTAGAGTATCCAAGTAATTCTGAGTCTTGTCATTATGCCAGCCCGAAATGAGTTTCTGCTCAGCTTTCCGTCCTTCACGCTTTATCCCGATACTCATCTCCCTGTACAAGCTCAACACACTTGTATCTCCCCTATTGGACCTCAATAAGTGTCCTTTACGAGCCAGGTCGTTCCAAATTACTCGCCAGTTACTCATATCTTCTCCTAATCCAATCCCATCTGGAGAGGCGAGTGATGGCCAGTCGTATAGGATTTCTCCCGCCAGTCCAACATGATCTCCCTGTCCTACCGATATCATGAGCCAAATACCAAGTACTAGCTCAAAAGAGTTCACAAATTGGCGAGCCTACAGTCTTGTCAGCATTAACAATTTTGGATTATAGATAATCTGGTTGAAATCATGGGTGTCATCCTTAACAGAATGGACGCAATAAAACTGTATATTGACATGCCTTGTTATCATTTTTGAGGAGTATGTCTCCGTTCAGCTCCGGGTCTGCATTCAGTGCCCTTATTCGTGCATCAACAGCTGGCCAAGGGGGGTTATCGGTTATATCTCCCGCGTTCAGACGGTGCAGTCGCCGAAGCTCCTTGATTCGGCCTTGTAGTAAGTGCCATAGATGGAAGGCAGGTGCCTGGTTCTGAAGGATTTCATCTGTGCGCGAAATCCACTCCATGAGTGCATATAAAGGCTGTGAAGCTTCCCACTTGATCAGGTTGAGCAAGTCAAGCATCTGATCTAAGTCCTGAATAAAGTGATCCGCTTTTTTGTGCTGGCCAAGACGCCGGTCTATTGCTTTCCACACGCTCAGCCAAGTCCGACAGACGCTATTACGATTACGGGTCAAATCTTTCCCCGGGATTTCATTGATTCATCATGGGTTTGAATTACATACTCATCATAATTAGTGTCTTCAACTTCCCAAAATTTTCTTGCCAAGAATACGAACTGCTCAGCGTGAAGCGGGGGGTTGAGAGCCTCGTCAGGTTGAGTGGCCATAATTCGAACAATAGATAAAGCGACAACGTTGGAAATCACGACGGACTAAAAGTTCAGACTCAGATCTTGAGCTTTTCAAAGGCCGATCGATAACACGAATGGCCATCGCTTTAAAGGAGATTTGTGACCAAAGCGTTTCGAGGGGGGTGGTTTCGGCCTAATATTTTCAAGTGCGCATGCAGCTAACTTCCTATGAAGCCAAGATCCGCTAGGACTTATGGTTCAATGAAGTTTGGGTGGCGCCACTGGCATTCGGTAATATTGATAGGTGCCAATGCTGACTGCGTCATGTGCACTGTCACCTGCGTGTCCGGCCATTCAGCTACATCAGCAATGAGAACTGGCCACGTCACTAATGCTTACATTCCCCCTTGCACCTCGTATGCGGCATTTTGGCCAATATTCTCGTATATTCCTGACTGGCTGCTTCAAGATTCCACATCATTCAGCTAAGGGTATCGCACTTGTGAGTTCACCAGGGCCAACTATAGTGCGTAGTTCATGGCCCTTCAGTTATTCAGAAATTAATTTTCCTCCCTCAATTACTAAAACGAAGCTCCTAGCAGTCCTTCTGCTTGCTGGAAAGAAATGAGCGTAATCGGTGATCTGATTACTATCATCATTATAGCAACTCGTATCATGCGCCTCATTGACCGTGACCGCCGTGAGCTCACCGAGGAAGAAAAGTCTCGATATTCACGCGTCCTCCGCGAATGCGAAGAGATCGTTGCGCACACCCCTCCGCAGTCGATGGGTTCGAGTCCGACGGTCAGTTACTACGGATGTCGCATTGGTCAGCGCCCCACGGTGATCATTTCGTCAAGTTCTCGCCGGTACTCGCATACGCTACAAAATAAATTGAAGCGGAGCAGAGCATTGACGAAATACGGTTTCGACTTTCGTTGCCAATCCCGCGATTTCAGTAAAGAATCACGCAAGGTCGAGTGGCTATCGGCTGTGGCTCCAGACGGAACGCCATGGTTTCGTAAATTATGGTGGTCGCTTCTTCCAAGACAACGACAACGCCCTGGCGCCGGGGATGAAGAGGAACAAATCACTAAACCTTCCAGGACGAAGCAGGCGACAAGGGTACCGCAGTCCTTTGAAATGATATACAAGAAGCCTGGACCAAAAGATTTCAATGATCTAATTGAGAGAGTTCATAAAGATACAGCGAAGCCTGGACTAGAAGTAATAGCATAGGAGGAACGAGTATGATTTATCGAGGAGGGCGCTATGCTAGGCTCTATGAACGTCAGAAATATGTTGTTGCAATTCTATCTGCTAGGAATCGGGAACGAGAGGGGCTGTTTAAGTACTGTGAAGGCGGGTGACTGGAATCAGGGGGACAGCAATTGACGAATATCGCTGCAGCTCATGAATTGCAACAGTCACGACGCTTGTGCCAAGCTACTCAACTGTTGGTAAATCGGTCTCTAGACCGAAATTCATCCAAGCTGTAAAATGAGAAATTCTTTTTCTGATCCTTTTCTGAACATCAATATAGAGATGCGTAGAGGAGGCGGCCGTATGCACCCACTGAGGCAAGCCGCTGCCTCGTGTAAGAAGATATCAAACCTACCGAACACCCAGACTGCGGTGCGATCGGTTAGTTCTGGACCGATGTCGAAAACCACGCGCCCAAAGGTTCTCCCACATTGAATCACCTCGCCGCCGTGGCCCCGGAGGTAGCCAGGTGCGATAACCACGAGGCGTATCGCTGCGATCTTCCCCATGATGCCGTGAAGCTCCTCGATAAAGCTCAGGTGACATGTCCGGTTGAATTCAATGTCGCTGTAAGCATAGGGCTGGAAGCTGGACTCATAAGCTTCCGCCACCATAAGTACCCTCCGTCAGGAGCGGCAGAGTATCATTACTTTGTCAAAACATACAGCAAGTTTATCATAATGAATACTACTAAATCATTATATACGTCTACTTATTGAGACTAAAGAACTTTCTTAGTTTGTTTCTTTTCTCACCACTTATTGCTTTGTAATCAACCAGCGCCTTCATAACATTGTTGAGATACTCATTAACGACCTGTGGATTTTTATCATTATATTGTCTTCTCACGAGAAGCTCACGATCAACTTTTCCAATCAGAGACTTAATCATAGGTTGCCGCACTCCTCTTTCAAGAAGAAAGTTAACAACGCTCAATCCGAGAAAAGTCGATTTCTGGAAGATTTATGTCTCGAGGATCCCCATTGGGTCTGGACCCAAATACATTCGAGGGCCCAACACAGCCTGTTCTAAAAGGGGAATTGAATATTTATGGGGAACTTCATGAAAGAGGCTTGGATTCTCGTCGTATTTGAACCGGACGTAAGGCAGAATAGCAAACTGCGTAACTAGGGCGTTGAAGGTATTGGCTTTCGGGGTTGAACTCATAGACTGGTATGAGGGCCATGGAAGCGTTTCAGATTCAAGCCCGACAAATGTGCTAAACAAATCAGATGAAGCGATCTTGAACTGATCAATGAGTTCAATAAGGGCTGTGTTGGAGATGATTTTTTGATCAACCTGGGATGCATAATATAGTGCCCTCAAAACAGATTTCCAAAACTCTGGAGTTCCTGGTAGGAAATATTGATTTCCTTGTGAATTCTGGGAGGCAAACTTTTGAAGGGCAACTTCAGCGCCAAGGAGGCAAAAATGAGGATCAAAGCCCCTGGGACTTCGAGACCGCAGTTGCTCCCAGACACGTGGTTGACTAGCCCATTCTGCGGCTGTTCTGTGAAGGTACTCACAGTCCGAGTCCCGGGTACGAACTCTAAAATCCCTCGTGTCCGGGCGCCGAGTCTGCGTATTAATGATGCCTGCGCTGTATCCATCATCTCAGTTTGCGGCATGATAACAGGACCACTTCTCGACTCGTCTGCCAGCCACAGGGTCATCCAATCCAATGGCGGAAGAGCCATGTCATAAAGTCTCAACATTGCACAGACTTCGGGCATGAGTGTTGGGGGGATCGTTGTGAATATAGCGTCATAGAGATCCTCGATTTTGCTAGGCATCTTGTCCAAGAGGTTCTGGAGTTGCAATAAGCCTGACCCCGCGATAAGGCCCTCTCGTAGCGTCTTGGTAACGAGAGCCGTCCAAAGAAACACTCCTGCGGCTTTTAAGGCGATATCCTGAAGCAGTTTGTGTCCACCGCCCTGATACAATCTGTTCAGGTCCTGGAAGGCGATTTCGTCTTGGAAGTGGTCGCGCACAAAAGCTTGCATATCTAAATCGGTCAGCCTGTGCATCTGAAGGCTCGGGCTTTTGTTAAAAGCGTCACTGAACTGCGGCCAAGGTCTGCTTGCGACGCAAACTTTAATGGTACTGTGAGAAGCGATGTTCTGGATTGTGTTGCAGAGCTCAACGGGAGCTATATCGAACTCATCAAGGCCGTCGATAAAAATAGCGAGATATGATTTGCCCTGTGAATGGCTTAGAAGACGTGAGAAGGATTCTTCAAGCTCCCATGTACTCCAGGGCGGAAAGACTTCTGAGCGTAGATCGCGGACCATATGAAAAAATGACCACCTCCTAGGACATAGTGTCGGGGTTAGATCAGGATCCAAAGCGAGTATCTGGTGAAGAAGTGTGCGTAGTAGCCCATCTATAGATTTTCCCAATTCCACTCCCGGCTTCCATGCATAATAACTGATCTTGCGAATCGAACAATCCTGAGCCCACTGTCGGAGGTGGTCATCCAACGCCGCATGATTGAATATGAACTTCATCATGGTTGACTTTCCGGAGCCTGGCTTACCGGTGATCCAGTAAGGGAGGCCAGGGTTACCTTCAAGCCATTCCCGCAAATTAGACCACATGGGCAGCCCATCTCCAGAGACATGCGGCGGCTCGAACACCCATCGGTAGGTGGTGTTAAAAGGTTTTGCGATTTGGTCTTCCCGGTTCTCCATCGAATCAAAACGAAGGCTGTCAGAGATCAACTGGTTCAGTTCATGGGCTGATGCGCCTGTTTGAGTCGGAAAAGATGACAATATAACCGGATCAGCCTCCCAGCTTCTGCTCCAGAGACATTCGTTGATCTTGCTCATTACACCATTCTGGTGCATAGAGTTCACTGTAATGTTCTCGACAACGTCTTGACCAGATCTTGATCCCTGGTCTGGGCCGGATTCACCTCCTGTATTCAGTGCTTGGGCGAGCATTGATATCATGGCATCTAACTTAAGGCTAAATTCCCGCTCTATGTTTCTCGTTGCCTGTGAGGTTTGCCTGCGGTGATACTGTGAGCGTGAAGTTCATAGTAAGTCGGGAAACGGTACACCGGGAGACCTACCAAATAGAAACAGTCGCTGCCATCATGACTTCTTGCCGCACGTTCTCAAGACGGGAGTTGATATTGTCAATGTCCTTGCGTTTCCACCACCCCCTAAGGGCCGCTTCGAAACATTCCCCAACTGACCTAGGCTCATATTCCCGGATATTTGCTCTGCCCACCGCCTTTTTATCTCGATCCAACTCACGATGGAAGCCAGCATTGACTTTTTGCAAAATAGTCTGCACTTCCGATGCGATGACTTTGCACTCACCACAGAGTCGCTGCAGCTTCTCGTCGGCCAATCCGGAAGGGGAGGCATCCTTTTGCTGCTCTTTTAGCGTATCCTTTATGCTCCGGGATAGTTGCGATATATCCCTCGAGACCGCTGAGAGATCCTGGAGCGCAACGGTCTGACCCGACGAGGAGCGATACATGCGCCATGTGCCAGAGAAAAGTCGCTGGGCGAAATCGACAAACCTCACCGTGGCAGCGACAACGGAAAGTAGTGATAATGGATCCATCATTAGTCTAGTTTTCAGAATAGAATAGAGAGCCTGACTGTAGCTGGTACTTGGGAGGTTTGAACATGCCTCCCGCGCCAGTTTACGTACCAGAGTTACACTGGGGAAAGCCGGTTGAGGGGAGCAGGGTCAGGGAGGTGGCTGGTTAAATGGGTCTGTATTTATCATTACCTTTTGAGATACATCTCCCTGGCTCCAGGGATGAACACGGTTACCAAAAAGATAGACCCATACCACTTCACTACTGAGGGCTCTGGACCCTCTATCCACAACATGTATGCTACAGCAGCCCTGAGAGGTCTGCGAAGGAGACCTCATCGCTTACCATACTCTCTAGGATGGGAGACACCAAAATATGGGCAACCGTCTTCGGTGAATCAACGTGCTTCTAGAGGCTCAGGGTATTCTTAGTAAGATTAGTGCCGCCATATGACCACGTTTTATCCTATCAGACAGCAGATAGCTTCTATGAACCCTAATGATTGGTTTAGGTTGCTTCCAAGGCCTAGCCGTGGTCTGATTATCATCCACTTTCTTGTCAGCTGCTGCCGCCACTATTTGATGGCTGCATGAGGCTAACCTGCAACAATAGGTGTGCCAAGCGTGAAGTACTTAGCTACACAAGTTCTTAATCCATGGAGGGTACTCAGTTAACCATACGTGAACGATAGGGACCGGATCTGACCGCGAGGCCAGCGCGTATGCACATATTGGGTCGACGAATGCTTCGTTAGCTTTCCACAGCTAGACCGAGAGATGCGCTCGCACTATCCGACTTAAGGCATCTCTTCTGTCGTCTAAAGGGGCAAGCCTTTATTTGTACCCTTTGCAGCTGGCGCTTACTAGCCCAAGAAAATAGCCCGCGTTTCATCATGCGCGGCACGGAACGGCCTACTATGAAGTCTGCGGTCTACAGAGTCGAAGCTTCTGCTAAATATTACAGAGACAGTTGATAGTCTAGACCTTTTCTTCTTTTCTCGGGAATACCCGTGATGCGGCTCTGCCCCTTGCGCACGGGATCTTTGTATACCAAAACCCCTCCTCAACATTGTGAGTTTCGAACTATAATATGCATGGTATTTGTAATAGGTAGCATCCACTGCCATTACGCTTACTTGTGTTATGACCTTGTCAGGGTCCGTCATCAGGTGCATCAACAGATAACTACTTCCAGAATTACTAGAGCAATTAGTCTCTAGCTAACTTAATTACTCAACCCCCTCTTCTCTGCGCATGTGACTATTCTTTGCTAAATATGGGGTAACAGTCGGCTATGCGAAGGCATATTTGGGTAGTATCTCCTGGGGGACACTACCTCGGTGAGTTGAGGTTGTCCAATATTAAAGAGAGAAGAAAGCCATCATTTATGCGGTGGGTCTCAAGTCGGATTTTCCCTGTCTAAAAGTGCCCAAGCGGGAGACTGTTTAATGGGTCTATGGAGTAGCCGACCGTGTTAGCAGTCAAGAAAAGAGGTCAAATCCGTAGCGATCGGGTAGATTAAGTCCCGACGCACGAATCAACTGTCGCCACGAATGGCTGCTAGGCCGGCTTACGGCAATCTTTCGTCTTGGCAATAGAGAGTGGGTTCGGGTGCTCTGAGATCTTATTGCATAGCAGTGACCAGTTGAGTTAGGCATCACTCGCTCGTCCCGCCCGAACCAGACATCTAGGGCAGGTTTGTAGCATTTGTTTTATGACGGAACAGAAGAAATAGGTGTGGTAGCCAAATAGAAACTTATTCAAACATGTTGCTTAAACGTAAAGTTCTTTGAATTCTTCTTATTCTAGCCCTGCAGTCGTGAATACGTGACCACCTCAATCAATCGAAGGGAGGTGTAGGGTAGCCACGTCATGTTCAAGGCCAACGCCCCACTCGAGAAAACAATTCAACACCATCCATCCATCAACCACCTAACCATCAATCCATCCACCAACCAACATGTACTCAACGCCTACTCGTCGCTTCAAAGTGCATTATTTCTCTGCTCGTAAATCCGTGTATACTTGGCTTGACTCGGTTGATTCATCTCACGACCCAGACAGCGACGCCAACCAACTCGAGCGACCGCCCAACCATGCCAACTCGACATCACCCCCGCAACATTTGCCGACCCCCGCACCCGATCGCGATTCCCATCGAGACTAAGCGCCATGGGAAACAACACGACGCGGCCCTTCTATAGATCGCCACCTGGCACTCGACGCAGTGGAGGAGCTTGCGCTGGAGCGGGCGCGATGTTTCCAACATTGAGTTTCTGGCAGTTTGTCGTTACGGCCCCGGGGGATGGCGAGAATGAGTTGGTGAGGGTGTTTCGGCCAGGGATCTATATCGGGGACACGAGGTCCGAGGAGGCCATCTACAAGCTGCTCGTGTCTTTACAGCGGCTGGCTGCGTGGGTAGAGGATGTTTTTTGGCCCGCACAAAGCTAGTTTTAGCATTTACGATTGAACGAATGGCTCTGTCCCAGATGGAAGACATTATCGCACTTGAGACTGGTATTAGAAGTCTACTGTACCGCGCCCCCCATGACTTGTGACATCCATAAAGCAGCCACCTATTTCTAGACCCTCCCAGGATATAAGTGCCTGGCCGATCACAACCACTCTCTCCCCGTAGTTCAAAACAAGGTGGCTGCTACATACTACTTGGTCACGGTTCTAGGGCCCTAAAGGGACTTGGTGGGGGATTTGCAGAGGATGCCTAAATAGTAGAGATCACATTCTAGCGATTCCGGCCTTTCTTTTACCGAAAGGACTGGTAGGATGTCGTTTGAGGTTTCAATTTCGGCAAGGTGACCGGAGACATGTCGGGACGAAGGTGTTTGTGATAAGAGAATTCTTTGCAATGCACGCCAGGTCGATACAAGGAAGACTACGCATTCGTAACCAAACAATAGTAGTAGTTTAGTGTGCCCCTTGCCTGGATGTTCATCTTGCGTTTTCATTCATTAGAGCTCCGGAGCAACCAAGGCAAGGACAACCACTATCTACACGCCTCAGCTCAAAACAATCCAGATTCCATTTTCATGTGAGGATCCTGTAATGAACTCAATTCCTCAGAATAACAATCTAACTTGTCAAACTACCCGTCTAAAAATTCAAATCAAATTTAAACAGTTTAGGCCGATGATTTCACCATCTATGGATATTCTAAACTCTCCGTACATCAATCCATGCACGTACGTATCTCCGGTAACCTGAGGTTGCTACGATGCTTGCGTAGAATGACAGGCACACTGCATCTTCGAACAGTTCACCATCACGACCGAACCCATTGCAGAAATTGCGGCGGAAGCCTTGAGCAGTAGAATAGTTCCTTCTCAACATTAGCAGAAAGAGGCATTAATATATCTTGGAGGACATCTTCATCAGTTCCCTAACCCCTACACTGCTCACTATAGCTATATGAAGGAGAGGGAAATCAGTATATACGTAGGGGATTGGCAGGCGCTGCGCATTGCCTTTAGCAGCCGACGGCGGACACATAATTTTATACAGCGTTTCTGATCTTGCTGGACCTCGCGATCATATACAAGGTACCGATAGGAGGCCCATCGATGGAATGTATCTGGGGTTGATCAGAAGAAGGCCCGCCGTGCGAGCTCTAGGCCGGGCACGCACACAACAGGGCGGGAATTGGTGACCTCTCTCAATGACGACGGCAAATTAAAGTCGTTATTAGAGTTAGCGCCAGAAACGCGGGGCATTGAGGATCGCCAGGCGCTAGGATAGGCTTAATCTTGGCACAGTTCAACAAGGCCGATGCTTTTCGGAGACGAGGCAGTTGGGGTAGCCCGATTTGCACTCTTCAAGGCCTGGGACCTTCTTCTCTTCCATTTTGGACATGGCAGAGGGATGACGGAAAGACGCTCTGGGGGCAAGTGACATCCTAAATCCGGGGGCTGTGTTGACAACTTTTGCTTGGCAATACGGATTAAGTTGCCAAGGATGGCTTTGCAACGCTCTAGCTCGAGAAGCAAGGGGCCTCCAACTCCACCGTCTGGTAACCTCCGGGGTCTAGGTAGATTGCTAGCTCATCTGCCCCCCTCTTGATTGGCCGCCTTGCACTTAGCATGTCATTTGCGTCCGGATACCTGTGTATCCGGCTTGGCTCTCTGTTTGCCTTGTATCCCTATGACGCGCGGGCTGGTAGAAGGAAGTATGTTGAGCGGTGGCTTCATCGCAGATCGGCATGACTAGAAGGAATGAAGGCTTTTAGTTATGATATCAGACGTTGTCAAACGCTCTATAAGAAGCACCGAGTGGTTCACCACAAATGCTCTTAGTTCCTCCAACTAGGCATCTTCACGAGTACACCTTCACACCTTCTTAACTCACCGACTTCATCTCGCAACAAATTCCAGCTAAATTCCTACTCCCAAGATGAAGTTCACGATTGCTGCTGCCCTCAGCCTCGCTGCCGTTGCTCATGCCCAGCCTGTTGACAACACTATTGATACTCGTCTTGTTCATATCAAACTCGGCGGCAAGGGCGAGAAAAACCCCTTCTCCTTCACCTCTACCTATTCCCTCCACGCCACCCCTGAGGAGGTCGTAGACAGCAACAATGCCTTGACTGGAGGTCTCGCGGGTGCGAGCGGTGTCTACAAGTTCGGCATCAACTCACACGACAACATCATCTGCTACAACATCACCCTGAGCGGCTTCCAGGGCGAGTATCAGTCCCCTGCTGTTAGCGCCACCCATATCCACGAAGCTCCAAGGGGCAGAGCCGGACCCCCTCGGTAAGTCACCCCAAGCTTGATCTTATGTTAAGAAATGAGTACGATTATTAACCCTTGACAGCATCGCCTTCCCCAATCCAGTCGAGATCGGCCCGAGCCTGCGATCCTCCATTGGCTGCATCCGTGGCCCCTTCACGACCGGTGTTCTCGCCAACGGCAAAGACACCGGCGAGGGCTTTCACGTTAGGCAGATTGAGGAGAATCCGGCTGGCTTCTTCGCTGATGTTCACTCCAGCTTGGCCGTTCCCGGTGCTGTCCGTGGACAGCTTGAAAAGAATTGTTAACTATAGTATGCACGAAGGTTAATGACGAGGTCGAGGAGGATTATAATGAGGCTTGGTATCATATTACCCATCTAATCAAGTAATTAGTAAATAATATTAAGATCTTGCACTTCCTCCCTCTTGCCCGCAGTTATTGATGACCGTAAAAATATCAGATAAAATTGTAATAAAAGCTCTGATGAATTTTTGTCCTATAACACCTCCTCGTGTCCTTCTAAAAGACAAACTTCATAATCAAGTGGACCACTCGGTCTCTAAATTATGGGTTATATTTTCTTGCTTGGAGAGGCTAACTCACTAGCCCAAATTCCTATTGCTCGGTCACATTCTGACCTTCTCTCGTCCGAGACACGAGACGCTCTGATGGGAGCAAGCCCCCGACACTCGCAGCCACAACACCAGGCATACCTACTGCAGAAAGCATGGGTAAGACTCGCCGTTGATTCAACAAACTACCGCTCCTCACCTTTTCCAATACCGCGAGATCATCTCTGATTGCAAATAGTGCGGTGTCGACGCTATAATTCTCAGCATCCAAGAGAACCGGCAACAAGTCGTCCCCAGTCTTGGATTTTCGGCGGAGCCGCAGCCAAGAAGGCCAGTGACCTTTGATAGATCGAAACGATCTTTCGATGATGGGGTCAGGGAATAGGCGGATAAGAACACCAATTGGGATAGAGAAAAACCCTATGGTAACAGAGAGTGCCCATTGCGTCCCGGTGATTTGGACGACGACAAAGGCGTCACCGCCAAAAAAGATGATGATAAGCTGGCCAGCGGTCATCACTGACATCATAAACATAAACCAGTAATTGCGGTGTAGCCCCTCAAATATGTTGAGCTGATTATCGATACGGCGGCTGTTGACCAACTTGAAGATCTGCATGAAGACGAAAACGTTGAAAATGAAGGTTCTGAGCTCCCGTTCCGGGTAATTGAGGAAGCTGGGCCCTGCAAACCACAACACAAAGCAGACGATTAACTGGAAGATTGACTGCCCTATTATCATCTTCCACATGGGAAGCGTGATTATAGACGCGCTTCGAGGCTCGGGCTTTCGGTGGAGGAGACTTCCGGTCGGCCGGTCAGTGGCCAGAGCGAGGGCAGCGAAGGTATCCATGATGAGGTTTACCCACAGAAGCTGGACGGCATTTAGGACCGGCGTTCCCTCGTCGTCTGAAACGGCCGACACGAATGTGATGATGACAGCTGTAATATTGACGGTGAGCTGAAACTGGAGGAACTTCTTGACGGAATCGTTGATAGCACGGCCCCATGCAAGAGCCTTGACGATGGACGAGAAGTTATCATCCATAAGGATGATGTCGGAAGCCTCTTTAGCTACTTCGGTGCCTGCGATGCCCATGGAGAACCCAATGTCGGCCGCTTTGAGAGCCGGGGCGTCGTTTGTTCCGTCCCCAGTCACTGCAACAATCTCCCCAAGGCTCCTCAACGTCTTGACAAGGATGCGTTTGTCTTCAGGGCTCGCCCTTGCGAGTACACGGATATCCTTGGCAGCCTCTGCACAATCGGACCCGGTAAGTCGATGAAACTCTGAGCCTTCCATCACTAAGCCTAGCTCACCGTGCTTGAGGATGCCGCACTCTTTAGCAATGGCTCTCGCAGTTTCTATGTTGTCGCCTGTGACCATCTTGACAGTAACGGAGGCAGAGTGGCAGTCTTCCACAGCTTTAGGAACACTCTGTCTGACGGGGTCCTTGATGCCGATGATGCCAATCCAGGTCACGGATTGGAAGACATCGTCAAGCTCTACTTCACTTGAGCCGGACTCACTACCAGTCTCGGGTGGCCACTGTGGAAAATCACGATATGCGAAGGCGAGGGTGCGCAAAGACTGAACAGCGTAGCCGGACGTGATGTGGCTCAGGACTTGCTTGTGCTCATCTGTTAGAGGCGTCAATGCCAACGCGTTCGTGTGGTTGCCGAGTGTGAGAGTACTCGCACATCGGGCCAGCACAATTTCCGGTGCGCCCTTGATGAATAGTCTATATTTATTGACCTCTCCGCAATCTCCATCTCCAGGGAGCTCGATGACAGCTCCCATGCACTTGCGGGTCGAGATAAATGGGAAGAGTTGCTTGACTGAGTGGTTGGCTCGCTCTATTTCAAGAGGGCCGAGGGCAAAACACCGACGGACCCAATCCAATAAAGCAGTTTCCGTTTTCGTACCGATGAAGACCTTTCTTCCCTCTTCCTCTCCCTCGAAAGCAGTGGTGTTCACAGCAATCGCAGTCTTGAGAAGATCCCGATACTGTGCGTCGAGCGTGGATGAAAGCTGACCTATCGGGACTTGAACTGCTGGCTCGGTTTTCTCAACATGGGTCGATTTTCCCCCAACTATATGCGTCTTCTGGTCTTCTCCAGAAGTCAACACACTGGTTTCCGTTTGGCGATGAACTTGTTTACCACCAAACCGAACTTGACCCCCCTCTCCCAAGGCCCCTGATACGACCGTCATGACATTCTCTGTTAGAGTCCCCGTCTTATCGGAACAGATGACCGTTGCGTTTCCCATAGTCTCGCATGACTGCAAATGGCGGACGAGATTGTTCTCCTTCGTCATACGTTTAGTAGCAAACGCCAACGATAGCGTCACGGCCAGGGGCAAGCCTTCGGGAACAGCAACCACGATGATGGTGATGGCGGTGATGAGGATGTGGAGGAAGCTCTGTCCCTTTTCTTCTGGGCCACGGTTGTCTTTAGGTAGCCGAACAAGAAACTCGATGAAGAGCACCAAGAAAAGCAAACCGCCGGCTGCACTTCCGAGCTTTGCAATGTAGCCTGGATACGAACTCAGTCTTGTTCCAGCTCCGATATTCATAATCGCATTGGGGTGGGGCTCAATAGGATACAATGCTTGTGAGAACTAACCTGCCAAAACATTGAGCTTGGACTGCAAAGGAGTGAGTCCGGGGTCGTCACGAAGAGCCATCATAGTTCTGCCAAGGCTCGAGTTTCTGCCGACCGCCGTCACAAGAAAGGATCCCACGCCATCAAGTACTTTGGCCCCGGAGAGGATAAATGGGTCGAGTTCCTTGTGATTTGGTGCCTCTTCCGGTAGAAGCGAGCGCATCACCTCATCTCCCGGGATCTTCTTCATCAAGTCAGACTCGCCTGTGACGGACGACTCATCACAGCTGAGGCTGTGGCCGTTGATGAAGACTCCATCAACGGGAATCATGTCTCCCGGCTCCACGAGCATGACATCTCCCACGAGAACATCATGCACCGACACCGTTGCCGCCTTGCCCGAGCGGACCACCTTCACAAGCCGATCCTCCTTCTTCGCGTTCAGCTTCCTGAATTGACGCTCCTTCTGCCAATCGTTCAAGGCACCGACGGTGACCACAATGGCGACAGCGGTGATAATAGCCACGCCTTCAACCCACTCTACTTTGGCACCTTCATCGTGTGTCTGGCCAAATGTTTGATATAGCCCCAGGGCTAGCGAGATGACGGCGGCGATGCTGAGCAATATTAAGACTCGGTCTCGAAGCGCAATTAACACTAACCGTAGAAAGGACGTTGCTTTACGGTCAGGCAATTTGTTGATCCCGAATACACGCTTACGATCGATGAAGCAGTCATCTCCCCCATCACAACTGTGAGGTTGGTTAATACCGGACTGCTGTAGATTGGTTGAGGATTCCCGTGGGCTGCCCGGACGTCCTGCCACCAAATCTGAAGTCGCCTGTTCAAACGTGATGGTGCATGGTGGGTGTTTCTCATCAACGCTTAAACCACCCTGGCGATTGGTTTGCAGGCCTTTCTCTAGCCCTGACAGTCCTCCTAGTGCCACGAATGCAGCTAGGCTCTTGGGATTGATGAGATTCCCCAGCTGTCCCGGCGAGAATGCAAAGGGCTCTTTGCTAATGTTGAACAGAGGCTCGTCTCCCGGACTAGGTTGGAGTGCGTCCGTGTTGCCAGCCTGGGTTTTCAGGAACGCGAGCCCGGTTTTCTGGGCATCGCTGGAGCTGATATGCGCGGTGCTGGAAGAGACACCGGAACTTCCTTCGAGCCGCACCGTTGGAACTGTCAAATCATTCGAGGCCTTTTCGGGGGTTGACTGAGAAGTTGAAAACATGTCTCCTACCGAAGAAGATATACTAGCTGCGCTTTGCAGAGGTTCCTTCAACACCAGGTTTTCTCCTTTCTACTATGGACGGCCGAGATATGTGCCTTGGTGGTAGGCGATTGCTGTCTGAGCAGAGAGATTTAATTAAGATGCCATATATGATCCAAAATGTCGTGATTTTGGCCTGTATGCTCAACAGGCATGCCGCGATGTTCCGTGGAGAGGAGGGCAATAAATACGCGCCAATATACCTAACTTCTCCTCGCCTCTCGTAGCTCAAATGAACAGGGAAGCACAAGTCAGGCCACAGGGGTTCGCTCGTGATTCTCGCCAATCATAGAGCCGTTGTTGCACTGCCACTCGGCAGGACACCCTTCTTTTCGAGTCTTCCTCATCGCGCGCGTCTATTGGTTGGCACGATTAAGCTTGGAGAGTTTAGGCATAAATACAAAAATTTAGGTTACGGTAGTCATCACGCCTAACAACGGGTGGCGATTTAAGCTTTACATGCTTAATCGGTTTGCTTGACAATGATGTCGCGATGATGAAAGGGTGGCAGAGCTCATCTGTTCACACACACTTTGAGGTTACTGTAGTGAGGCTATGCAACCGCGCATGGCGGAAATTTTATCACATCATGCACGATGTGTAGCCCAGCAGTGATTGGTGCCACCAATGGAGGATCGACATCAGGGATACGTCAAACGGAGAAACCAGGCTCTTTGGGATAGAGGCGGGACCGTTTACACAGCCACCGGAGGGATTGAATCTTCTGTTCCCTATTGACCTTGAGGCGGGCGAAGTGGCACCCGAATCACTCAATGGAATGTCACCGAGGGTAGAAATCTACCGGGCCACACTAATACAAGAAGACGGCTTATAGTTACTCTTCGCTGCGGAGGGTGGGAGGGAAGATTTGAGGGATGTGCATTTCTGACAAACAGATGTATGAGTGAGTACTCTCATTATCTAGAGAAATCCCACACGGCGATGGTACCGCCTTCCCATCTCTACTCACAGGCAGCGTAAGGCATGACGCAGGTGGGGAAGTGACGTGTTCATTCTACAGATAGACGGTGAAGTTCTTCTCCTTCTTAGTAAATTCAGGTTTCCACCAAGCATACTGCAAGACATCGGATCTTTGAAAAGAGATACCAACGTAAAGTTAAAATGATAGTTAGAATGGCGAAGGCTTCTCTTTGGCCCTTGGGTCCTGGGGAAACAGTTGAAATGGAACAGGTGAAATTCAAACAAATGTCCGCATAAAGTATAGAGTAAGGGTTATGGACGGTTACCACAATATCGCATCATTCTTTACTATTCAATCATTTTATAGCTGCCTGTATTAGAACGTAAGAGAAAATGAGTATAAAGTTGCAAACAGCAATGGAAGATGCCAGAGCCCGACATCTCAACACAAGAAATACCTGTATTAAAACAGCCCCCATTCAGGCACAGGCAAGAAGAGTTGCGAAAATGATACGTATTCCAAACTCTTGCCAATGTTTCATGCGAGACTCGCCCTCGATCCTTCGTTTTGATGCGACCCTTGCGACAGGTGGTATCAGCTCGGTTAATGCTACTCTGGAAGGAATGTGACATTAGCGCGCTACGCTCGAGATGAAACCATTGGATGTTTACTCCAGCATTTGCCGCACGATGTAAGCAGAACTTCGAAACCCCGCAAGCATAAGGACCTAATGCAGATCCTCTTTGCCCTCCTCGGTAGTTTGAAACTTCTCCCGACGGAGACTGGGCGGTAAGAAGTCCGGTTGGCCACCACATATAAAAGACCCAGCATTCGACAACAATCACCACATTCTTTCTCACAATCACAACACACTTTCTCACAATCACAACACACTTTCTCACAATCACAACACACTTTCTCACAATCACAACATCAAAACACTTTCAAGCGCGACATTTCACGATGAAGCTGTCTGTCATTGTTTTAACGACTATGCTTGGCCTGGCCGCTGCGTAAGAATTCCCTATGTCATCTCTCACCTTCTGCTTTAAGTTGAGCTAATATTTGAGAATTAGCGAATGCTACGAGGGCTTCTGGTATGCTGACCGCAACACCCGTGAGCCCTGCGCCTCCATTTGCGAAGTTCAAAACGGAGGAAAATGTATTCTCAAATGCCCTGAGGAGACCGACCCCAGCTTCCCACTTCTTTGCGGAGCAACTTGCCAGTGCCCATAAGCATTAGGACAGGGTCTGAAGGAAGTCGGCGAAATTAATACTTGATATTCCTCTGCGAAGACATGTATTTCGCTGTGTTTTCGAAGAAGGCAGCTGTTTCTATTTCCAACTATTTCCTAAGATAGAACCTAGGGGCTAAAGATGTTACTTTATAAAGCTTGCTATCACTCTAGCTTTATCTATATAATGAAGCTTCACTAGTTCACCCAATACCTGAATCGACCTATTTTAACTCCCACTCCCGCTTCCCCTTCTGCTTGTGCGCGGCGAGGTAACTTAACCATGAAATACTTCTAAAACCCCTGTTCTATCCATAGACATATACTCAATAAAACCATTCTGAACCTTGCGCAGGGTTCTCTTGGACTCAAAGGACCAACCAGGGATTTTGGTTTGAAACAGGATCAGTTCATCTGAAGCATCCGAGTCTGCAGAATCGAATTCCGAGGAACCAGAATATAGAAAAACAGAATCTGTGGAACCCGAATCTGGAGAATCAAAGTGATGTATTTGAACCCGGATTTGTCGCAGAGACTGGAGACGCCCACTGGATAGGATACTCTCTATCTCTGTTGATAAAATGTCTCTTGGGGGCGATAGCAGAGTCGACGATGGAACACAGTATTGCTCATAGCGAATGTCAAGAGTTGCGAGTGATGGTGGAAGGACACTCTCCAGAGGCAGATCACAATGCTCCAATGATGTATTTGCAATGAAACCGCCCGAATTCAAGCCTTGAGTGATGATCAAGTCATTCCTATAGCACTGCAGATGGCGGAGGCTTGTCATGCTAGATACAGGCCCAATTCGCCCAATTGGTGTATGTGTCAACTTATACTGAGAGAAGTCAAGATGGAGAGTGGTGATATTACCCCCGTAGTTTCGTAGAGCCTGCCCCATCTGTTCAAGATTCAGAGCCCAGGAGACAGAGGCAGCAGGAATGAATGATTGTCCCTCAATCGTCCATTTCGCCTTCGCCAAATGAATACTAAGAACAATGAGCTTGGGGCAGTGTCGAAGAATGTATTCAAAACTACGGGTGTCGACGTAACAGTTTGTAAGTCTGATGACTTCTAGACTGGGCGGCCAGTCTTCAGGTAGTAAATGTGCAGGAAGCTCGTTATTGAAGAAATCTAAAGCCTTAAATCCACCATTGATTGAAAGAGTAGAAAGACCTGGTTTGTTGATAATATCCGCAAGGACACGATCAGTCAGGGACCATTCTTCCCCATCAGCCTCTAAATGGAGATCTTTTAGATAGGCATGGCCATGATTGGCAAAAGGCCCAAGCTTAGGAGTAAGATCTATATTAGGCTCAACCCACATATATGGCGGGTTTCCCTGTGGACGCCATGATGTTATGATCATGTAGTTCCATATATCTTCGGGGTCATTGGAGAGAAGAATAAGTTTCTTAATCATAGTAGCGTATAATAGAAGTGCAATAGGACCCGCGTGGTTTCCTTTTAGTTCTGGTTCCAATGTACGTCGCAGAGTGTACGGGACGTCCCAAGGGAAGCCGATCGTTGACCAGTCCGCTGTCGATACAGAACTTGTAATGGCTAGGAAGCGGATGTGCTTCGCGAGATGTGGGTGTTTTGTTATTGTTCTGAGGAGAAGACTAGGCCACTCATGCTGATTTGGTCCATTCGTCGTTTCGTAGATAAGGTTGATGGTATGGTAGAGTAGAGGCTGAGCGATATGATACAATCGTCGGCTTACTCGACTAAGGGAGGATAAGTCCTTTGGGCGTAGTGATCGATAAAGTTTCAAGGTTTGACTTTCTTCTTCTTCAAAAGGTCGTCTTGCACTCGTAGAAGGTACATATAGAGGAGGGATGAGATGGCGCAATGTATGAATCAGGATCTCGCCGGGGATGTGGAGCACCATATCGGATGGTTGTCTGTTTACTGGTTCTGTGTATCTAGTCTGTTGAAGGGTCAAAAAAGGATGTTGAACACGTTGTTCAGAAATTTGGTAAAGGACCAACAGGCAACTGGTCAAATCACGTGATTACATGCGTACAGCCTCATTGGTGGTACGCCTTTACGGAAGCAATGCTGTGTTTGTTGATTAGAGTACATAAACTAGCCTTTCGTCCGTCCAAAACATATAGGAATAAAGGGAAAAGGTGGTCGCCCCTAGTTAGTGGCCTGATGTTGGAACTCTTATTTAGAAATTCATGTAGTAAAGCTCTCGTATAAGATATGTAGATTATGCCCTCGGCCAACACTAGATTCGCCGTCGTTGATCTCTTGCTGGGTAAAAAAGGCATATATCGCAACTTCGGACGTTTAGTTGCCATACTTCGAGTCATCTTGGCTTCTACAAGTGCCGAGAAGCTCGCATGTCAGGGGCTGGCGGGGTCATCATTTAGGCTTTCTCACTATAATCCCATCTTGGTAGCTCAGGGATTATTCCCCAACTCTAAGTGCGCGCCCGCCGTTGCTTGAGGTCCAGAGCCTGTATAAATTCGAAACACGGGTATAGTTCGAGCAATGGACAAACTAGGTCATCGTCTCAACGCCTTTGGCAACACGGTGCGATCCAAAACAGCATCTACAGTCGATTTCCGTATTGGAGATAAATAAGATTCTCACTTATTGGTATTCGTGGCTCGCTCCATGGAGAGCACGCTTCCTCCTTTAGAAACAGTGCATGGACTTGAGGGTAGCGTCGGGAAGCTGAGACGTGATCTTGTTCCAGAGCAGGAAAGGAATCATGCTCTTCGACGTAGAAAGGGGTAGCAGCTTCAATGCCCAAGACACCAATGGCACTGTTTGCGAGCTGCAGTTCCCCAACAAGCCCAAAAAAGTCAACAGCGTTTCGTCCCGACCGGAGACTCTAGGGGCATATAGCACATGACTTCTTTCTAAGGCGACTGCTGGTGGTCCGCCAGGCAAGTGACTAAGGGGACCAAAGGGTAGGACTCAGAAACTTTTCTATTCGAGGAAACATTACCGACGCTTCAGAACGGCCGTTTGTAAGTCAGACGTTGAAGGCATACTGAATAGGGCCTAGAGTTCTCGTGCTCGTCAACGACGATTACAGTATCGACGTCTTGCTCCTGTATAAAACTCGTGACTGTCGTAGCCGCTGACCACGAGGTCGAGCTTATGAACTCTTTGTTTTGCATGTAACAAGGGATCAGCTATTCTTTGTTCATTGTACATCTTAAGTGAAAGGCAAAAAGACTGCACATCAATCTAAACCTAGAGAGCGCTTTGTTTACCACAAGCCGCAGTATCCCCGTTAGTTCTAAGTCCTCTCATCATCAACGAATTTTGAAATCCCTTCCGGAATAGTCTCAACGGCGTCAACGATCGCGTTCTTGAAGCAGCTCATCTTCCCAAAATATACACCATGATCAACGGGAACATATTTGATGAAAGGATTCGTGTTACAGAGAAAGTTCAAATTACCAGCACAGGTAGTCACTGATGATGTCGTTTCCCACGCGGGGCTGCCCGTAGGTGTAAAGGTCGAGCTTGTAGCCGTCACTTCGGAGATGAGCTGCTGCGACTGCCGCAATGGCCCCTCCTAGAGAGTGTCCAACTACGTTGAGACGAAAATCCGGATGGAGGGCCTGCACCTTATCTATTGCAGCACGGGCATCCGTAGAGAGCTCTATCCAAGCGTTATAAAACCCTAGGTGGAATTCGCCGCCAGGGACTAGGAGGCTGTTGACAAGAGCAAAGTTCAGGTTGGTCTGCCAGTTCTGGTCAGACGCTGTACCTCGGGCGGCGAAGATGATCACCTTGCGAGATGGGACCACGGCCACATAGCCAGCGATATCGCTGTTTGATGCCGGGCCAGTGCTGTGAAGGGCATACAAAGGTCAATACTTCGATCCTAATCTCAATGGAAAGGCTCGTTATGTACTTGAAACTTTGAACTATGGTCCCTGCATCCTTCAACACTTCATCGTAATTGGCTTCGCAGGCCACTGGGTCCCCAGCTGGAGTGTTGGCATTGCAATAAGTGGCCGCTGCATACTCAGAATAACGACTGAGTTCCTGGATTGGAACATCCTCTGAGATATAGTTAGCATTAACGGGACACAGAAATCAGAGATCCATCAAACTTTACCATTTTTTCTATTGTAGAGCTCATTTCCCACGTTAGAGGCAAGCAGGCCACCAGTCAGTAAACTCGCAACAAAGATTTGCGATAACATTGCAGTCGGTGGAAGGATACCAGTATGACTCTAAGCGTAACTTAACATAACATGGGTCAAGTGAAGAAACATATATTTATCATATTTAAACGGCCTAGCAGCTCTAGCTTTATACGACAGAATCGCTTTGGCTAATGCAACGGCTCTTGCGACTCCCTGTAAGAATTAAGTCATTGTGCAGATGTCTCGGTGAATTAGCTGCATGATTCCCGTAGCTACTACAACGTCGGCCGAATTGTAATGCCGGAACAAGAGGCATAAATGCTGCAAGGGGTGTTGTAGAGAGGCATGTTCTGCTTAGGGACATTAATCGCTCTCCCGTCTTACGGTCTCACAGTGTGGAAATTGCCTACCCCTTACTCATTCGGGAAAGATGCTCGGTGCATGCCGTAAATTTGTCTTACAACTACATATCTCGCTTTGAGGAATATGTGTCGTGTCTTCCAGCCAACGGAATTTTCCCCCCTTTAGAAACCTTAGCCGGAAATGGGGGTTTTATACATACTCACACGATGAGAGAAAAGTTGCATGACGCTGTGACTGTCGTCCGGCAAGCAACAATTTATGCTCTTCTGGCATAATACAGATATAGAGTTAGAGCCACCATCCGTAGGGCACTGTATATACTAAATCAAGAAACCGAGACTCAACTCGCGGTCCGTGATCTGGAAGAAAGACATGAGGAGGATTTACGGATGAAAATGGTCATCATCATCTCCAATTTGAGCAATGCTCTCAAAATATGTCCCCCATAACTTTCAATCATCCATTGATTACTCTGCCGAGGTAATAGCCCGGCGCCCTGCCGTATCATCCCTATCTGTTTGTCGGCCAATACTCCCATCAGGTGTCTGTCAATGACAGTCGAGTAGGTCCTGATCCAGCTGTCCGCGGTTGCTCATTCTTAAGATTGTTTATTCTAGCTCAAGATCCAACGTGTCGTGGCAATGTCTGCACTTGAACTCCAACGGGAGCAGAAGAAAAATGTCGTTGAGGATGGCATTGGTGAAGATGCACGGAAATTCGTATGTTTGAAGACTTTGTAGCGGGTCATCGCGCTGACTCTCCTGCGACCGAAATTTCCATGCCAGTGAAATACTGCGCGCTGGGGAAGCCGATGAGCATATTTTAGGTCGATTATGACCTTGATGGCCGTTTCCATGCCGTGTACTGTTATATCGACATCACCAAAGACATACCCGTTCTTTTCTGTTGGTTGAATTCCTTCGATGTTTGATTCAAACATTTGCAAGATAAGAGCAAAAGGTATTGAAGGAGCCATGTGCGATGCGGCTTATCAGAGCCAAGAGGAGACGAATGAGCAGCTACTAATGTTTAAACCAGAATGCCAATTTGGCGAACCGCTTTCAGTCGGCACACTGTCAGACTCTGTGCGCTGTCCTTGGATACAGACTTGTGAAGTTAAGCCAACAAGAGCAATAATGATGATGATGAAAGAGAGGACGGGCCATTTTGACGTGATCCGTGAATAGGAAGCCGAGAGCAAATAGATATTCCCGAGTGAGAGGTCAAGCAAGACCATTAATAGCAAAAGGGAAGAGAAACCAGAACCTAGCCGTGATTTTGGACGTTGACCCAACTTTCCAAGGCAGTGCGAGGCAAATAGAGAGCCGTATTGTCACAGAAAGGCCTGGTACTGGCGCCTTGACCAATCTATCCATGCTGTCGAGCTATGTTCGTATAGTGGAGTCGGTGATATGGATTCCGATAGTGCCCTGGATGTTCCGCCTTACAATCTGCCATATGGAATCTCTAAAAATGGTAAGGAACGAGTGCATTCCACCCCACATATGGACAATTACTCATCCGATATAGCTGGGCTCGCTCTCTGTTTCGTCTTTTACTGCAACGTTCAGCTTGGTAGCTTATCTAGAGCTTCCTCTCTGTTTCCCTCCCTGTGAGGGCTCATCTGATCCATGTCCTCGCATTAGCCTGTCTGATATCCTTACTGCCCCTAAGACCCTGATCCCCGATTCATGTCCCTGGAAGCGGCCATCACCAGCCGTCAGCCTTGAGGAGGCATACAAAGACTTTCACCAGATGATGGTGCCTACAGATCAGAATACAAGTTTCAGCGGGGCCGTGACATACTCGCCGCAGGGGCCTCGCGCCCGCTCGGAACTACCTGCCTCATCCTTCACGTTTGCTCTCCAAACCCACTTGCTGGTTGCTGTCATGGTCTTACCTATGCTGGTGAGATTCCCGCGTTTCTTGTACGTGATACCCCAGGATCCCCAGGATTTCGGTGGCGTCCTAGGCCTGGACTGGGCCAACGGCAGCACCACAGAATCCGGGGGTTACCCTCCCATGAGAAACACAAATGATGACCGGGCCTTGACAATGAATTGCCAACACCATCCTGTCGAAATCTAGAAGAGGAGCTGCGCGTGGCAAGCGGCCGTAGAGGCGGGTCGAGATAGTAACTCGGCACATTGGGAAAATGCCCTCCGCGCAGGCATTTGAATCCGAGTCTGATCGCTGCACACCACTTCTTACCCCGACACAAGATAGAGAACGACAGGCTAGCTTATATCTCGGCCCAAAGCCAGGGAAGGTGCTGGCGTTATTTACCAACCTTGGACGGGCATATTCACTATCATCTGGAACACACTTCCACGTCGATTGCAGCACCAACCATTGAGGCTTATGTGATAATCTGCCATGTTTCGAGTTGAATCTCGAATTCCTAAACCTTGCGATATGGCAACGTCACCGCAGATAACGAGAGACGTGCCTTGGCTTTTGGCTTTGGAAATCTTTGGTACCTAGAAGTGGCTGAGTATTATTTTCAATTGCTCCTGAATCCCATTTGGCCTAAAATTATATATTCACTGTCGCTCCTCTCCATGCCTCTTGCGTCGTTGCCAGCATCTTCCGATCCTCTCATTTCTTTCCACACTGTTTCTCATACTCTTCATCATCTGCTTAAACAACAAAATACTCGGTCGAAAAGCCGAGTGATAAAAAGGATGACGAGCCTTTAAGGAGGGCTAGCTCTAACAAGGTTGACGATGTCCCCGTCGGCCTTGTCATGGGTGGGGTATCACACGCCGGCGGCTTGCACTGGGTCTTGGGTAACCGACAAATCCAGCTTCTCTCAACCGGCGGTGCCATCAGTACAGCGCTCTTCATTAGCATCGGTGCCGCCCTGGCCAAAGGGGGCCCTGTCAGTCTCTTTAAAGCATTTAGCCTCTACTCTGCCGTACTTGTATGTATCAACAACTCAATGGCGGAGATGACAACGCACATGCCCGTCGCTGGAGGTTTTGTTCATCTGGCCGGGTACTGGGCTGATGATTGATGATGCGCTGGGTTTCAATGGCTGGGTGGAACTTCTTCTTCTTCGAGGCACTGGTCATCTCGTTCGAGATTACGGCCATGACCTTTCTCTCCTCCTTCTGGAGTGAGAGGGTGGCCGAACCGGGCCCTACAGCAGCCATTTGTGCTGGCTGCATCATTATCTATGGGTATGTCGTCCTGACAGCTGTGAATCCTAGATCTTGGGTAGACAGAAGCAACTGCTCCCTTCTCTCTCTCAGCCCCGACAGCTAAACATGAATCCATACTTTCATAGTCTTCTAAACATGGTGGCTGTCAAGGTCTATGGCGAGTCAGAGTTCTGTCTGTCTTCGGGCAAGATCATCCTTCTCCTCATGCTCTTCGCCTTTACCTTCATTACTATGGTCGGCGGAAACCCCAAGGGAGATGCGTACGGCTTCCGGTATTGGTCCAACCTGGCGCCTTTATAGAGTATCTTTCTCAAGGCGATCTAGGTCGGTTCCAGGGATTCCTCGCCTGTCTGTACACTGCCGCGTTCACCATTGTTGGCCCCGAGTACATCTCTATGGCTGCCGCTGAGGTTAAGCACCCAAGCATTTACGTCAAGGAGGCCTACAAGACCGTCTATGATGGGCTCTGCTTCTTTTTCGTTGTCGGCGCTCTAGCTGTATCCGTTGTGGTTCTATATGATAACCCAAACCTTCGTGACCTGTGGTTTGGTACTGGTACGGGTATTGGCTCCGCCGCCGGCTCCCCTTACGTTCTAGCTATGAGCATCCTCGGTATCAACGACTTGCCTCATATTGTTAACACCCTTATTCTCACCTCGATCTTCTCAGCAGGTAACACATACTGCTTTTGCCTCTGCCGCGTGTTGCACGGCCTGGCTCTCGAAGGTCGCGCACCCAAGATTCTGGCTCACACTACGAAGAGTGGTACCCCGATCTATGCATTCGGTATTGTCCTCTGCTTCGCTTGCCTGTCCTTCCTCCAGGTCAGCAGCGGCACTACCACCGTCCTCAGCTGGATGACGAGTCTCATCACCGGCGGAGGCCAAATCAACTCCATCGTCATGACCGTCACCTTACTTCGCTACCACAAGGCCAGCAGTGTCCAGGGCGTCGATCGCAAGATCAGGCCATACTACGGCCGCTTCCAGCCCTACAGCGCCTGGCTCGCCATTGGCATGCAAATCTTCATATGCCTAAGCCTCGGCTACACCTCCTTCCTCCCCTGGGACGTCGACAGCTTCTTCGCCGGCTACACCATGCGGATCCCTATGCCGGTCCTCTTCATCACCTAGAAACTCTACCACAAGACGCGCACGGTACCAGCTGTCGACGTCGGCCTCGTCTGGGGGAGGCCTCTCATCGACGCCTACGAGGCTGCCGAGACTGAAATCCTGAGAGGCTTCTGGGCCGAAATGGGGCATCTGATCGGTTTCCGCAAGGACAAGCAGAGCTCGCTGGAAGCACCGATGCCTAGCAGCACGTAAATCCCCGAGGGCAAGGCGGCCATCTTGAGGTAGGCATGAGCAAGGTGCTAAGCTGATTTTGTGCCCTCTGTACGCATGCATTGATGCTTTGAAGTACTGCAGATTGCATCGCCACCCCGTGCAATTACATTTAGCTTTGAAGAACTATTACATAGAGTATCATAGGAATAGATTTATTACCAGCGCTCTTCTCCCGCTTGGCATTACTCTCTCCCGCTTGTTTTTACTGGATTCGTTAGCAAAAAGCAAATATTCAACTTTGCACCCACTTCACCTAGCCATACCTTGGGGAAGCAATGTGTCACTACACTTACTTTTGAACGAATAAAACTCCCTAATGCTATAAGCTGGAGGGTACTCTTTATAGCATAGTCTTTTATCATTCCTAGGCAGGTTCGGCTTCATATCTTCTTGATCATCGAGATTGATTGCCAATTCGGATGTCCTCGCCACATGATGATTTGAAGGATTGATGGCCATGATCGCAATTACAATAGGGATAAGTTGAATTATTCTAGCAGCACGGCAATTACAAGTCACGACAATGGAGGATTGTCTTACTTCCACGACCAAGGCAAAAGAGCAGCTAAAATTCCTATTCGAATGATACTACGGACCTTATCCAGCGGTCAACTCAAGGCAACTTTCCCCATACTATGCCCCCTGAAGGGCTGCCCATTGCCAGATTTGACTCTGTGACTGCTATTGATAACCTATAATCAGCGGGGATCCAAAGAATCCTTTCATCGCCCTTGACAATCCATTCTCTGTCTTCACTGACCTTGTAAGTTATTAAACTTTTTGAGTACCATGTCTCGCTGCGGTTTATCTTAAGACCATGGTCCCCTTTTCTGTATACAATCCCCATATTGGTGTAAAATCTCAAATCTGTGGATGAAGCGGCCTGCAATACCTTGATGCCCCGAATGTTGGCTGAGAGTATTGTGGCAGGCGACTTTAAGTTATAGATACTAAGCTTATTCAAAGAGGCCACCGCAATCCATTCGCCATTTCCAGAAAACGCGAGGCAGCTTGGTTCACGTTCTTCTAATAGGATGACATGAAAACTCATTTTAGGGAGATCCCATACGAGGATCTCGCCGAGAAACCATATGTCCTTCACTCGTTGGAGTAGTGCAGCATTGCAACAATTCGGGGAAAACGAAAAGTCAAGGACTTCCCTAGACTTCGTCAAAAGTAAACCCCAATTGGTTGTGTCCCATATTCTAAGGCTCTTCTGAGCGGTATAAGCAAACCACTGATCATCTTTTGAAAAGAACAGGTGAACCCGGTCCAGCATCCCGAGGTATTCGTTGTAAGGCATTGTGTGAATGCAAGTCTGGGTGGCTATGTCCCAAATTTCGACGCTGAACAGACTGCCATCATACGCCGGCTTTGCCTTCGCCGCTGATGCAAGCCACCGCTGCTTGTTTGAAAACTTGAGTAAAGACACAGGGGCCTGGCGGTCCTCAGCCTCCTGTGCAATTGGCGCGTCTATTGACATATCCCAGAGCCTGATAGTGCGGTCATCTGATGCTGAGGCGAGTAACTGTCTGCTTGGCGAGTATGCGAGCTTTCTAACCATGCCTGAATGGCCAACAAGAGTTTGGGTGCCAGCTCCCTCCAAAGTCCAGATTTCAATTGTTTGGGCATGGCGGTCAGCCGATGCGACAAATCCGGGTCCCAAGCAAAAAGGACCATCGCTGAACTTGGTGCCCACCTTGATCGGTAAAGTATGCATGCACTCGCCTGTCTCCGTGTTTCGGATTTCGATCTCATCAGAGTATAAGGCAAGCACATTTGGGTCGGCGGCAGAAAAGGAAAGTGGGTATCCACCCTTGAATTCCTGGAGAACGTCTTCGGTGGTCAAACAAAAATCTTCATCTTCGGTGGTCAAATCCCACACTCTGGCACCCCACACATCAGGAATGTCCGACGCCAGTTGTCGACCGTCTATAGAGACCGTGAAGTGACCATGGCAGATCGTGCGGATCTTGTGGACACGGCTAGACTTGGTCACATTCCATACCTCAACGCTTCGACCAAATCCCTTGTTTGAAATGACTATTTCATCTAGAACGACCATCAGTTCATTGCGCGGTGCCAAAAACTGGACCCACTCGGTCTTTTCGTGGATGTTAATGATAATATCGGGTGCAAATTCGTTGGCCCCAAGGTCCCATATTTTGATAGGATCGCCGTAATGATGCGAAGCCATCGCGAGCAACCGCCCGTCACATGAGAATGACACACTCCCTCCCTGTGGATCAAAGTCCAGCTTCTGAATGCATTGCCCCGAGGACGTGTCCCAGATCCTCACAGTCGCGTCGCGAGAGGTAGAAGCTATCAGGCAACCATCATGGGAGAATGCTATAGAGATTATGGCGCCTGTATGGCCCTCGAGTATGTGCGCGCAGGTAGCGTCCCAGTTGGTTCGCAAGCCTGAAGTTATTTCCACTCTTGTTGTCTCCTTGCCTTGGTAGTCTTGCTTGACTAAGCTGCCCGTGGGGCTGAACACGAGAGCCGATTCATAGACTTGGAGAGGTGCTATCTTGATTACCTGTTGGAAATAAAACACAAACCTTTGCATCTCTTCAGCGCGGTCATTTAAGCTTTGGCTTCCATTGCGCCCCTACCGCCCTCTTTAGCAATCACCAGATACTTTCCCACCAGAGATTAAGCTGAACTCACGATGATGGATACAAGCTTCTTCACTGCCCTTACTACCTCTGGCATTTTCTTCATTAAAGATGCAGCTTCCAGCCAGCTCAAGAGCTGGCCCCTGATGAAGGCCTCAATCTTATCTTCTGCCCGCGTGGGCCAGTCTTGGAATTCCTCGAGATGGTCCACCCAGAAAACACAGGGATATTCCAAACCAGCTAATGGGTCAGAACGAGGCCGCGTAATCTCTTCGACAAACACCCCCGGGTTTTCGAGATCATAGATGTTCCTCTTAAGTCCTCCCATAGCAGCTAGAGAGCGTTCAACCATGTGCCAGTGTTGATGCGGGATCCCATCTGACAATATCCTTTTTGAGTTGCTCAAAAAGTCTTGAGCTGTTTGATGCACAAAGTAGACAGTTCTTTCCTGCGTAGTCAGAAGCGAGCCGCAGTCTTTTATGACATCTTCCAAGTTTTCAGGTTCAACGCCGACATCTTTGAGCTCTGTAACTAGAGTATAGAGCTCATCGATCGTCATGGGGCGGAAGGCAGTGCATGTAGTAGCAAGGATCTGTTGTAAAATAGGCCCATCGTCACTGGCAAAGATCTGCTCTACCATCCGTTCGTAAAGGCCGCCCAGCCCTTCTGGCATGGATTCCAACTTTTTCATCGTATGGTGAAGCTTAGTCTGAGGGCGTGCTAGTTCTTCACACACCAAGGCTACCCAAAGGAAAGTGTCGCTGGCCTTGCGCTGTAAAGTTTTGAGAATATCCTGCTTCATCTTGGGTTTATATTTTTTAATTCTTTCCAGGTCGTCTACCTTCTTTTGAATGAAATATTCCACTGCCTTGGAAACGGAAGCTTTGTTCAATTCCAGAGACACCTCGACATCGCTGCAGTCGCTTCGAAACTGATCCTCGATATCAGGCCAGTTTCGGCTTGAAACAACCCATTTGGCGTCAAATTTCTTAGAAAGCTCGATGATAAGACGAATAATGTCACATCTATCATCATCAGAGCATTCGTCCAATGCATCAATGACAAAGATAGCGCTTCCCAAAGCCGAGTCGCCGAGCATGGCGCGAAGGATTTTCTCCAGGGCGTCTAGCGCACACAGATCTTCAAAAAGCTTCTTCCCTTGAATACTATAGCTCTCCCGTATGTGATGTACTAAATCTGGCCGCTGTTGGCAAAGAAGCCATATTAGGCTTCTAAGCACTGCCGGAGCACTTCTTTGGCTCTGTTCCTGCGTGGCTTGGCAGAAGAAATATGTTACTAGCTCTCTGGAGCCTTTCTTCAACTCGTCAATTATGCCGCAGAGAAGCATCGTCTTACCCTTGCCCGGGTCTCCCTTGATCCATAGGAGACGCCTTTTCGAATCTTGCCGAAATTTGTTGTAGATTTCATGGTGTAAGATCCAGTGGTATGCATCCCTCAGTAGTCCACCCTTTGTGCGCTCTATGAGTGCTTTATGGTCCTCAGGGTTGATGACAAGCAAGTCGCGCAGGCACTGCTGATCCTTTTCGTCCAGTTGAAATTGACGAAGTGTCTCAGTCTGGCTCTGTATAGCCATGTTGACCTCTTTGAAGCCCAAGCCCCAGTCCTCTATTTTCTTAATGAAGCCCGTCCAGAGGTCTCCGTTGGAATCGACCTCTTTTGGAGACTCAGATAGCACTCCAAGAAGAGAGTCAATTGGTATACTCTGTCCAAACGATCTGCGCCTCTTCAAATTGGAGCCTTTATTTCCCTGGACATTCTGTGAAACGACTTCTGGTGTGAGCTTTGTTAAAGCGTCCATAGCTTCGCGGGATGGTTCGCTTTCAGGGTCAACTGCCGTCCGTATCATCGCATCTCTTAGACCTGGTTCATCTATAGACTTTGCTCCGTCATCTAGTTTGTCTTGCATTAGCAGATGGCAGATGGAGAAGCAGAGCGCAACTCCATGACTCAAGTCAATGACCATCTCATCCTTCCGTGAAATGCTACCATAATTTTCCTTGTACAATAGAGGATGAGCTAGCTTGTTGTAGAGGCTCTCTGCTAGACATGTGACCTGAATCTCAAACGTGACGTTGTCGAATTTATGAGATATATTAGGAACCTCAGGCCTAACTATGACGTGATGGTTTGTACTCTCATAGGCACCAAATAATGCGTTCCACTGCTTGCCAACAGGGCGATCCCGGTCAAAGACGTTGGGGCCTTTCGTTGGCTGAAAGAATTTCTTGACGAATGCGTCGGCCAGCTTCGTGTCGGAGAGAAAGTCAACAGTAATTCGGATACCCACAAGATCATGAAGATCTTCCAGTATCTCGTCAATTTTTGTATAGGGGCCTTTCCCACGAGTTATCCGATCTTCTTCGCGACGCTTGATGGATTTTTCGATCGAATCACGAGATTTCACCCGACCAGTCACTGTATTAGGAACGTTGACGTGGCGAGTGCAATACTGCCTCATCTCTCGCATCAACAAGGCATACCCACTCTCCAGCTCTGGCCAGATCCTTTCCACAAACTGGAGCATGACATTACCACATATTGGAGTATCGGAAAAGAGGCCGCGAATTTTTACATGAAGTGGTTGATCTTCATCGTAGCGATCTCTCATCTCGAGGGGCTGCGACGACGGTGAGGAATCCATCGAATATGTAGTTAGGCCCTAGCCCGAGCCGACGATAGGTTATTGCACAGGGCTAGCTTTATCAACCAGTGAAGTGTGGGATAAAATGAGGATCGATTTGCATCTCTCTGTAACTAACAATGGTCGAGTCTGGCTTGCTTTGCCCTACCGCGCGAAACATGAACGACGCTAGGTTGTAGATATTGGGTGAAACAAAATGAACTACCCCGCTCGTGTTGCTCCTTGGTCACGCAAGGTAGTTTGCGGCTGGAACCTACAGATATTCTGTGGCTCACGAGGTACAACTCCCAATCAGATATGGCCTTGACGCCACATTGGTTCGCATAGGCGTTCTTCGTTGGCGAGAATGGAGTATTACGCAGTCACATTGCAACCTCAAGGGACACGTAGCAAACAGCGACTGGTTCGGAAGCCATTCTGAAGGCACGCAGCTTTCTTCATAATTACCTTGTTCGTTTCGTGGAAACCTCACCTGAGGAGCGCTTATATCTCATGAAAAGATGGTCCAGCCAACTCACAGCTCTTACAAAGATTTTACCTCATATAGATCCAAATTAAACCCCTCACTGTCTAGCCTCAATCAGTATCTCAATCGGGAAACTGGGGTTGAGAGCGTGGCCACAGTCTTAGATTTCGGGAAGCATGGGGCGACATCTCAACATCAAATGGCGGAAGGAGGGGATTTATCTCTTTTGACCGCTGCGAGCTCCTCGGTTTCCACGAGGATCATCCTTATCGAGGACATCAGCGCAACACTAATCAGCAGCGTAGGTACGGCATTTGATATTGACCCTTCCTTCTTTGCCGGCTACATCAGCACCGATTTTGAAGCTATTGAGAATAAACCGCCAACGCCCTCGCTTGTCACGCTTCCATCTATCACTGCTGAAAGGGGTCAGCTTCACCTTCATTATCATCTTGTCATGGATTTGGGGAGTGCAGAGAACTTTACTACCGATACACCTTATGCGTTGAAGAGCGATGCAAACGTTGCCCGAAATGTTAGACGACTTCCACCTTTATCGGGAAGACAACTCGCTCTTGCCCGCACGTGTTGTTCTATCTTATTGAAAAAGATCGGGGATATGTGGATATGCAAGTCCCCTCTCTAAAGTGTATCGAGGGTCGTTGCTAACTTGACTAGGTTTGTTTCTGGTTGATTCACCGATTAAGGTTGTCCTTGAAACTGAGAAATTACACAACCGCTATGATGCCAAACCCCTACATGGTGGCTACGAAGACTTTAACCCACCGTCGATATTCTCGTCATTCTCGCTTGGGGCAGAAAAGCATCTAGACTGCAATCGGTCAATGGCTGGCGGCATACTACGCCACTTCTTGACACCTCCAGTGTTCTCACCCGCCTCTCCCCAAATCCTCAGCATTAGCTACTACGCTGTTCGAGTGAGCCTGTCTGAGTGGCTGCTCTACACGCTCCTGATAAGTCGATACTGTAAGCACTACGAGTACTCCCTCAACGACATGTTCACAAGGCTCCATGATGATGATATCATTGATCTACAACGCTGGCGACGTCGAACCAAACAGAGTCGCCAAAAGCTGGAAATCCTCACACACTTCATTGAGTACTGGGGGCAGGGGCTCGACAAACAGGCCGGTAATATGATGCTGAGGGACATACAGTATATCCAGAAGCAATTGGACGACTATAGTCGGTCACTCGAGCAGATGCTCACAGTAGCAACCTCGATGGTACAGCTCCTCGACTCACGCCGCTCGATCCTGGAGGCTGTGAGTGTCAGGCGACTAACGTACATTGCGCTCGTTTTCGTGCCATTGTCTTGGGTTTCAAGTCTGTTTAGCATGTCGGACACGTTCCTGCCAGGGCATAGCCGGTTCTGGGTGTATTTTGCTGTGGCACTTCCGTTGATTTGTTTATGCTTCCTCTATGAGGCCTGGCCTATGATCAACTCTAGAAAAAAAAGGCTTTGATCCCATCCCTACTAAGATTAAGATTATGGAACAAAATTAATTTAATATGGCTTTGATACTATTATTATTGCACCTCAACTCTTGAGCCCAAGTCTCTAGGTCCGGATAAACAGAATTGCTACGAAGTTCTACGTCTTAATAGCCATGGCCACATGCAAGAAAATTGAATTGAATATATAGTTATCTTTACTCCACCCCAAATTATGAAAAGTTATTCGTCCCTATTATTGTGTGTTCTAGTGATATTTGTGCAGATATTGTCTCGAATAACCTGGCCACTTTGACAATAACCTTAATTGCTTGATGCAAAAAATATCCTGAGCCACCTTCAATTGACAACATACGAGTGTGAATTCGCAAATAAGAAAGGTTTTCATTGTGTTGAGATATCGGGTCTGGCATCTTTTCATGTCTGTTTTGACTTTATACTCGAACTCTCTCATCTTCCATCCTACTGTTATTTTGCCTCCAGCTTTGCGCAGAAATTATGAGGTTTCCTTTTTATGACTTGATCCGCCACATTGTTGAATGAAATCCCCATTCATACCTAGTTGCCGGAATTGTCCCCAGTTTTCTTCTCCTTCTCAATATGCTCCTTCTCGATAGCATCCTCCAGGAGGGGTGCGACGTCCTTCGGAAGCCGATGTGTGAGAGTCAGCCAAAACTCGTCCCAATCTATCTTAGTCGAAACTCCCGTATTCTGGCCATGCAGCCCTTCAGCTTGCTGAAACAGCTCCGGATACTTTCGTCTCATTGGGTCGTTTAGTTTGAGATCCAGGTTTTTTGACACCACGTTCGCATCAACGATGTATGACTGTCTCAATCGAATCCTCAGATCGGTTGTTGGTTCCACAAATGTCTACAGGTGTGCGCGTCAACATTGAATCTTGAGAGGTAAAGGATTCCACTGTACTTACCGCCTTGGTGAATCCGTCTCGTCTCAGACGCACACCAACCTTTGCGATTTGCTCGAGTGCTTTCTCTAACCTTGCAAGGCTCGTCATGATGAACTTGTGCTGATGGAATGATCTGCTGTTCGAACTGAGTAATAAAGCAGAGTAGTCTTGGATCTTGAAAGGTCCAGCATTTCACCACTCGAGGTGCGCAAGTGGGGTTTAGGCACCCACCGATCACGCACACCAAAGCCTCCATACAGCCTCAGATCTCGACACAATATCCAACAATTAACCCACAACATCAAGCTAAATAATATAGAATAATTTATTATTTCACAGTTTTTATTCAAAATTGGAAAATAAGAGAATGAGGTCCCTATCTTGCATGAAAAGAGCTCTGGTGTGCCATGTTTAATCTCAGCCGCTTGGCTGAGCTGCTCCAGGCCGCACACCCCACACACACGTATTTGATGACGCGGTACACGCGAACACTTTCAAGATAAACAATTACAGTAGTCTCAACGCCTAAAAATACATTAAAAACACAAAATTACAGCACTCTGACCACTACAATAGCAATACCTCACGATCAAGCTTTATAGCCGGCCTGTGGTCTCACTTTTTACAATGCATCGGGTCAGGCCTTAAGACTCGCGCCTGGCTCGTACACTTTGTTAGTTGCAGCCCCTTGTATACATACAGGGAGATGCCTAAGCAGCACCAGCCTTTTTCCACCTAAACTAACGTACCTGAGATCTGCATCCAACCGATTGGTCTAAACCCCGGAAATGCACGGGCCTGGAGCAGCTTTGCACCATCGCGCAGCAGCCACCCAATTCAAGGCACGGTTTATGTAGCTCCACATTATCGAACCAATCATATCTTCCTGCGAGAACTCCTTCTACTCGGTCTCGATAATGGCATCACTGAAACTTGTCCTCATCATTCATTCTGACATCGTACGAATGAGATACTCTATTTTGCCTCGCAGCTTTGCGAACCACCTATCAGGGAAGATGATCACCTATTTTCCCCTCATTAAACCTATTTTGTTAACTCGATGTCGGCCACGATGCGAGTAGCTCCCCGGAGTCGATTGTTTTTCCGTATTTCAGCACAGCACCAATCGCGAATCCCACGTAACTTTTCCCTGTCACCGCTTTGGAATCATCGAATCGCGCATCAAACCCGTCAGATTACGACGTCACCAAAACCCAGCGGCCCTGTTACGTCAATCGGCGAGATCAGGCAACGTTGTGGGCTGATGTTCAGCAGAGATGACCTTCAGCATATTGTCGCCTGGGTTGGTCTTTTCGGTTCATTCTCACGTAATAAACAAACCACACTCAGCGATGTCGATCTACTCATGGGTTTCAAGAAGGACGCGTCCGACGACGATATTTACTTCATGGGAGATTTGACACGAGAGTTGAAAGGCGTGCTTGAGAGAGATGTTGATGTGCTCTATATGCGATATCAACAACCCCCAAGCTTTATCAAATGCCAGGCTTTAATCACTGGTAAAACAGTATACGGTTCTAATGAATGGCTGCAAGACCATAAACCTCTGCAGAAAGACTGCTCTCGGACACACAAACCAAATTTGTCGAGGCTTTGCGTTTGATGAAGCAAATGGTTGGAAGCCTAGCGCCTCTTTCCCAGAAGGTAGGATCAGACGTCTTTGACTTGCCAGGAGCCAATACTAACGGAGCACCATGATTAGGAATTATACACATCCCCCTCTTTCTTTGCTGACCTGATCGTCAATTTGGAGAAACTGCTTCATCTACTCCACTCAGAAGACCAAGATGCCGAAGGAATAAATAACTATTTCGATATTCTTTATGAATGGACGAAGCCGCTTCCTCCAATCATTCAGCGGTACCAAACGGGAGACCTCCAGTCTTTGGAAGGAGAGAACCGGGAGCGCCTTTGGCATCTTTTGACTACGGATCTGCCAAGGCGTGCTCGCTCGCTCCAGAATATATACCTACCTATTATCCAAGAAGTTTTTGATATGAAAAAAGCGCAATTGGATTCTTACACGACGGAAGAGCGTCACATCTTGTCGCGTAATATTACTGTGTGAAAGGAGCATGTCGATCAAGAAGAATAGTAAATCCAAGGCTGTGGGGATTTCACAATTACAAACGGTCCCAACAAACTCAACTCAGTACTAGTACACATAATTTCATGATACCGATATCGATAGGTCAACTCCTTGATACTTTTGATCGGTTGGTCCGGCGTGACATAAAATATTTGGCACACGGCAATTTATTTACAAATGTGCCGAGCCTTTCCGATTTCGTCGGCTCTTCAGGTCTTTTCTTCGGAGAAGAAACACGTTCAACCTCATTCCCAGTCGCGTTGAGAGCAAACGTTCCCCCAACGGAACCAGATGAACATTGGGAGGAAGAAACTCCAGCACAACTAACCCCACACAATTCAGTAATGCCTACCACATCCTCAAGACCGAGCTTTTGTCTATCAAAAAGCATAAATGTAAACTCTGCCGCAGATTTAATAGAAGCTTTTCTGGACTTTAACATGTCTAGGAGAGAAGACTGTTCTTGTGATTGGCGTACTTGGAAAGACAAAGAGTTAGAGCAGGCAGTAATTTCTCTTTTGTCATAAGCACAAGGACCACCGCAATATGAACAAGCAAATCCACAAGTAAGTCTAGCTTCTGGATTCTTTAGGAAGGCACTATACGTGTAACCTTATGAGGTATTCCGAGTATAGTTCACTTCTTTCCCACGTAAAATTAATTGGCCTGATCTTGGGATAACTTAATGATTATTGTGCAGAAAATCTTATTGCGGACCCGATAAAACGAGAAAATACTTCTTCTTCTCTTACTCACTTATAAACTCTAGCTAAGTGGAAAGAACAAAGTTTTTGCATGCCCAACATACAACAATAAAATCCCTCTTCTTCGTGTCTATCTCGTCCATGAATTCCAGGTTGCCATCCTTCTCAGTCGCTGCAACCTTCCCATCTTCGTCGATCCATAATAGTTCCTTGGATGCCTTATCTGGGCCCTCTTGCACTGTCAGCAGGAGCTTCTTCTTCCAATCATCGCTATCACGGTACCCGCGCTTATGCATGAGCGCCTGCATCCTCTCCTCCTCAGCTTGCGTCGCGGCACGTCTTATGGGAATCATGTGGAAGAACTTGTATGACTTGCTGGACTTTTCCATCAAAACACTTCCTTGGACGGTGCCCTGCTTCTGTCCTCTGACGACGAGCAGAGGCTTCGTTCCCAGGCTGATGGGGATGTGGATCTTTTCGCCAGAGTAAATGGTCAAGTCATCATCGTATTTGACAAAAGGCTCCGGAGCCCCGCTGCTCGAGGCTGCACTCAGTCGGCGGGCATCGTTGGGCAGAAGACGGCAAATTTGCAGCTGCCATGGGTTGCCGGTTTGTGTGTTGCGGGTAGAGACGTGATAGGTTGGGGTGATTGAGGTGGCGGTTGTTTTGTAAACGTATCGGCCTTGCAAGGCGAATGATTGCTTGTTTCCTTGTGATGGTTCTACCGCCAAATAAGGCGAGTTCAGCCGAAGAGTCGTTGTGTTGTCGAATGCTTGGCGAGGCTCGCCGGAGCTACTTTCCGTGAGGCTCGTTTGACTCATTTTCGAGTACCTGGTTGATTGATTCTTTGTAGTGATTGTTCAGAATGAGAGACGACAATGATGGAAGAAACTTAATGAAGGTAGAGAAACAGATTTTGGTACGAATCAATACCACATATATACACCCAGAGACTCGTGCGGGGTAGTAGGTGCGGCTCAGGCCAATCCTTCATTATGCTTGTTCATCGGTCTAGTAACAAAGGGTGCGGGATTAACATCGAAAGTTCGATGGGCGGCTAGACTCGGTTACGACGGCAATGACCCTGTTGGAATTTATTCTATAGTCATGTCAATGTTCTGCTGCTCTGAACGGCCAATAGGCACTTTTGCATCTGAGCTTAAACAAAGCGTTACAGGCGACTTTTTGTGTGGAGTTGCCAAGGCTTTGCATCGCCCGACTACTGTGTCGGTCTCACTCTAATGTTCGGGGCCGAGATCTTCTCAGTCCCGGGTCAGAAATGACGCATATATAACTCGCATGAATCCTCGAAAGAGCAAAGATGGACTACTGAAGGGAGTCTGGCATGCTTGACGAGGCCACATAAAACTTAGTAGACTGGTCCGTATGCACAGTGCACGGATTAGATCCCTGAGAGCCAGAGGAAGAATATATACCTTGTTCAGTATGCGGTTCGAATTAGACCAGGTACAGACAAAATCCCCCGCGATAAAACTCCACCTGCCTTATGTCTTCTCCGTGATATTCCCGGATCTTAGTGCCCATAAATGCGTCTTTGTCGCCACTCAAGGAGTGTTGAACGTATCATCCTGTTTCCAAACATTTAGATTCAAAATTGAAGAAGAGCCCGGCAATATTTCACTGTGTCACCGTGGGTGGAGGTATTGTAGGCTGCCCTGTTGCAGATCGCTGCCAATGATACAATCAAGATCCCAAGAGTTTGTAACTTAAAGCCGTCCCTGAAACGCGAGATGAAGCGTCTATTCTCAACTTACAGGTTCTCTTCATTATCGGCGGCAACTTGGATCGGAGTGATCAAAGAGCACTTATCCCTGGGATCTCCAACTGGTCCACTACTATTGATGGCGGGAAAGGATTAGGCGACAGCTCTGTTACCAAGTCTCGTATTTGACTGATATTCTCAAAGGGAGTGATTAATTGGGAGTAATTGTCGGCCTAATTCTCAATGATGGTTGGATACGTGAGCTAGGATTTCATGCTTTAACAAACAGACAATAATCTTGAGTGATCTTATGTCTGTGAGGTCTGGCAAGAAGGAACAGTCAGTTGGCTTCAAGCCTATACCTACTAGATGGGATACAGTTTCGCGTCAACGCAGTAAGAGATTAAAGTAATGATTATTTCTCACATTTGAAACTAGACAACTATTTATTCAGAAGATTATAAGGAATAACATAGAGAGAGAAAAATAAATAGAAGATGGCTTCAACAAAAATCCTCTTTGGCTTCTGGGGGAGGAAAAAAAACGGAATATAGAAATTCAAAAAGAGAAGTTTTATGCGTAATCTGGGAATCGAACCCAGCCCTAGTGCTTGGAAGGCACCAATCCTAACCACTAGACTAATTACGCTGCTTGGTTGATGTTTCATTATTTGCAGAATGTGGATTATATGATGGGGGATGGGGAATTTTCAGACATTCGCTACATAGGAATCCGGTTTATCGAGAGCAGTAGCCGAACAATGCTGATTCAGGATCAAGAGTGGTCTACAGTAGCGCCCGATCATGTTGAATCTAGCTACTCCGTACTGCTGCTGCAGATGCAGCTGACTTATGGCTCCCCACGAAGTACACGTAAGTAATTGGAGGGCGCCCGTCTGTCAGATTCCAAAAGGTGCTATGATTTCAACCTGAATCCTCGTGATCGGTTTGCCATGTTCCAACGCGATGGTACAATGTATGCTGGTACTTTGCCGGACCTACACCATGAATATAGCATTATGCACATTCATTATATCCGCTGGCGACAGAATGCCCAGATCCAGATTAAAGTGTTTGTAAGTCCTGACTCCAATGTTGTGTCAGTTGTTGCGCAGGTGATACTTAACGCTAAGTTCGTTAGATACCGACATCTCCAAACGTAGTTACGCACTGATTGCTGCGAATGACCCACTAATTATTTGCCAGTTTTGTGAGTAGAATTAATTATATCAAAGATACAGTCATAATTCTATACAAGTAAGGAAACGAGAGACTTAGTAGTACCTAATAATAGACTAAACTTTACCTGGTCTATGATGTAGGGTAGGCTCCAACACGTAAAAAAAAAGTTGGCTTGCATATTGTGGCAGTGCAAGGCGCATGTTTATCCATAGGACCAAGGGAAATGGGACAGGACATTGATCACCTAACCCCTATAGGATGGATATCCATGCAGAGTTCAACTGTCGAACGTTCAATATCGCCCCTTCTCCCGAGAGATCAATTGGCGACGGGCCCGCCGGATTGGTCAGTTGAGCGCTGACCTTTAATTACCGCCATACACCGCGATCCTTGTTTGAATCGCCGACCTCAGAACGCTAAAATACACTAATCCAAGTTCATAGATAAGGTAGAAGGAGACCTCCTACTACTTCCCTAACTCTCTTATTTACTTAAACAAATAAAATCTAATAATTATAACTTAACTTCCTATATAATTGTATTCTTACGATATTACGTCTTATATAATACTTATTGAATTTTCTAGATTCTTGCTTTAAGTATAGAGGAGAAAGAGTATCTTTTATGTGTCTGAAACTAGTTGAGTCTTTGCCTAGTTGGTTGAAAATTGAAGCAGACAAGGATCGGGGCGTATGCCGCGATACTTGGGATCCAAACCAGGGCTCTCCAGGAAAATAGTGGTATTAGATGCTGGTAAAGCAAGGATCTTGCGTAGTACCTGTTTGGCGTATAGAGTCGATTCGCCTCTTTAAGATAGATGCTCGTCAACTTATGCGAACCAGCCCTTTAGATCTAGCATCAATTTGAAGTTATAAATATCCTCCTTCCTGTTGCCCGACCTGTTGCAGTCTTGTCTTTTGCCAACAAAAGATCCGTCCCGATTTTCAACATGCATTTCGTCAAGACTGCCATCTCCCTCTTTGCTCTGGCCAGCTTTACCTCTGGCCAGTATGTCCATCCCACTGTCGCCCTAGCTGTCCGCGAAACTGAAGAATATCGCAACTACATCGCAGCCCGCGATGGATTCATTGGCGCCCGCGATGATTTCAAGGAGACCCGCGATCTATCCAGCCGTGTAAGCGAACCACTGTACCCCCTGCTTGCCATACTACATTCTGATATAATTTTTTTTTTTAGAAATTCAAAGGTCGTACATGTCTGCAGTTTTCTGGCAAATACAAATGCTTTCTCAGCTCCGCAGACATAATATGTGGCTGCTCAAAGGAAAAGTTCAACAAGGCCTGCTCGTGCTAGAAATTGAATGCTTTTTATGTCTAAAATTCCGCTACAGCTTCTATAACTCTTCAATATAGTTTGGAATTTAGGCTTAAAGATAGAAGAATGGATTTGGTTCATCTATAATATCTACTTCTAAATAATTTAAGGTAATCATCTATATTCTTCACCGACTAGAATAGTTATTAGACTCCAGGTCTATGAGCTTGACTATTAGAAGCAAATTTATAGCTTGCTTATGCTATATCGTTCTCTAAACTAGAATTAGTAGCACATTGAAGATGCATAAGAGGAAGTGTATCATTTCCTGTCTGGCCTTTGACTTGCATATTAGATAATAACTTCTGCCTACCCTCCAATTATCTATCGCGTCTGCCGTGTTAGCCATAGTCGATTAGTAGGAGTGAAATATTAAGAGCTGATTAGTAGGTCAGATCCCATATGGGATAAGGGGCAAGGCCCATATAACGCTGGCCTGGCTGGGATAAGCTGGTTACTTGGGCGCGCTATTGAGAAGGGGAGGCTGAGTTCCATTGTACTTCGCAGTACCAAGAAGATCCCGCTTATCAATGCCGAGCTCGCTACCCACGCTGATGACTGCTTTAAACGGGGGACCATATAGTCGTAACGTTCAGCCTGTTCACAAAGGTAACTCAAGCTCCATGCTTCGTTCCAAATATTTGGTCTTAGATGCATCAAATTATCATGATACTCACAAGATGTTTAGGCCGACTATCGTCATCTGACTGGGAAAGATACTGACAGCTATAAGGAGGAGCATACTTTTGTAATACATGAAGCTGCAAGGAATGCATTGGACTGGAGAGGAATGCGTGGAGTTGGCGAAGAATGTAGTGGCTTATATTCATGGAAACTTGTACATAGACTCCATTTACATAAAGAGAGGCGCTGAATCAGAAAGTATCACTAGCCAAAAGCCTATCCCAGTCGGTGCTTCCTCAATTGCTATACCCACTAACCTTTCTCAGAAGTTAGAGGCTTATTCCTAGTAAACCGTCGAGAACGGTCTGGTGGCAGCAGCGTTTCACTTATGGATGTGACCTTGGGTTATTGATAACAGCTTTTTGGCGTTGCTTTTGCCTACCACATGGTAACTAGCATGGTGCGTTGGAATATAAATATGTGTGAGGATCCTTGATATTCGGCAGTCATCATAGCAAAGACCCCCCTATATAAATCGTTCCCAAAGGAATTTTACAGCCACAACCATGCCTACACTTATCAACTGGAACAACGAGATCAAGTATACTGTCAATGATGAAAATTACAAGACGCCCACGAAGATTGAGGATATCCAAGCCATCGTAAAACATGCCTCTGAGCAGAACCAAAAGGTGACGGTTGTCGGTGCCATGCATTCGACCACAGAATGCACCATCGGCAGCGGCGTCATTATAGATATGAGGAACATGGCTCGCATCCTCTCGGTCGACAAGGACAATCTCACGGTCACAGTGCAGGCAGGGGTGTCTCTACACCAACTCTGTGAGCACTTGAAGGAAATCGATCTCCAGCCACCAGTCATTCTGGAATGGGGCAATTTCCAAATCGGTGCTATCAGCGGCACCCATGCCAACGATACCTCCATGCGGCGTAGTGGGCAGTTCTCGTCGTATGTTACGGGCGTGAAGCTGGTCACTCCCACCGGGGTAATCATGGAGATCTCAGAGGCTCACAATACTGAATATCTCGCGGCTATCCGCTCGCATTTCGGCCTGATGGGCGTGGTCTGTGAGGTTACCGTGCGCGTCTTCGAGTCGCAGCCGCTGCAGGTCAACTTCCAAGTCAAACAAATCGACAAGTTTGTGGACAACTTCACCTCTGAATTGAAGGCACTCAAAGACACCTATGATCAGGTATTCGGCGTCGTGTTTCCACACTCCGGTCAACTTCTGTGGCAGTGCCGTAAATACATCGATCCAAAGATCCCCCGGCCGGTCACTCTCGAGACATTGCTTGACCCTATTGAGAGTAAAAACATCAGCCTCTTTGGTGGTCTATTTCTGCCGCTCGTGAAAGCCGGCATGGCTCTCCATCCCTCAGCACCCCAGGCAGCACTGCTCAACGAAGCACTCATTAACTTGCCGCTCAAAATTATCCGTCACACAACCTATGTGATTGATCCATGCCAGCGTGCCGTTCTTTACCGCGAAGACGAACCTGATTTTGAGTTCTACGACTGGATGTTTCCCGAAGACAAGTGGTGCCAAGCTATGCAGGCATTTTTACAGCTGGCTGATCGCTTCCGTCGCGAGCGAGACTTCTTCATGCCACTTCCGGCCATCATCTACTTCATCAAGCAGGACAAGGAATCTCTGTTATCACGGTCACGGGATTCGAATATGATCGCTGTTGACCCCGAGCACCCAGACCCCAAGGATCCCACATGGAGAGATTTTCGTCTGGCATTTAATGAGGTTGCCACCAAGCATGGTGGTATCCCGCATATCAACAAGACGCGCGATGGCGCTATACATCATTTTGCAAAGTGCCAGGACCAAGAGAGCGTTCGGAAGTATCTGCAGATCCGCAAGCAGATTGATCCCAAGGATACATTTCTAAATGATTATTTCAAGACCCTGTTTGCTGCCTATCTATAGGGCGCGTATGCCAATGATTTAGGGACAAGAGTAGAGAAAGTGAGATTCACAGTATCCTAAGGTTCCAGATTCTTGTTTCTGCAGAACATAGTCCTCTAGCCACTCATCCGTATCAGAGGCCGCCTCTTGCTTCAAAGCGGCATGGCAGCATCAATTACAGCACCCAGATACCTGAACTCGGCCCGTTAAATCTCTTGTGGTATCTTCTCCGCGGGACATGGAGTTTCAAGAGTCAGACTGCCGTCGGCGTAGTCGGGCTTGGCCTGTGGCACTAAGGGACTAAGGTTAGTGCCAAGCTGAACAGCAACTGGAATGTATGACGCATGGGCATTAGTAAACAGGTAGTCAATAAGTTGATGTGAATCTGGCCTAAGAAAACGTAGAAGGTTGTCAATTAACTTCTTGGCTGCAGGGTACAGTTATCCTTTGTCGAAAATCAACGGAAGAATGAGACGCCTCCTTAATTTAACAGCCCCAGACAGGGAACAAGATGGACAATATTAAGACTATTACCCCTTCCTCATGTTCTTTTACTCTGGGGCCAAATACACTTTTCGTAATTCCCATAAGGGTTGAATAGATGATGGATAGGTGTGTAGCAGCACAGGTGGATATCAACACGAGGATATAATAGTCACTATCTACCCCCAACGGCTGAGAACTGACGTAACTTTAGTGGCGTAGCACTTTGATGTAACCTGCCTGCCTCTTACATGAGGCGAGTTAGAGTAGTCTACATCATGGCCCAGGGCATAAGGTGAGATGAACTGTCGCTGAAGCCAAACAGAATGCAGGATTTCCGAATACTTCATACTACATCGACAATCTCTACTAAGCAACTGTCCATTCAGGGCGCTTTTATTAGTCAGACTATTTCCGAGCACACCCTCGTGGCCGACGAAGCTTGCTGATCTCACCACAGGGCTGTAGAAGTTCCAAAGCGCTTATTTAAGTGCTCTGGACACAAGAATCTACTACTACCCTGCCTTTCCCACACAACTATGCGCTCATATAGTCTGATCAATTGATTGTTTGTGAAATCCGCAGACTGATCGAAAATGGGCGAACAGAAGCAGACATTTCGACCCTCATTCTTTGAGCGCATCGCGATCTCCATCTTCCACCTCATCAATAGGGTGGTGCCATGGTTCAAGCTTCCGACATTCCTTGGAGCGATTAATCTCGCATTGCTGAGGATTGAGCTCCGGGGCTACAATCTACACGATGGTTACGCGTCCGCATCTGAGCAAGGGTCTCCAGGGGACACACCTATGAAGGATGAGCGTTTCCAGACAGCTCGAAACTCGGATGGTCAGTTCAACTCGCTGGAGCAACCGCGCATGGGATGCACAGGAATGCGATTTGGTCGTAACTTCTCCCGAGAGCACTGCCAGAAACCAACTGAAGAGGAATTATGGTCCCCGAACCCGCGAGTTATCAGTGAGAAGTTCATGGCACGCAAAGAAGGCAGGTTCATCCCAGCGACAACACTCAATCTGCTCGCCGCTGCTTGGATTCAGTTCCAGACGCACGATTGGTTCAACCATGAGCTCGACCACGTAAGTCAATATCGCAATATAACACCACAAGGAAAAAAGCTTCCCACTAATCTTTTGTATAGGAGAACGAGCCTCACGATATCCCACTCCCTCCTGGCCACTCCTGGCAGGGGAAGATGACATTGCCAAAGACTAAGCCAGATGAGATCCTGGACCCTTCGGACGTTAAGTGTCCTGGCTACAAGAATATCAACACGGCATGGTGGGATGGGTCGCAGATCTACGGATCTACCGAGGAGGCAACACGTGCGCTCCGAACATCACGGCCCGACGGCAAGCTAGAGCTCGCGGAGAACCGTACCGGGGCTTTCCTACCAAGGGACAAGGATGGCAATCCACGCACTGGATTTAATGATAACTGGTGGGTTGGCATGGAAATGCTGCATACCCTTTTCGCCCTCGAGCATAACGCCTTGTATGACATGTTTCAAAACGCATATCCAAAATGGACTGGGTACGTGAAGAACCCTTCCTGTGAGTTCCTGTGGCTAACAATCTCCTTAATTTAGAGATCAAATCTTTGACAAGGCTCGGCTTGTTAATAGTGCATTAATGGCCAAGATTCACACCGTAGAATGGACGCCTGCTATTCTTGCACACCCTATCCTAGAACTTGGCATGAACGCGAACTGGTGGGGCATTGTGGGAGAGAAACTTACCAAAATACTAGGACGAATTTCCAAGAGCAGTGAGATCATTTCTGGAATTCCAGGGTCTGGTGTGGATCATGATGATATCCCTTTCAGCCTCACTGAAGAGTTCGTCTCGGTATACAGGATGCACTCCTTGCTACCAGGTAGGCATCGTCCCATCTCCGATCTACATGTTGATAGCTAATCGGGATTAGACAACATTGCATTCTTCGAAGCCAAGCATGGAAAACATCAGACCACAACGCCCCTCGCAGACCTGACTTTCAAGGACGCGCAGAAGCCGCTTGAATCGGGCATCTCATTCGGAGACCTCTTTTACTCCTTCGGGATCAACTATCCAGGAGCGATCACAAATAACAATTATCCTAACTTCTTGCGCGACCTCCACACCCCTGATGGCCTCCATAGAGATATGGGAACTGTAGATATTGTGCGTGATCGAGAGCGTGGTGTCCCACGATACTGTGCCTTTCGCCGCATGCTGCGCATGAGCGTACCCGAGACCTTTGAGGAGCTCACGGGTGGCAACAAGGAGCTCGCGGAACAGCTTTCGGAGGTGTACAACGGAGAAATCGAATTAGTTGATACCTTGGTGGGATCCCACAGCGAGCCTGTGATCCCCGGGTTTAGCTTCAGCGAGACGGCTTTCCGCATATTCATCGTTATAGCATCACGGCGTCTGAAGAGCGATCGATTTATCGCCGGACAGTGGAATGCAAATATGTACACCAAAGAGGGTCTTCACTGGGTGCAACATACGACGATAAAGGATGTTCTGATTAGGCACTTCCCAGAACTGGAAGATACCCTGAAGAACAGTAAGAATGCGTTCGCACCCTGGACGATGAAGGCTGAGTCAAAGAATTACCAGGGCATCGAGACAAATGCTAAGCAGATTTAGGGAATCTTTTTCAGTCGTTTTATCTGTCTAATCTATCTACTGCCAAAGTTTTGGACTTAGTGGCTTGAGCTTGGCTTGTACGGTGGTATCTTAGTCTCATGAAATTCAGAGTTATTCTATCAAGTTGGCACACCTTTCTTAGCTCTTCCGGGCTCAGCTTAGAACCAGTTATATGCCCATTATAGCTTCTGAGCATAGCATTTCATTATGTTAGGCTTTTAATTCCATATTTGCTGTCGGTAGGCTAAAGAAAGGCTTAAAAACCGGTTCGTCCCCGTGCTAGGGCTTGGGCGGGCATAACGCTTTCAACACATATGGCGTATTCAGTAGAAACCCCTCATTTTTCTTGCAATGATTTTTCTTTTATCAGAAAAATAAAAAACCAAACACAAATTACAAATTATTCCCACTTTAACGAGGTTAGTTTATTAAAAGCTAAATTTATTTATGATAGTTGTATTAGCTGTAGTTAATGAGGGAGCCATGCCTGCAGGTTATTCAGCACCTGCTGAAGAAAAAGGGGGGCAATTCGATCCCGAAAAATCGACAACTTGACCCTATACCTAGCATCACAATACATTAAACTTCAGCCCTTATTGACTAGGTGGGTTTACTCTAGTACATACAGGAATAAGTAGGTACATCTAACCCTTCTCCCCTCTTAGGTAGCTCCGTTATTAATCAGATATTCATAAATGCCTGAGGATTTATGGAGCGAAGCGGCCTGAAGAGCTGTACGACCGTTTTTGTCCGCAGAAGCATGTATGTCGGCCCCGTGATGAATGAGATGCTTAACGATATGTAAATGGCCACCTTCGCATGCAGCCTGAAGAGCTGTGTGACCTCCAGAAGGCGGAGGAGCATTAATGTTAGCTTGGTGGATGATGAGATAATTTACAATCTCCAGATGGCCGTATAGGCAGGCTGCCTGGAGAGCTGTACAGCCATAGTGAGCAGCAGAAGGAGCATTTATATCGGCATTTTCAGCAACTAATAGCTGGACAATGTCAAGGCGACCACCTGCTGCAGCTGCTTGCAGGGCTGTCAGACCCTCTTCCAGTTGCCACAGGGGGTTTATCGTGGCTTTTGCAGCAAGCAAATATCTGACAACTTCAAGGTGTCGACCGAGCGCAGCCCCCTGTAGAGGTGTGTAATCATCCCAGAAATTTGGGCCGTTGACAGAAACTCCTTCCGCTAGAAGCAGCTTGACAATGCTAAGGTGACCGAAGCGTGCAGCCTTTTTCAGTGCTTGTTCAGCGTCGCCATTATCCTTGGGCATATGCAAAAGTAAATATCTCACGATCTCTATATGACCTTGTGCTGCAGTATCTTGTAATGGTGATGATGGTGCCTTGCGGTGAGACTTGGACATGGAGGCACCTGCGCCAAGGAGGAATTGAAAAATGCTCAAATGTCCAAGCCCAGCTGCCAGTTGCAGTGGCGGTCGGGAAAAATCATCCCTAAGGTTTATAGACGCCTTCTCTGCCACTAAGTATTTCACGATATCCAAGTGGCCCCCCCGAACGGCAAGATGCAGGGCGGTTGAACGTTTCTTAGCATAATCGACTTCAGCTCCCTTAGCAACCAAGCATTTCACCACGTCAAGGTGGCCACAGCCCGCGGCGAGTGCCAAAGCCCAAGGATGAAAATTTTTTAGGTCGGCTTTAGTAGTAAGCATGTCATGAACAATTTCTAAAAATCCATTTTGAGAAGCAGCCTCCAGAGCAGTTGAAGGACCTTGGTAATCTTGTTCACTATCGTTGATCCTGGCATTGACGTTGGCATGATTCACCAACAGGAGCCGGAACGCACCAAGGTGTCCATGTTCGACTGCCAGTTGAAGCGCCGTGGGTCCAAACCCGCCAGAGTCGTTGATACTCGTACGTAGGTGAGTGAGTGTCATTTCAATGATCTCGCAATTCCCACCCACAGCAGCTGCCTGCAAAGCGGTCAATCCGTAGCAAGCAGACTCGTGGTTCGCATCTGCCCCCTGAGTAAGTAGGAACTTAACGATATCAGGGTGGCCACCTTTGCATGCAGCTTGTAAAGCTGTCAAACTCCTCTTGAGATCAGTTAGGCCATCGATCCTAGCCCCGCCATCATGGAGGCGCCGCAAGATCTTCATGTGCCCTCCAAGTGCTGCGGCTGACAATGCGGCGTTTAATCCACTCTGGAGGTCTGGCACTTCGTTGATATCCGCCTGTCTCGCGAGTAGATATTCAACAATCTCCAGATGGCCGTTGAGGGCGGCGCCTTGAAGAGCAGACAGTTTCTTGTACTTGATCGAATCATCGATAACCTGCGCACCCATCTCAATCAGATATTTCAGCACCTCCATATGGCCGTTCAGAGCTGCACCTTGCAATGCTGTATAACCACCAGTGGAAGCGGATGCAGCATTAATCTTGGCTCCGTGCCGGATTAAATCTTCGACAATCTGAAGATGGCCGTTCAGAGCTGCACCTTGCAATGCTGTGCAACCGCCAGTGGAAGCGGATGCAGCATTAATCTTGGCTCCGTGTCGAATTAAGTCTTCAACAATATGAAGATGGCCGTATTTGGCGGCCGCCTGTAGAGCTGTTAGACCATCACATGATGCAGGCCGGGCATTAGGTTCGGCACCGTGTTCAAGCAATAATCTAACCACATCGCGATGCCCTCCTTTTGCAGCAGCCTGCAATGCGGTGAACCACTCTCCTCCTAACTGGTCCAGAGCGATATAAGGCCTGCGCCGAGAAACGTAGATATTATAGAGATCGGCAAGATGGACATCGCTAATTGCTGGCCAATGAGCATTGACATCTGCCCCCGCGGCAATTAGACACTCGGCCGTTTCGAAATGGCCGTGTCCCGCGGCTGCTTGTAGGGCTGTATGATTTCCATAATCAGGATCTGCATAAGCATTGACATAGGCATCTTTACAGAGTAGGAGTTTAACAATCTCTAGATGCCCATGCTTCGAGGCCAGCTGTAAGCTTGTATTCAGTGCCCAGCTGGATTGCTCAAGTTGAAGAAAAAGTTCCATCAGCGCCTGGCTTCCAATTGCCGCGGCTTGAATCATCGACACTTCTTGGTCCCTTTTCAGGAGACAATTTTTCCCGAAGAGCTGCTGCCGCACCAATGCAAAGTGCTCAGCCTGAACAGCCCATCCTAGGGTGTTGGCATCCAGTTCACAGCCGTTATCTGAATCAAGCCACGGTCTTCTTGTCAAGGGGTGACCTTCCGTCACTATACGTTTCCAAAGCTTAAAGCCCCTGGATTTCCCATCTTGAAATGTTTTAGTGTGAGAGATCCAATGCTGCGAAGCGTAGTTGAGAAATGGATATCTAGCTTGAAATGATTCCAAGGTAGCGTCGGTGCTTGCCCTGTCGTAGCTAGGCATGACGGATAAGTCAAAAAGATCATCGTGATTCTTCTTAATGACTTTTCGCTCAATAAGTCTTCTTGTAGAATTCCAGACCCTGTTGTTAGTCGTGAAAGCCGTCGTCGGTATAGATGCAGGCGAGATTCCCGTTGCCGGCCGAAGTCGTGACGCAAGGGTGGTTTGAAAGTCGTTAAAATGCAAATATGTAAGACATATTTCTCCAACATTGTGGTCTGCTGCCTCTATGTTGACATGAAAAGTCGCAACATCATCATCAATATTTGTGCTGGTCATGAAGTCATATATACTTTGGTGAGCGAAGTACACCGCGGTATTTTCTTCATTTATATGGAGAAGATTCTCGCTCCATATAGCTAGGTTAGTACTTTCATTCAACCTTTTGCTAGTATCTGAATACTTTTGTCCGACTTCAATGTATACTGCCTCGCTGAGTTCATCAAAAGTAAGTCGGCGCTTTGCAACAGATATCCACTGGAAGATTCTCTGGACAGTCGGAGCTCTTCCTGGAGTAATCCGTGATAGAACCCGACAATAGGTTTCCTTTAAAGATTTGGGAAGATTATTGAGAGCCTTTCGGATGTCGTTGTCACTACATTGGTCGCATAATTCGTCAAGAAGGTATGAGACCCATAAGAACCTAGCAAAAAGGTTAGTATAAATCCCCTCGCCCTAGGTTCGCTCACTATGGATTACAGTACACTCACATTCCATCTGCGTGCATCGTCAGTCTTCTCTCGATCTCTTCAGCAAGCTTTGGATCTCCCATGACAAGCTGTCGATCGAGCATTCGTTGCTGGATATTTTCTCGAATATAGACTGAGATGTCTAGAACTGCGCCAGACACCTCCATTGAGACTCGCGTCATATTGGGCAGTCTTCTCTCTATTTCCCCTTGAAGTCCTATACGGCTTGCAAGGAATACTTTGAGTTTTGGTTTCATTGAGATCAGTGATGATATGGCGTCAAGCAACACGCGTCGCTCCGAGGGATCACATTCGTCCAAGCCGTCGAGTATGATATAAAAACAATCGAACTTCATAACCCGATCTTTCAGTAGTTCAACTACCTTTTCAAATTGAAGGAATCTCTCTCCATCTAGGTCTTTCAAATCGGTTTTAATCTTCTCAGATAGATCCATTGGATTCAGGGTTTGCCGAACAATTGAACGGAGAATCGTCTCCGCTTTAAGAGACTGAGCATCGTGGTATTGGGCAAAGAAATAGGTAATACAGATGCTCTTGTGTTTTGTCATGAAAAGATGTTGTATCACACTCGCCCTATGAGATGTCATGAGTAAGCCCTCCGTTGAGTAGTAGAATGCTAAGTACTCACGTAACAACAGTCTTTCCGGATCCAACTGGAACATTTCAGTACACTTCTAACAGTGAAGCTTCGAAACTTACTTTTACCGGAACACCAGAGTAAAGAAGTTCCCTGCTGAATGGTCCATGAAGTAAACTCCGGCGTCGAAAATATCCATGTAGCTGTATTGCAATTCCGGATCTTGCACGCTTCCTTAAGCGGCGTGCTATAATCATGAGTGGAGAGTGATTCCAATAGACGTTGGTCACGTTTCCCTAAGCTTAGATTAGCGTTGCTGGTGAAGCTTCCGGAAGATTGATGTATGACTAACGGGTCTTATGTAGATACTGCGTCATTTTGATGTCTTCAAGCCTCTCGTTCACGAGTTTTGACCCAGACATTATATTTCGCAAATCGCTTCGTACCACAGCTTGTGACAGTTTTTGTAGCTCTTGGTATTGCCTCTCCATTTGGATTTGGGCCAATTTGATTTCTTCTTTTACTTGTTTCCCATTGTTCCTGATGCTGAGTATATCGCTTTCAAATTCTTTGTCAAACGACTGCCGGAATATATTTAAGATTTGGGTTTGCCCTGTAATAATTTAGTGTTTGCCAGGCGGACAAACCTTCGAACAGAGTTAACTGACACGGCCTTTGTATAGCTTCGACGGCATGCTTGCAGCACTGAATAATTGAAACATAGAATTTGCAAAGGGCTTCCTGAACTCTCTTGGATGTTGGGAAGAGAGCTTGATATTCTTCAAATATTGGACAATAACTGTTGAAGCGCATGAAAACCTGGGAAAGCTCTTCAAAGTAAGAAGTGTAATTTGAGACAAGCTACCCGGCTTAGCTATACAGTATGTCAAGCAGCAGAAGGGAACTACTCACCAGCATGGCAAACTTGACACTCCCCCACACCAACGCCGCAATCTCCGGGTGCGATGAGACAAGCGTGTCCACAATCGAAGCAAATTGCTGAACTGATTGAAGTACAGAGTGAAGTCGAGTCGCGATGCTTCTACCCTTTCTGGACCGACTGGCAGCGTCAAGCTGAGCAGTAAAGACCATCACAGCATCGGAATCGGGAACAATTTTAATTTTCCGCAACTCTGTGCACTGCTGCTCGGTCAATATGCTCTCAAAATCGTCCGTTGCCGCCTTGAGCGACTCCCACGAGTCCCCAGGCTCCGCCGTTGTCCTGTGGCGCAGGACGACACTTGCTGAAGCCATCTGGAATCACCGCGGTATTGAAATAAGTTGGGTGCGTTGTTGACGCATATACGATGCAAGGAAATGAGGGGAACGAAAAATGCCTGGGAATCACAGCCACATGCAAGTCTCATTGGTGGGAGGCGGTGCCAGGTCAGCTGACGAAATCACGCCTCATACGGCAGCCAAATTCAGATTTACCATTAGTAGGAAAAGGATTCATGAAGACGGCGGTCGCGTCTCGAACTATACGGGCAATGTGGGTAGCGTTCGGCTCCCCAATTACCTTGTCAGTTGGTTTCGGCTTATGTAGTAGAAGCAGTAGCTAAATAGTAGTCTTATAACTATGTATTGGCCTTTATAAGTAGCTGCGAAGATCTACAAACGTCCAACTTTCATGGATGCAGCACCTGAGACAGCTTCTCAGCAGCATACTTCCCGAGCACCTGGATAGTTCCCATACCCAGCATCTCCAGCACACTGATATCCAAGCCCAGCGTCTGCTTCCACCAGAGCCTCATCTCGATAGCGACAAGGGAGTCCATTCCAATATCCGCCAAGCCAACCTCGAGATTCAGCTCATCGGCGGGAATGAATAGCAAACTCAATACCTTCAGCCCGATGGCACGAGCGAGGAAGTCGGCTGCTTCAGGGGTGCTCAGAGCATCCGGGTTCTCACGGGCTTGGGACAGGAACCCTTTAATACCATCGCCCGCGTCACCAGCACCAGCGCCTGATCCACCATCAGATTCGTTGCGATAGACAGCGAATCGCGGGTCTCGACGCCAGGGGACCCGACAGTTGGGGCTCGTCAGGGGCAGCAGGCTCCTAATACCTAGGGCAAAGGTACGAGGATCGGCCGAGCCATCCCAAGACAGTGCACGCGGGGACACAGGGGCAGTGGCCGCAGCCAGGGCATCCAAGATGTCAGTCTCCCGGAGCGCGTGGTACCCCGTAGCCTTCATCTGGTGAATGAGCTCGGCACTCTCAGAGACATATCCAACGCCGAAGACGGCACCCAGAGCTATGGTCGACGCCGCGAGACCGAGGCCCGCACGGTACTGCACGAAGGAATCTAGGAAGCTGTTGGCGCTGCCGTAATTGGCCTGGCCCATGTTACCAATGATGCCAGAGATGGAGCTGAACATGACAAAGAAGTCGAGTTCCGCGCCGGCCTCAATCGCCTGGTTGTGGAGGTTCCAAGTTCCCTGGACCTTGGGACCGACAGCTGTATGCCAGTCGTCCCAGGCCATGTTGGTCCAGGCCTGGTCACGGAGAAGCATTGTCATGTTGATGATGCCCTTGAGAGGAGCGTTGTCACCAGCCGCCTTGATGGCCTGCGCAACGACACTTTGCTCCGTCACACTCCCGGCAACGAGCTTGACGGACGCTCCCATGGTCTCCAGCTCACGGGCGAATGCGAGGTCCTCGGGCTTCCCGGCACTGCGTGAGAGGAATACAAGGTTGCGAGCGCCGTGTTCTATGAGCCAGATGGCTACCGCTCGTCCAATTCCACCTAATCCTCCTACTAGAAGGTAGGATGCAGCACGTTCAAAGACGGGAGTCCTCCTCCGGTCCGAGATAGCAGTATCTTTGTGGATAATGCTGTCAACATTCCGTAGCTCGATGACAACCTTTTCAATTTGCTGCTCGCTCTTCTGCACAAGCTCGAAAGCGTCTTGGATTTGGGTGGCGGGATAGACTGCAACGGGTTGAATCGGGAGGATTGCCCGTTGCTCGAACAATTCGAGGATGGAGCGGAGGAGTCTGTTTATGTGTCAGTCGTTCCTCAGTGAAAAGACAGAAATTAACATTACAACTAACCTTTGAATGATGACAGGCTTCGTAGACTGCAGACGATTCCAGTCAACATGGTGGAAACTTCGGTTCGGCCTCGCAGCATCCCCAACGTCGTTTCCAATGCCGATATGTCTGCCAAATTCTGCAACGGTATCCCAGCTTGCCTGGGCCAGTTCACCCGAGAGAGAGCTCAGCACCACATCGACTCCCTCTCCGCTCGTCTCACGTAGTACGCCAGCTCGGAAGGAGACATCCTTGGAGGAGAAGATCCTGTTCTGAGGGATATTCCAGGAGCTATGTAGATGCTCGATCTCCTCTTTGGAGCCAGCTGTAGCATATATCTCTGCACCAGCGTGCCGTGCCACCTGGAGGGCGGCGAGCCCAACTGCACCGGCTGCTTCATGAATCAGGACAGACTATATGGCTACTGTAAGCTGAATGCACACAAATAAAAGCTCGAGAAGTCTTGTTTCCTTACCTGGCCACGCTCCAACTGACCGATGTGCTTTAGAGAGTAGGTGGCAAGGCCATACGCCGAGGCGAGCGTAGCAGCATCATTGAAGCTGAGGTTATTCGGGATCCGGATCACTCGCTGCGCCGATTCCGTAACCGTAGTTGCAAGAGTCCCATAGCCCAGGAGAATCACCCTGTCGCCGGCCTGCAGATGCTGAACTTGGGGTCCGACGTGCCGAACGATTCCTGCAGCTTCATGGCCGAGGAACGGACTGCTCGTGTCGATGCTACCGGTAGCAATGCGCACATCCTAATCCGGACTGTCAGTATGGTTTAACTTGGTGAACGGGCAGAGGTAGATTCTTACTCTTGAGTCCAGCGCAGAAGCGTAAACGTCCACCTGCACTTCGTCTCCCAAGGGCTTCTTGGTCTCCCGACGAGACCACTGCAACTCTGCCTGGCGGCCGGAGCGGCTCGCGGACAGGGCAACGGCATCACCCGCATCTGATGTGAGTAGCAGGTCAGTCAGAACGAAAGGGAAGAGGCGTCCAACTTTGACAACGCCTTCGTGAAGAGCATACTCCATCTCAGGAGTGAGGACCTCATCCTCTGCATCTCTGCTCTGGAAATGCGCAAAGATGTCCAGCAGCTTGGAGGTATCCTTGGTTGAGTCTGCATTGCCATCTCCGGAGTAGACCACGCCAAAATGCATTCCCGTCTCGCTGCGGACGACGCGGGCCAGTCCGAGGATCTGAGCATACCGCGGATCCTTGGCTTGGATTGGTGAGGCTGGAGTGACCCAGAGCAGGCCAGACCTGTCGAGTCGGTCCATGAAAGCCTTGAGTTTTTCAAAGTTGTCCTTGGTGATATCCGTGAGGAAGGGCCCTTCTGCATCAAGCAGTGAGATGACATCAACGCCAGGTTCAGGAACATCTTCGAGGGTGGAGCGTGTGATGCTATATCCCCTCCCTTGCAGCCCCTGGACCACTGGACCGAGGTCGGACGAGGCATCTCTGGCTAGAAGCGTGATCTTCTTGAGCGCATGAGTCTTCTTGGCAGGCTTAGCGATGAAAAAGGCGTTCAGCTGTCCATCCTCTACCACCGGCTCTGGAACATCGAATCCGGCCGCTAGAAGCTCGTTTTGCCACCTCTCCGTGCTCGCGTAGGGCTCCTGCACGCGACTGTCATCGACGCCCTGCCACCATTCAGGCTGCAAACCACGCACGAAGTTGATCCACTTGCTACCGGAGTTGGGGTTGAGCTCTTGCAAGAGCAGGCGGCCATCGGGATGGAGCAGCTTTCGCACATTCGTCAAGCTCTCCCGGATATTCTGTGTCTCGTGGATCACATTGACGGCAATAATGAGATCATAGCCGTCCTCATCGAAGCCCTGCTCGACAGGATCCTTTCCGATGTGGAGAGTTGCATAGTCAACATTCGAGTACGCCTCAAGCTTCTCTTTGGCCGAAGCGAAGAGGCTCGTCGAGGAGTCGGAGAAAGTGTATTTGGAGTATTGAGAACCAAGATGCTTGAGTATATCCTGAGCGCTGGAGCCGTCCCCGGCGCCGAGATGCAACACGCGTAAGTTAGGCTTGGTGTGTGCCAGATGTCCTAGGAAGTTTGATATGTCGTACTGGTCCACGTAGGTCCGCAGCTGGGTCAGGATGTCATCTTCCTGCAGCACATCTGAGACCTCGAGTCGTCCATCGAAGATGTCCACAAGAGCCGTAGAGATTTTCGCCAAGGCTTGAGCTGCAAAGATTGTCGGTGTGTCTCGGAGGCTTTCCACCAGAGCTTGGATCCTCTCACTAAGATCTTGCTCGTTGGCGCTGGAAGAATCTTGAAGTTGTTCAGCCTGCGACTGAAGCCATGCTTGATACAGCTTCAGATGCGGCACACTAGTCTCCTTGCCGGCAACCCGGCTGTGTGCGTAGAGCAAAGAAGCATGGTATATGTCATCCAAGGCCTTGGAGTGCGCTCCATAATCAAATGAAGGCTTCACAACATCCTTAGCAGGGAGGAAATCTACATGCGGCTTCCAGACATGGCGAGCCGCGGCGTGGCTGTCAGCCGGTGCAGGCTCGTTCAGGAGAGCCAGCTTTGCACCAGACATGCGCATGACGACCTGGCCATCCGCGACAGCTTCAGCGGTCCCCAACACGGAGCCTTTGCCGACAAACGCGGCAGAGGCATTTACAATGACATTGGAAGAAGTGCGGCGGATGGTCAGTTCCTCGATGCTCGTGGCAAGCACCTGCTTTGACTTGCGCACGAGACCAAGCGAGGCGCCACAAGAGAGGAGCTGAAGGGAAGCATCGACAATGGTTGGGTGCAGGTGGTAGTTGGGCACGTCAGCTTGCTTGTTGTTCTGAATCAGCGCAGAAGCGAGACCTGGCTTTGTCGTCGAGGTCCGGATCTGCTCCAGGCCCTGGAAGTGAGGACCGTAGTCGACGCCAGCCTCACGGATGGCAGTGTACCATTTCTCTGATGAGAGCGGCCGTGGTAAATCGGCCTCAACAACCGTGGAGACGCCGAGGTCTTCAGCAAGGCTTGATACCTCGCCGGTGGCATGTTTCGTCCACGCGTGGCCGTTGTGGGAGGTGATGCTGAACTCCCACCACTGACTATCCGTCGCGCTGTCCAAACGCTTCCTCCGGAGAGTCGTGATGATCTCGGTGGGCTTTTCGTCCGAGACTACCATAGCTGTACGCACAAGGAACTTGCGGATTTGAAATCCAGTGTCGACGCCGCTCGTTTGTCGAATGGCCTCGCCGGCGATGGCAATGTAGCAGGCAAAAGGGAACACCACATCATCCTGGACCTTGTGGTCGCGCACCCATTCGGCGTTGCTGAGAAGGAAATTATTGCGCCAGACGGGCTCCAGATCGCTGCTCTCTACCGTCTTGAGTCCGAGAAGATCGTGATGAGGATACTTGGGGAACCGCCACTCCTTGGTCACGCGCGTCTCGTTCCAGTGACTGACCGAGTGGTTCCAATGGTAGCGTGGCAGGTCTCGGAGGGTGGAATGATCATCATCTGGGTAGAGAGAGGCAAAGTTTACCGGATAGTTGAGAGCCCACAGCTTCCCAACAGCAGAGAGCAGTGTCTCTGTGCTACTCTGGCCGCGCACCATGGCCGCAACATATGGAGCAGCCGCCGTGCTCGATGACTCTGCGACGATCTGCCGAAGAGGGCCGGCAAGCGCCGAGTGAGGTCCGATCTCCAGGAACGCCGTGTTCTTGCCAAGGACTGGGTGTTGCAAGATGTGTGAGACGGCACTCCGGAACCGCACCGGGGACTCAAGGTTCTGCTGCCAGTACCTGACACCGAGCTGCTCGTAGGCAGAGAGGAGCTTGCCATGCACACTGGAGAAGAAGGGCTTCGAGGGGGATTTCCCGAGGACCTTGTCACCGACCAGATCGACGTATTGCTCACCAATCTCCACCATGTGATGGGAATGGTAGGCTTTGTCAACTTGGAGGAGTCTTGCAAGTGTGTCTGGCTTCTTCTCTTTGATATTCTCCACGACCGACTCCACCGCATCCGCGTCTCCAGATAATGTGACACTGCGAGGGGAGTTGTCGCAGGCAATAGTTACGCCAGGGACAAGGAACTCAGTAGCCTCGTGCCAGCCAAGGCCGATGGCAGCCATGCGTCCCTTTCTCGTCTGCTTAGCAGCGCTGATGCCTCGGTAGTAGGCAACGGTAATGGCCTCCGGGGCCGTCAGAGCGCCTGACGCATAGGCTCCTGCAATCTCGCCGCTGGAGTGCCCGACTACAGCTTCAGCCTGGATTCCAACGGCCTCGAGGGCGTCCACAAGCGCGACTTGGATAGCTGTGCAGAGTGGTTGCGACAGCTCGGCTTCTCCAAGGCGGCTAGTCTTGGTTGGCTTGCGCAGTTCAGCTTCGATCGTCCAGTCGGGGCTAGCATCTCCCAGTCCCTTCAAGGTCTCATCTAATAACTTGATAGTGGCCTTGAAGACGGGGTTGTTGCGGAGGAGGTCGCGGCCCATCTGCGGCCACTGGGCACCTTGTCCTGTGAAGACGAAGACTAGCGTTGGCCGCTGGGTGTTCTTTGTTCCCGCAGAGACTGTCCCTGGCTGTTCTTTGCTAGAGACGGCAAATGAACGGTACGGGAGGTGCTCGCGTCGCTGAGCGAGGGTGTAGGCCAAGTCGCCGATGCGCTCCGAGTACTTGTTTAGGTACTCAGTGTGAGCTTTTACCACTCCTTCCAGCGAGTCAGGAGAGTTGGCCGAGTACAGGAGAAGCTGCGGTGTCTCGGGACCGTCGTCCTCTTCAGTCTCAATGCTATGGTGTGCTGCAGATTCAAGAATTACATGTGCATTCGTGCCTCCAATACCGAAAGAGTTGACACTGACTCTCTCGGCCCGATCACGAGGCCACGGGGTCGGGTCCAGGGGCAGTTGCAGTTTCGCCGACTCCCAAGGGATGTTTGGGTTGGGCGAGGAGAACTTGATGTTTGGTGGGATGGTACGGTTTTCAAGGGCAAGGACTGCCTTGAGCACTGAGTTGAGACCTGAAGCCCCCTCAGCGTGGCCCAAGTTGGGTTTGATAGAACCGATGTAAATTCCGCGATCACCAAAGACTCTGCCAACGGCCTTGGTCTCGACGGGGTCACCGACGGGCGTACCTGTGCCATGGCACTCAATGAATGCCGTCTGGGAGAAGTCTTCGATCCCGGCAAGCTTGTATGTATGTCTCATCAACGCCTCCTGGGCGTAGGTGCTCGGGTAGGTGAACCCTGGTGTCTTGCCGTCGTTGTTCACGGCACTGCCGCTGATGACGGCTCGGATAGGGTTGCCGTCCTGGATCGCGTGCCGTAGCGACTTGACGTAGACAGCGTTGATAGCCTCACCTCTAGCATATCCGTTGCCGTCTGCCGAAAATGCCTTGCACGATCCGTCTGGTGAGAGGACGCCCATCTCCACCAGTTTCGTAGTGGCGGAGGGCGCCAAGATGAGGTTTGTACCACCCACAATGGCTGACCTACACTGACCCTGTGAGATAGCTAGGCAAGCTTCGTTAAGAGCTACCAGGGAGGCAGAGCATGCTGTTCTAATCGTCATACTGTTTACTGTTCTCAGCGTCTAAACGTTCCATAGATCTTTAGGCTTTTCTCTCATACCTTGGCCCTTGCAAGTCCATCTCATATGACACGCGATTGGACAGGTTGAAATCGACATAACCAGTCAGACTGTAGGGAGAGTACTGCTGGGGATCTCTCTCCAGCATATCCAACCAGTCCTCGCCGAAGTTTCCCATGAAGACACCAATCTTCTTCCCTCTCCAGTCCGTCTCACCAGCGTCTTCCAGAACCTCCCTGGAGACCTCGAGCATCTGCCGCTGTTGAGGGTCACAACGCTCCAGCTCCTTTGGGGACATGGTGAAGAAGGACGCATCTAGTGTGGTGAGGTCATTATCTAGGAAGTACCCATATGGGCAATTCGTGGTCCCAGGCTTGCCGTTGTCTGAGAGATATGCGTCTATGCTGAACCTCGACTCGGGCACGCGGCTCTTTGCGTCGCCCTTGGCCAGAAGGAAATCCCAGAGCTCCGCCGGGGAGTTGATTCCACCAGGGAGGCGGCAGGCCATGCCGCAGATGGCTATGGGCTCATATGTCTTTTCAGCCGCCGACACTGAGCCTGCAGCGACGGGGTCGGAAGACTCGCCATTAGTGCCGTTATCAAAGGAGGCATCGCTGTCTGAAGAAGGTGGCTGAGGGGGGAATGTGGAAGGACGGCCATCGTCAGAAGAAGCAGCGTGGGGAGCCATCGTTATCAAGAAGACACAGCTCGTTGAGGGACGGTTCAAAGCAGGAAAGATGTTGGATGTTTGAGTTTCATGAGAAAACGGGACATGGCCGAGATACTACTTATGTACAAGCCAACTATTGGCAGGTTCCCATGAACCAGTCAAAGAGACCGATTTCGCTTGTAAACTCACAGGCGTTTCTCTTCATCAGAAGACCGTACATAGGTTGTGGGGCGTGAGACCAATAGACTCTGTGATCGCATCCTTCGGCGTTTCTAGAGAAGGCCCTGTGAGGCTCGTTGCTATAGTGTGAGAAGCTCGTCCACCAAACCCTACCAAATGTGGGTGTATTGCGAGATCGCAGGGATTATTGCGAATCATACACGGCATTACATCAAACGACCTAAAAGGGCCTAAAAGGACCTCGGGGAATACCCCTCCTTCCGTATGAGTTGAACGCTGATCTCAGAGACGGAACCCGTCATGCATTGTCAGCATGCTCCCTCGTCTCACCTGCACCCCCTGACGGTTCGTGTTCTGGCAGATGCGTCAGGGGTCTGGCCACTGGTACGAGGACTGATGCCTAGAATCTGGCACACGGAACCCGTCTTGCATGATCAGGGCCTTCGTCCGCCGAAGAGGGGGATAACGTGATGCACAAAAGCACACAAGTTTTGGCCGGAATCAACTCTTTCTATCTCACGTATTGAGCCCCTCTCTCGTTTCACCTGCGCTTATACGGAACCCGCCATGCATCCAGAGAGGACGCCGATGAGCACAAGCTAAGCGCCGGTAAAGGGTTGCGTGGGCACAATGGTCATGTCGCTGTAGAACAGGAAGGATCAATAGATAAGCCAAGTCAATGATAGAAATGTAGAGATATAACACGGTGCATGGTCACGGCGTGTATGATATGAGCAAGATCAACAAGTTGCTCGCTTCAACCAAACCAGTTCTTCTTCCCTTACCTCCAACTTCAACTACAATTCTTAATCCGTGAGACAGTCACTATGGCTTCAGCAGCTACTCTCGCGTCCTGGTACCCCGACGGGACAGCCAAGGCCAAGCAACTGACAAACGCCAACGTCTTCGAGCGCAACCTCGAAGCAGCCCTCGACCTCCGCCGTGCCGAGGGCGGCTTCTTCAAGATCCAGAAGGGCCTCCCCGCGCCGGATAGCGTCGACTTCAGCACGCTGGACGTGCTGTCCCTTACGTCGAGCGGCACCATGCGCCGCGCGTACCTGGAGGAGCTGGCGCGCCACCCGGAGTTCAAGCTCAACGACGGCAGCTCGCGGCTGATGAGCGACAGCGAGTACACGGACGCGGCGGAGCGCGAGATCGCCGAGTTTCATGGTGCCGAGACGGCCCTGATGCTCAAGTCGGGGTGGGACGCCAACGGCGCCATCATGACGGCCATTCCGCGGCCGGGGGATGCCATCGTGTACGATGAGCTGATCCACGCCAGTGTGCACGAGGGGATGAACCTGAGTCTTGCTGCCACCAAGGTCGCCTTCAAGCACAACGACGTCGACAGCTTCCGCGAGGTGCTGATCAACATCCGCGAGACGCAGAAGCTTATCCGCGAGGGCAAGCGCTGCGTCCTCGTCAGTGTCGAATTCGTCTACAGCATGGACGGCGACGTCGTGCCACTCAAGGAGATGGTGGTGATCGGAAAAGAGATCTTCCCCGAGGGCGTGGTGCAGTTTATCATCGACGAGGCACACTCTACGGGTGTCATCGGTGAGGGTGGCAAGGGTCTCGTCAATGAACTGGGGCTTGAAAAGGAGATCGCCGTGCGTATGCATACTTATGGCAAAGCGCTCGCGACCAGTGGAGGAGGCAAGTTGCCCTCCCTGTCTTTTGCTTCTCACCTGACCAGGGCTAACCATATCTACAGCTGCTGTCCTCTGCAGCTCTACAGTACGCCAAATGCTGGTCAACTACGGCCGTGTTATCATCTATTCCAATGCACCCCAGTTCTCCATCGTCGCTGCCATCCGAGCGGCCTACACGTTCATGAAGTCTGGGCAAATCGAACCTGTAAGTCGGCCAAAGAAGACTGTATCTTACTTTCCGAGCCATGAATCAACTGACAGGCTCTCCGCTTCACACAGTTACAAGCCCAGCTACAAAGTCGCATCCGCTACTTCTACAAAGCCATCACCTCCCGCCCCATCTACGACGAAGCCAACGACGCCGGCATCCTCTCCATCCCCAACGCTGAGAACTGGGAGGCCGAGACGCTGCTGACGCACATCTCGTACGTCCTCACCCGCCAGAAGTACACGCTATACCTCTACTTCCACCTCCAGCTGGCCAAGTTCATCGTGCTGCCCATCAACTATCCCGTCGTGCCCAAGGGCAAGTCACGCGTGCGCATCGTGTTCCACGCCCGCCATACCGACGCTCAGCTCGACGCCCTGGCAGATTCGATCTGCACTTGGGCAGAGGAGATGTTGGCCATCGAGGCGGCGGGAAAGAAGGCAAATAAGGTGCCTACTGCTGCGCGCCAGGTCTACGCGGCGAGACAGGGTATTGCGGCTGCTTGAGTCCTCCAAATTCCAGGGTAGCATCTCATTTGGTACTTTCACGGCCGTTTAGATAACTTTGGTCTTATTAATCTTTCATAATACACACCGCTGTTAGCCTACTTTGTATCCGGGTATGAAAAGATCAAATTCCACCTTTAGCGTGATGAAGATGGCACCCCTTTGGCCTTTTTTAAGCCCTCCGTAGTATGCTGTAAGATGCCTAAAAGAATTTCCCATTTCCATCTCGACGACTTGGTGCAATCTAAGACACACGCTTGACTGAGGAGGGGCGAGGGATTGGATGGTCCAACCGCGCTACGATGTGCGCGCGAACAGAACAGGCCATATCAGAAATACATCGATGGGAGGGTGACTAGTGATAGTATTAATCTATAATCCGGTACAAACAACCAGGGAGAAGCTCCCACTATGTAGTTGCCTCTAGATCCGCCTGCCCTCCTATGGGCCACTGACCACTCACTTGCTGATTCCTAACAGCACGCAAGAGCAAGCGAGAGAGTCAATTGTCCATAAATATGTATAATTATGTTTCCATATTCTGCCTTCCCACCTCCTCTGTCTCAATGGACAACTCCTTAACAAACAAAGAAGTCAGGAAGCCGAAACCGCTGAAGCCAGCCATCAAGTACCAGACCGCCCGGAAAGAGTCTGCGTAGGCGAGCCGGACGCCGTGCATTATGTGCTCCTCCAGATCCACGTCTCGCAGATAGGGGATGAAGCCCACCGCCTCGGCCGAGTCCTCGAGGATGGAGATGGCAGCGGGGAGTTCGCCAATCTTGGCAATCGACCTAGCGAAGACGTTGCTGAAGATGGTCGCACCAATAGACAGTCCAATCAGGGCGCCGAAAAGACGGAAAGAGACGAGAAGCCCGACAGAGAGGCCCTGGTCGTCTGGCTTGACACTTGCCTGGATAGCGACGGCGGGAACGACGAATTGGACACCGAGACCGATGGCCGCCAGCACCTGGAAGCTGGCTGTCATGGCCACCGTGGACTTCTCTCCCCACAGAGCATATAGGCCTGTGCCGACAGTCATGACAACCCAAGAGGCCCATAGGAGCCAGAGATAGCGTCGCATGTGGTCGATAGCAAAGCCCGAGATGAAGCTAAAGGCGATGAGGACGCAACACAAAGGTAGGATAGAGACAGCCGAGTCCAAAGGTGTTTGGAGAAAGACGGACTGGAAGAACAAGGGCAGGTAAAGCAAGGAAGGGTATAGAACCAGACCGTGGATGAAACCTCCAATGAGTGTGGCCAGGGAGGTAATGGAGGTCAAGAACCGGTAGGGGATGACGGGCTCTGCTGGTCTCTTCTCGTATATGCCAAAGGCAACGAGAACGAGAACACCGATAACCAGGGGGACGATCGTCCGCCAAGAGCCCCATGAGTATAATGCACCAGCCCAGCTCAACGGCAGTGAGAAGATGGTGCAGCCGGTGACGAACAGAGCCATGCCCAGCCAGTCCAGTCTGGCGAGACGTGAACCCAATGTGCCTTCGATGGGCTTCAGATGCATGAAGAAGAAAGCGCAGCCAGCACTGATAGCGACAAGCGGCAGGTTGATCCAGCCTATCCACCGCCAGTCGACGAACTCGCTGAAAAGAGCACCAATCACAGGGCCAAGGATAGAGCCCGCGGCCATGGGGACAGCTAGGAGGCCCAGCCAGAATGGGCGCTCCTTGAGGGTTGTGATGTCGCATATGATGATCTCGTTGAGCACGTCGAGGCCTCCGCCGCCAAGGCCCTGGATGACACGGCCGAGGATGACGACGGCCATACTCTGGGCAACGGCGAAGACGATGGAGCCGACGAAGAAGAACAAGAAGGCGCCGTAGAGCAGAGGCTTTCGGCCGATGACGTCGGAAGCGCTGGTGTAGAGAGGCTGGGTGATGACGACGGAAAGCATGAAGGACAGGTTCGCCCAGAAGGCCTCGAGCGTGGTTCCGTTGAGTTGGTTGGTCAGGACCTATACATCGTGTTAGACTTGCAGTTGAGTGTGGCGGACGACGCCAGAGCGTGATCTAGAGTGCGAACGAACGGGAATGGCAACGGCCAGAGCTGTCGAGTCCAACGAGACGATCAGGACCATGATCACGAGCGACAGAAAGGCGAAGTAGAAGGCCACAGGTTTCCGTTTAGAGGCCGACTGTTCTTGGATGGATGCCGGGTCTGAGTCAACCTTCTCAGGAGGAGTCTTCTCTGCCACGACCACGCCGGCCTCCGGGTCAAAGTCCACATCACGAATGCTTTTCGCATCGGGAGCAGTATCTAGTGGTGTCCCCGACATGGTGATGGTGAGCGGCGCAGGAGCAAATGTTGAACCAATAGAACCCTCCCTTGTAGATGGTGTAGGTAAGAAACTTCCATATAGTCAAGAACAGGTACTATGGGGGCAGCCAGATTTATCTAAGCGCGTTTGCGAATATCTTTATTATTAATCCAAGACAGCCGCGAGACCAAAAGTACTGCAGAGGGTCGTTATACAAGGTTGCATCCTAGCATCCTTACCTACCTGATCCAGGCATTTCTGCACAACTACCTACCCCAGGGCTTCGGGCAATTCGTAGGGAGCCGTAAGCCAGAAATCAGGCAAGGGAAGGGTGATCGCACGCCATCTGACCCTTGCTGCTGACCGACCACTTGACTTGCCAATGCGTATAAAGTTATGTAGTAGTTGTGGGGTATTTTGCAATTTTTCCTGAATCAACGACCTGTCACACAAAAACTCGAGGCCTCAAAGGACTTTTCAAAAGTGCATTGCTCCGAAAGGAGCGTGGTGTAAGACTTGGCTCAGCGTCTACTCACGAAGTGGAGGAGATGCGGTAGTGGCCGCCGCCAACATCGAACCTTACGAAGTCTATTCTACGGGGTCCAGGCATGGATGGTGCCGAATAGCCGGTTTACAGAGCTGTTCTGGGGGTCTTGGCGTCTATCAAAGTCGAGCCAAGCAAAGCACGCCTTTGCCCTAGCACGGAGCATCTTCTGTTTCACTGCATAACTCAGGTGGCCCTGGGCTATATACATCTGAACAGTCAGCCCTGCGAAGACTCCTAAGAAAGTTAGACGACTCCTAAGAAAGCTAGACGCACCGGAAGTGGCGGTGCGGTTGAGCCGCCCGCTCTGCCGCGCTGTAGTGTACGGGCAAGAGGCCTCACAGTTGCTTACCCCTTGTCTCCTCTGCCGGCCCAATTCGACCCTGGTCACGACAATGGCTCTTGAGGCCAACGCATATGTCTCATTAAGCGTTCACAAGTCCTGTTGGTTCTTCTCCTCGATCGGCGTCTAAGGGTACTGGCATACGGCAGACTTGGATCTGAGTAAGTAGTGTATGCTGAGTCTTAGTAGGTCTGCCTGTCTGTCTGTCATCAGGGCCAACGAACTGTACGCTTAGGACTCAGGAGAACAACAATTTGTAAAGCGCGCGGGCTGCGGCCGTACAACATGCTCCGTACCCCGACCCCCCTGCCGGCTACGCCGCCTCTGTTGTGCTCGCCCCCTGGGTGTTAGCACAAGAAGGAATCTATCTCGGACTAGATACCTTGACTTCCTTGCCCTTCCTTACCGAGTGGTGACTCGTGAGGCCCCCAATATCTCCGAGGTAGCGTGAAGGCGTCATATCAATCCGTATTAATAGCTCCAATAGCCACCCTAAAGGCCGCAGAATCGCGTGCACTCCGAATAGCACCACCTAGTTATCAATGGCTATGCAAGGCTACGCAGGTGAGTTTCGCAGGAAAGATTCTCCTTTAGTCGTCGGTGAACTAATCGCGGTGATGTACATGTAGTATGTTATCGATGCAGGAGGCGCAAGATTCGTTGCGGCAGAGAGCGCCCGCACTGCTTGAACTGTGTCAATGCCGGCTATGAATGCGACTGGTCAGGAAAGGGGAAAAAGCCGAATCAGTCCTCGATGTTGTGAGTCAACCGTCGGTAGCTTGAAGGCACGAGTAGCTGACCGAGCGTCAAATCCGCATCCAGACTCAATGCTATATCAGATCTTAGTCGCCGCCTCGAAAAATTAGAAGACATTACGGCAGATATGTTTGACGTTGTCGCGAGGCTCAATGCTGTCTACCCGCCAAATGGGGAACCCTCAAACTCGAACAGTCCGCCTCAGCAAGCCGCAACACAGCACAAAGGTACCACCGGGCTTTCACCTATTCGATCCTTTCTAGAGCATCTACTGATTGGTCGTTAGCAATAATACCCCAGACAGAGCGAGATGAGCATCAAGGCATATGCTCAGAGGAAGATCTCTCACAGTTGTGCAACTTCAACGCAGATGAGCAACTCCAATACTTCAGAGCAAGGATAGGAGAGCAGCATGGCCTCGGTTCCAGGTTTGGCCTGCTCTATCCCACCGGAGATACCTTCAACCCGGCATGTCAGGGCAGAAAAGAGTATCCCGATTTCTCGTCTTCCCACTCATCCATTACGGATCTAACCCCTACCCCTTTGCCATCGGCCCTGCCTACGGTGACCCAGCAGCATCCACCTTCCTCGGCACATGGGTCTGTCGACGAGTTCGGTCAGACCCTGTCAGGGAGTTATTATATCCCCGCTGATTTTTGCCCAAGTTTACCAGACTCCAGATGAATAGAATAAAGTCTCTACATGTAGCCTAGCTTCGTCTTACTTGGTGTATTGTGAGAATTTAGTATGCTAGTACCATCACACATAGTTATGACGCCCGAACTCGACCGATGGGTCCCGTGATAGCGTTAAGGACTTTGACCGCTGGGGCCCCGGACACTCGCATTATGATGAGTGGGTTTTCGGGAATCTCTTACTCATGCAGTGTCAGTACTTTTGGTGCAGATCGCATGTAATCAAAAACTCTAGGTGTCTTTCTTGGTAATAGGGGTCTTGCAGGGTTCCCTGACTTGTCATACACTTGGCTCGAGGATTCGGAGCATAACACCCTAAGCAGGCCGGAGGTAGAATGACTATCAGTGAGACTTTCATCAAATGCGTTGTTGATTCTACCAGGATTGCCTAGCTCGGGATACCTGATGCTACTTGCGTCCTAATTGCTGTCGGTGAATATCACACAGCGAGGGGTCATCTGGAAATCAGCTGCAAGCTCAAACTATTCCACCAGACCGTCGCCCGCCAGTGCTTATTGTATAACCATACGAATAATAAACTCCTGTGGCGAGGTAAACTAAACGATCGATCACGTCAAGCAAATGCGGTCCAAGCCCTCTATTTCGTTTGATGACGAAACTTACAGGTCTCGGAAGCCAGAATATACACCGCACTTGGAAGCACAAACCCGAAGGTAGCATCCACGCATTTAGTCGGGCCTTCCTTCACCGCCAGCTCGAACTACTCTTAGGACACAGCGAACATAACGTGAAAAAGCTCCGATTGTGGTGTAACAGTCATAAATCCGTCCTCGGACCAGTGATCAGATGTCCGAAGGCTCTCGCCACAGAGAACGACTGATTATCGAACGGTGTTTGTTTCCAACTTTGGAAGAGCAATGCAGGATATCGGGGATCTTGCGGGCGGCCCGTCCGTTGTGAGTGAAGAACATACTCGTCTACATGCATCCTTACGGTTTGTAAATTATATGCAAGTTAGCCTGTGTATTTATGCATGACACATCACCAGAAAATAAACAGACGAGACAACTCGCTTATTCCAGAAACCCTTTACTTGCGGAAGCTGCGTCTTGCCGCAGCAGATACTGCACCTGGCTCACACAGTAAATAATCTTCTCGTTGGGTTGAGTGGTCCGAACAGCAAGGCAAGGCACTCTCCGACAAGTGATCTGCCCTCTGTCGAAATGATACTCCCATGATGACCCAGTTTAAAATAGTTTCCTGTTCTGCGGTGTCCCCGCATACATTCGTGGCATCACCCATGCTCTCTCAGGAATGTTCTGCCTTTGATTCCAGTCACTATCTCAGCCATTGCTTCGTTACGGTATCTTCAACACTGGTGATGTTTGCTCCAGCCTCGATTTGAAGACTGTATAGACAGTATCTCTCCTAAAAATTCGGTCATTATCTCCTTCACTCTAGCCGGCAAGATAACAGCACGAAATAATTCTGTAGTGTCTTGGTGCGACAGAAGGGCAGCTTCGAGACCCCCGCAAGGTGCAGCTCCTGCAGCCTCTTTAAACGCATGCGGCATCTCGGCAGATTAATTTCGCTTTTACAATGCCAATTTGGGCCATGAGCTTCCGCGATGACATATTATCTGCCTTGATAAACCCATTCTTGAGCCCCCTGTAGGTTAGCAGACAGTGTAGTCAATATGTATTATGCCCTAGCCATCGCTTTCACTATATCCTGTGTTAGATGATCAGTAATGGGGTCAATATAGGTAATAGAAAGCTTATGAGTTCGCGAAAAAGAGAAAGAAGAGCTTCTAAAGCTAGCAGAAATTCTATGGCAATCATGGCAAACTGTTCCACAAGCTCACGTTGTAGGATAAAGTTCGACTTCAAATGACACGCGGTTAGGTAATAAGCTTCAAAAAACTAAGTTGGACTTCGAAAGCTCGAGCTGGGCCTCGAGCATTCTTCCTGCGCTAAACTTCCAGCTCAACGCGCCAGGTTGGCTGTGCTGCAGGTTGCTCTAAGTCAAGAAATGCAACTATTCAATTGCTCCCATCCCCAGCTTCAGTTCAAGCAGATGAACACGCGCAGTTCAAGGTACAAGAGCCTTTGTTTGATCCCTTCCAAAACCATTCGCGCTTATTCATCAGCTAAAATGGCCGGCTCTATCGGTATCAGGTGTAGGAACAACACAGCCGTCATCTGCCAATTACACAGCAGGACACATGGCGCGAAGACTGACCTCGGAGTCCGCAAGGCTGTAATCGACTCTTCTACATGGTCATACGACGAGCTCATCGCAGCAGGACTCAAGAAGGGCGCTAACTGCTGGGTCTCCGTGGCCATCATCGCTGGAGTAGCCAACCATGAGAGTGGCTCGAACTTCACGCTCCAAAAGGATGCATCATTCACACTGGTCTACACCCTCTCCAGTGGTGCTGCCACTCCAAGTCTGAGAGGCCACCCAAAGACGCACCTGTGCTCATATTCTGCAGAAAGGCGCTTTTGTGTGTCGAGTCCGAGTCAGGACGAACGGCAAGGAGATGGATCTGTCTAGGTCTAATACTATGGATATGGATATAGGCCAGACCTTCACCGAGTTAAGCGGCTACGGCTTCAACAAACGAGACGATTGCTGGCTGTCTGTGGATGTTGAAGCCGGGAGAGCGAACCATGAGTCTGGCGAAAACTTCGCCTTGCGAAAGAATACGCCGGTCATCGCTAACTACACCCTATTGGATACGATATGGTTTCCTTCCTGGTCCCAGGGCGCAGATAAACCGTGGACTAAGGATGGTAATCGATAACTCCTTAGCTAGCAGGAAATGCCACTCAGACTGACAACGTATGCTTGCAGATTCACAAATGTTGGCAATAGTTTGACTGTTATTAAGTCCTTATTTCATATTTCATCCAAACGCAGTCGCCATATTAAGTCCATCTTTATCGCTTGATGAGAAGGCTAAACTCAAGTATGAGTAGTTGGTCCTTTCCCCGTGCTACAAATAGCATTCGTACCGTCTGCATCGCGCTCCTCGCCACACCAAACGTAGATGCTAAGAAAAGTTTCCGTGACCTTTGTCTTGTATATTTCATCACATGTCCAGCCCACACGCAAAGTGTCGTTGAGGCAAAGAGTGACGCAGCAATTTGTCTTGACTGGTTTCCAGACGAAGCTCTGGGCGTGGAAACCAATATCGGACTTGCCGGCATCACGGAGGAGGCCCGTGTGGTTGCCATTATAGTTTTGTTCCGAAAAGCTTTGAAAGGCGAATCTGTTGCCTGAGTCGGTTGCGTTGTTAAGAAAGGTCTCGGTTGGGATCGGTATCGAGGACGTGGGTGTTGTAGAACTTGAGCGATGGTTAGTGGCATTTGAGTTGTGTGGGGAGCGTGGTCGTTCCTTTACCTCTGCGAAGTGGTGCTTGAAGTGGTGCTTGCTGCCACTGTCGTGGATGTATCCTCTGATGACTGTGTCGAGCTCGACGATTTCGATGCAGCAGCAGCTCGCGAGCCACCGACACCTCCGCCTACGGCCGCTGCAATAATGACAATAAGGGCCACGACGATGATGATGAATGTAGTCCGCTTCAAGCCTAGAATACCTCCACTCCCTCCCGCCTTCTTCGGATTTTGCTCCTCGACGCTCGGTGAAGAGTCGTATTTGACTGAAGAGAGTTCATGGTTTACCTGGCCGTCATCCTTCAGGCTGACGTCGTGTTGACTCATCGCCTGCGGAAATTGATCTGATTCACTGTACTCTTGGTAACCGATAAGGTACTTGGCATTGGCGTCGTTCAATCCTTGGGAGTATTCGGCTTGGTAAAAAGAAATGGCCTGCGGAGAGGTATCTGGCTGCACGACCTCCGGAAGGTCGTTATAAGCTGGGCTGCCATAGTGTTCGGTCCGAGCCTCGTTTCTGTCGGGTTGTGCGGGCATCGTTGGTGATATGGAGTCTACGATGGACTAAAATCTTTCTAGTAGCTTGACTTGCAGATTGGCTTCCCTTTAAACGTTCAGCTGGAGGGAAAATAAGCCTTCACAGTGGGTTACCGTCACCAGGCCCCAGAATATTACAAATGGGAGATTGCAGATCTAGCAATCCGCTGTCCCGGCGACTTGCCGTTTCCAGCATTGATGAACATCACATGCATTATTACTATCTCATTGAGCCGTAGGCGATACCTTGGCTTAGTGGAGCGAATGGGTTCAGCTGAAGGCATCGAGAATTTTCGCCTACCAGCGTTTCAGATTGACGCAGGGGCAGGGTCAGTATCAAGCCCTATGAACAAATACGGTATGCTACCCGACTGTCTCGCAGGGGTTTCTCCTTTAGCGTAAATTAAAACTCGAACTGGAGCCATATAAAATGCGGCCGTGTAGGGAAAAGAAGCGAGTTCACTAGTATTTCTTTCATTAAAAGGAAGCCTGAGTCCTGTTGTCCTTGCCCGAAGATGAGCTCCGTTCTTGCATTCTTGCAGGAGAACTTACTGCGTGCGGGATGTTTAAGATTGAATTTCGTTGCCAATGTCTCACACAGGGGCTTTGTTATTACTATGGAGGCCCTCGTAATTCGTATCTGGGGGGACAGGGGTGGAGGATGTCATCGCTTCCTTCGGTCTGGCGTACTCGAAGCTTCAGATGACTACATACCCTATACTAGCATCCTCAAAAAAAGGGCCAGAAAAAAAGTTCTAGAGGCACCTATGTAGCTTATGCATCTCGTTAAGTCTTGGAAGATCATAGGTGGCGAATAGTAAATTCTTAGCAGCCTCGTTTGAAGAATTTATTAACTCACAATTGGGTTCTGGTATAGCTTCGGATACTAGTCTGGTGCCTTCACATCGACCCTCGGTTGGAGTCATGCTGTTCTCAAACAATAAACCCTTGGTGCCTACGATATGCTGACAGATTGATATATCACTCTTTAACACAGAAAATCCCACACCTGAGATCTTATGCTCGGAGCATTCAGGTCTGTGCTCATTGATGATACCATGAATTGAGCCTCCAGGCCGGCGAATATGCGTGAAGGCATGCTGGCTGAGTTATAAAAGACAAGAGCTGGGGAGGAGTGTAGGGTAGATTGCAGGGAAATGGCTCTGGGTCAGATGGATCCTGTCCTCAAACCTCGTTGGGTTATCGACCGGATTAATAGGCCCTATAACCCATGTCATACTCAAGACAAGCAAGTTTCTCACCTGTCACGTACAATGTCTGAAGCAGGAGATCCTGAGTTTGATGCGGAAGTGCTTATCAAGGAGCGGGGGAGGAGGCTCGACTTATAAGTGGGTCTAGAGAGTTACTACCTAATTGGGAATTACTCATAAGAGACCCCATGGGGAACAGAGTCATAGAAGACAACTTCAGCTAAGCTTAACCCATTCCTGCTTTGAGAAAACTGCTCGTTACGGTAAGTAAGACGTAGTTGGCTGTCTTGTGTTGTGTAATACATTAACAGCTTTTAGTGGCGAGCTTGTCAGATTTGACCGGCATTTCTTTACTTCCCCGAGAATCACCGGCATTGTCACAAATCCAACTCTGACATACCGCCGTCTTTTAGTGGTTGACGTCCAGATCAGCACCTTCTTTGACCGTTTTCCAATACTTCTCCGCGCTTCGTTGTCTCAACGCCCGGCCCCATTTCATAACAACAAATATAGTCAAGTTGTGGGCAAGCCCTGCAAAGGCTCCAAGAATAAACGCGTTTTGAAAGCCTAAGTTGACCACCCACGGAGTCACACTGCCCACCTAGTTAGCCACATCAGTTTGCGCTGATTAAAGGACTGACTTACCCATATCCAATGCCAAATGACATGGTGTTGCGGATAATGATTGCCGTGGCCAGAGCCTCACTCGCCAAGTCGCGGTAACAATCAATGCAATATGCAATCGATATTTGTGATCCGGCGGTCGTAGTGAAGGAGATGATGCCCATGGCAAATACGAGGCCAAACCAGTGCACCTGATGGTATGCTCCAACGCCGAACAAGATGCAGCCAGCCGGGATGAGTAAGAGCGAGGGCAAGAACAGCCATAGCCGATGTTCTGCCTCCATGAAACCGTTGTTTCGGCGTGCCATTTTAATTATAAACCGGTCACCAAAGATTCCAGTATACACGCATCTAGTCTTAGTCAGAGGTGGCTCATTTTAAGAGGTATGTAGATGGAGTAGGACATACGCAAGAGTGGTCCCAACTAAGGGGGAGATGAACGTCAAGCCCACCGTTGAAGTGGACATGCTGTATGGGGGGTTGGACAAGACCATGGACTCGGTTGCGTTCAGAACCGAGAGCCAAACGATGTTGCAGCCGTATATAAACCCAGCGTAAAATATTATGGGAAATAACAACAACAAGATGGGGCGGCCAATCAGCCTTAGAAGTCGGTTATCACCACGTAGATTCTGGGACTCGATGGGTTTGAGCCTAGCAAATCGGGACTTCTTTGTCAACTCGAGATCAATACCGCCTTGGTCGGTTTGGAGATTATTTCCGGGGAAGGATGGAGTAGCTGCGAGAATATTATCCGGGTTCGTATTTTTCGGGCTCTCCTTGTCGTCTTTGTTATCAAGGTTGGATGGTGACTGGTTTATGCCGGATAGAGGTCGACCTTCGATGTGATGACTAGTCATATACTTGGCGCGGTCGAATTTGGTTTCCTCCATAAAGAAAAAGATGATAAGCAGTAACACTGCGCAGAAGATAGCACACCAATACTGCCAAGGGGCGGTTAGATGACCCAAAATTTCCAATGTCCCGCGCTTGAAATACTTACAAACACCCACTTGTACCCTTGTCCGTCATTGATGAAGCCCATGATTAAAGGTGCGATTCCGTTGCTGTAGCCAAGCGCGAGGGCGTAGAGTGCAATGAACTTTCCTCGCTCATGGGTGAAAAACTGCGGAATAAGAGTCAGCATCACGCGTCAGCTTCCACAATACTGAATCGGCCATACCACGTCAGAGACAGTAATCTCTGCTAACGACTCAATAGGAGCACCGAAAATGCCCTGTAAGATCTTGGTCGCGATCCACTCTCCGTTAGATCGGACGTGCGGTTGCCACAACATGACGCCCTGATTTTGTTAGAACAAGGCTCTTAGTGAGCTTGGGACTCTTACCAGTGTGCCGGCTGTCGTCAAGAGGTAGACGGGCCTCTTTCCGTATTGGATACCGATAGCCTGCCAGAGTATGCATCCCCACCCAAAGAAGAGAAACTATTAGTATGTTAGCTCAACTCTCCGCACCTTAGTCATGTGGAGTGGTCTCCAGCAGGATGCACCTACCATGTAACCAGTTCCGGAGTTAAGATCATTGTACGTCAGACCAGTGGCGTCTGACAAGGGACCCAAGGTGGAGTAAAGGGCAGAAGAACAGATGCCAATAACGAGGACATAACTGGTCGCCTGTCAGCAAGAATCAAGCTCAGCGCGCGAGAGAGAGAACTCCATACGCCGACATGCAAAAAGCGGAGAGGTATTTTCGTCGCAGAGACCAGTTCAAGGGGTCATCTGGGTGGGATGATGGGACTGGCACGAGTACGACATCGTGATCTGCGCCTTTTGCGTGCTGAGACTGCATATTTCCCTGCGCATCCACAAGGTGGACCGTCCCGGGAATTGCTTCAATCTGACTCGCCATCTTGGAGAATTGTTAACCCTGCCAAAAGATGGTAGAGTGTTAAGTAATGGTATAGAAAGGTGAGGAGGACCATGATGAAGATAGGTAGAAGAGCTGGTGTCTATTTATACCTGTTTCAAGCACTCGGGATGAACCAGCCATGTCTCCTTGATTTCACTGTCGACGAAGACGACACTGTGCTATCACGTCTAACCAAGTTCACCTAGGCAGGATGACGGCCTGGGATCGGCGAACCTTGGCAATCCAGCTAGCCAACCATAACCATCCCCAGATATGTTTACTAGTGGATACTGGACTAGCTTCATTGTGCGGGGGTGGAGAGGTGCTTACGAATTGTCTCCTCCTGGTAGGTAGTCAGAGTCATGGAGTGCGTTCTTATCACCATCCCTGCGAGTCAACTATAAGAAATGAAGAGGATACTTCCTAATCAAGTCAAAACTATAGCCGAGGGTGATTGGCTTAGCGCATGCTCGCTCTCTTGCCAACTCCTAGCTCGATTCCTGCCAAGCCCCTAATCAATGTACCAACTCAACTACAAGCACAATTACCTATTGAGGAAATAACAATTACTACCTAGTGAGGAAAGATTCAAACCATGTGCTATCTAATTGCTTCACGTACAATCGAGCAAAAGAGACGATTTAGTGTCCCTCTATCTGGTATAAGGATAGGCTGGTTACCATTAACTTGCACCTCCAACACAGTGACTGCTCAAACAAATTTGACCGAATCACATTCTTCTATTAACTTTAGCCTCAGATCATTGTCATACTTCCATTTCCATCTACAAATAGATTACTCAACATGGTTGCTACGCAATATCCCGTACGTCCGGCTTTAAGCCATGAGGAGAAGGAAATAACCGGTTATGTCGAGCCCTGGGTTGTCTCGCCCGGTGACACAGCTGATGTCAAAGTAAGTAATCCTCGCTAACTTCATCTCGGGGGGCTCAGATGCTCATATTATTAGTTATCTTCCACCCAGCCCAATCTCAAGTACCAGCTCGTGCGTCTACTCCAGGGTCTTGATATGCCCCATGCTCCCACACCTGCCAAGGAGATCATAGAGCATGGCCCCAAAGGAGAGCTTAAAGGGCGATTCCAGGCATCTCACCCCGGGTCCTATGCTAGAGTAGACGGTTGGGCAAAAGACCCACTCCTGAGCAAGTCTGATGGTGTTGAGATTGACTTCTATGCACAACCTTGGATGTTGAACAGTCCCCATCCTCAAGCCATCCTGTCAAACCTCGACGTAAGCAAGAGTAAAGGGCTTTGCATACTTCTAGACACTGATCAAAACCTTGTCGTCTGGGTCGGCACTGAAAAGGGCATCGAGACTAAGAAGATTACATCCTCTGCCCGTCATGAGCGCTGGTTCCGCCTTCGCCTTACCATCCAAGGCAGGGACCTCCAGATCCACCTGTCCCACATTGCCACTGGAAATGAGATTGCCCCAGGCCCATGCACTGTCCAAACTACGCTCGCTAGTGCCGCTAGTCTTGACTCTGGAAGCCCGTTGTACTTTGCGGCGACCTTGGCTGCCAACCCAGCATCACCCTCCGAGTTCCCAGTACACTTCTTCAATGGAAGAATCGACTCACCCAGCTTTCGGGCCCTTGGACGGAAGAGTTGGGAAATTGCTAAGTACGACTTTTCGGTTGGTATCGATACGGACGAGATCTTTGATATCTCAGGATCTGGGCTTGACGGTGTCCTCATCAATGCTCCAACCCGTGCCGTTCGTGGCCACGATTATGATCACAAACTGATTGGTGTCGGCTGGAAAGAGGCGACGTACGGTTATGGGGCGATCCACTTCCACGATGACGACCTTGATGATGCAGCCTGGGATACCGACTTTCAATTTACAGTGCCTTCTGATCTTCGATCTGGTGCATACGCCATTGAAGTTCAAGACACTGAGTCAGACCTCAAGGATTCGGTTGTCTTCTTTGTACGACCAAAGGAAGTCCGGCCCCAGGCCAAGATTGCATTTGTATTTTCTACGTTTACCTACCTGGCCTATGCCAACGAGCACATGTACGACGAGACCAAATCGACGCATATCTCATTCCCCGAGGGGGTCCAGCTAGTAACCTCAGATAACTACCACAAGATGGTTCGACGCCATGACCTCGGCCTCGCCATCTATGACCTCCATAGCGACGGCTCAGGTGTGGTGTACAGCACGACGAAGCGACCAATCCTGAACGTGCGCCCTGACTATATCCACTGGGGCTTCCAGCGACCTCGAGAATTCTCTGCTGACCTGCTTATGGTTGGGTTCTTGGAGAAGCATTTCGGAGATGGCTATGATATCCTTACGGACCACGACCTCCATCTGCGAGGCCCCGCCGTTTTGGCCCAGTATGATGTAGTTATATCAGGCTCTCACCCCGAATACCCTTCTTTCGAATCCCTTGATGCTTATGAGGGCCACGTCAAGAATGGAGGTTCTCTCATTTATGCTGGAGGAAACGGCTTCTATGTGAGTGAATTCGACCGAAGAACGTCTCGACATGTATTCTAACTGCTTTTTAAAACGTAGTGGAAATCCGTGACCGATCCTAAGCGACCTCACCGCATGGAGGTCCGTCGGGCAGATGTTGGAGCGAGGACTCATCAGAATCCAGCCGGCGAACGACATCACGCCCTCAACGGACAGCTCGGCGGTCTCTGGCGCTCCCTAGGTCGTTCGCCAAATGAGCTTTGGGGAATCGGAAGCTGTGCCTCTGGGAAAGGTCCTGGTAGACCCTTCATCCCTACAAAAGAAGCCCTTGAGAACCCGCAGCTATCCTGGGTTTGGAAGGGGCTCAACGAGGAGTCTAAGAAGCTTCTTGGTACTAAAGGGCTAGCCGGCGGAGCGAGTGGTGACGAGCTCGACCGGCTGGATGTGGCCATTGGAAGTCCCGAGAATGCCATTCTGCTAGCCAGAAGCGAGCGGCACGATGACCACTTCATGCTGTTTAACGAGGAACTCATCTTCCCTATGATTGGCACGCTTGGTTCTACATCTCCTCTTGTTAGGAGTGACATGGTATACTACGAAACGAACGGGGGCGGCTCTGTTTTCAGTGTCGGAAGTATCAACTGGAATAATTCTCTGGCCTGGGATGGATACCAAAATGACATTGCTCAGATCACTGAGAACGTAATCCGCGAGTTTCTTGCTCGTGGGAAGAAATAGGTTGATAATCTCTACTAGCTCTGTCACTGGGTGAAAATTTAATGACTGTAGTTTAGCTCCGTGTTCTGTTATATAAATAACCTCACCTCCCCGCTTACTGTCTTTATTTGAGGTAGAGCTTCGGCTGCGAATGTCACTATCTACTCACTTATTCCCCCCCTCGCCAAATACTTTTGAATGGAATGGAAGAATCTGAATAGCTGAACGCTGTGTTATCATCTTACCCCACAGCTCGGGTAATGTTGAGAGCTACCATTGCTTGTTAATGGGCCGTCAGGATCTAGGAATCTCACTCCATTTCAGACTTCAGGGATATTCACAACCTAGTCTGTGTTTGGAAGTAACTCTAGCCAATGGCAGCATCATATCCTCGCCCATGTGATCCTTCAGACGGCGGGAATAAGAGTGGACTCGGAGAAAATTATCACCCATCACCCATCATCCCCCATACCTTACCACGTCCCATCTGAACTCTCGCCTGCTGTTGCGTGCCACCGTCAAGACCCCATAGGTTGGCCTTTCGTTTGCAAATACAGTTGCGCGGCATACTGGCTGGATCAAGCAACTTAATACTGGCTTCCTCTAAAGCATAAATGTATCAGTGAATTATCTTCTCGCCACTAAAGCCCTGAGGGAAACAACCTTTGATCCCTTTGCAATCGCTTTCTTACAATATTCAGGAATAGCTTTGTTCGCATTTGTATTGGACAATATGGACAAGTTCTATCGTTAGTAGCCATTATATTCGTCTTCACCTTCAGGCGACCGAGAAGAGCAGACCAAACCCCTGAGCTTTTGAACCAACTTATCGAAAGGTTTGATGATGCTAAAGATCCATGGATCCGGGACAAGGCGTAGTAAACCGCCCCAAACCAAAGAGACCGACGCAGTAACTACACATATAGCCCAGTCTATGTTATCAAGACCGCCAGGCCGAGTTTGAAAAGCGGCGGACCCAAAGAGGATAATCACGACTTGAATCCCGGCTGCTAGACAGATGATGCCAATGAACGATATGTCTCGATGGGCATCTTCAAAGATATTCAACTTATTGTCGAGGCGACGACTGTTGAATGCATTGAAGATCTGCATCCAGAAGAACGTGTTGAATATGATCGTGTTCAACTTAGTTTTCAAAGCCAGATCAGACGTATCAAAACCGAGAATGAGAGGCCCATTGAAGTAGAGTACCAAGGTGACGGTAAGTTGATAAACGGATTGGCCAACAATCATCTTCCACATCTGCCCACCAAGAGTTGTTAGTACTTATCGATCGACAAGCTTTTCTTGAGGGGGACTGTTACACTACATTTGATGTTATCAGAGATGGCTTGAACTCTGGTTTGCTATCTAGGGCCCTGATAGTAGATGTATTGGTGGCTAGAGCAAGAGCCGCGACAGGATTTAGAATAAGACAGATCCAGAGCAGTTGAGAAGCCCCAATTGTAGGTTTCATGTCCTTGTCGGCTACTGCTGTGATGACTACTGTGAGCACCACAGCTATTATACCTGGCAGTTGAAACTGCGATGAAATTTAGCCAATATTCCTGCCAAATAGGGTTGAAAAGTAAAGGGGCGTGGTTCGAGTTACCTGAATACACCTTCGAACTGCGGCAGTCAGAGATCGTGACCACCTAATGGCTTTGACGATAATATCAAAGCTATCATACATCAGTATGATGCTTGATGTAGTCTTTGCCATTTCAGTACCAGAAATTCCCTTGGAGAAGCTAACATTAGCGCTCTTTAAAGCCACGTCAGCCTCAGCATTATCATCACACAGAGCCACAGTCTCGCCGAGATCCTTGAGACGACCCACCATCGCTCTCTTGTCCTCTGGAGAGGCCCTCGCTAGGATCTGTATCCTCGGGAGGATCACGCCCATTTCTTCTTTAGAGAGGCGACGGAAGATCGGGCCTTCAAGAGTTAACCCATCTGTAAGAATTCCGGATTCAGAGGCGATAGCTCGAGCGGTGGCAAGACTCTCCCCAGTAACCAGTCGGACACTAATTCCTGCTTTTTGGGCGTCCATTACTGCATCTGTGATACCATCCCGCAGAGAATTAGATACAGATATAATCCCAATTAGTGTAGGGCCATGTAAGGAAGAGTCTTTATCGCTACTGATGCCGTGGATGGTTTCCAAACCGCTGATTGGCCAGTGAGTGAAATCCTTGTAAGCAATGCTGATTGTTGTAGACGACTGAGTGCTATACTGAGAAATTGCCTCAATATGAGCCTCTCGACGACCTTGCTGTAGGGGGGTCTGCTCAAACTCCTCATTGATTTCAGTCTCGCACCATCCAAGTACTGTGTCGGCAGCGCCGATGATGTAGAGTCGATACCCATTATTCCTCTTGACAACAGCCCCAGCATATTGCCTAGAGGGGCTGAATGCCATCCTGTGGACAGTTTCCACGTTGGACCTGACTTCTTCTAGGTTTTGCAGCCCGAGGTGAGCATCCGCAAACCGAAGCAATGCGACTTCTATTTTCGATCCGACAAAGGTATTTCCCATATGCGCGTCACTCTGATAGGCCGAGGAAGTAACAGATATAGCCTCAATCAAAGCTTGGCGAAGGGCAGGATTAATTTCTGGCTTCCATAGAGAGCGTCCAGCCGATGAGTTTATTTTATATAGCTCCGTAGAACTAAAACGACCGCCAACAACAGTTGCCTCATGGCTTGTCTAAGTTAATATTAGTACAAGGACGACCGTAAATCTGGATTGTGTATATACCAATGTTCCTGCTATGTTCAAACAGATAGTGGTGACGTTGCCTACTGTCTCACATGACTGTTGCGGTTTCATCAAAATGCCATCATTCCACATCTTGGAATATATAAAAGCTAAGGGAAACTTGGAGAGAAAATTTCCCAAACTAGCACTCGCGACAACTAGAGATATTAGAAGAATGCTCACAAAAGCGGTTGCTTTGTCCAGGGACGACCCGGAATTATGTGGAAGAATAATAAGAAAGCGGACAAAGAGGGTTGTGAACAAAATGAGTGCACTGAAGGACCCAAATTTTGTTACGCGAGTTATAAGCTTTCGTAGATGGGGTTCGAAAGGGCTCTGGAATTCGGAAGGGCGACAACACATGAGTATTTTACCCAGGCCGCTGTGGATCCCCACGGATGTGCAGATATACTTTCCACTGCCTGCATTAATGTAAGTTAGTTGATTTATTTTGCAGATTATGATGTCAATTTGAACTGGCCTTCTATAATTTTGGCTCCGGATAAAATGAAGGGGTCCTGCTGGCGATATTGACCTGATTTCAAGGCCTCCATCACCATTTGACCGCTCGATTTCCGAATCATATCAGATTCTCCAGTTGCCGAAGACTCGTCACATTTCAGACCAAAGCTCTCGACACAAATGCCATCCACAGGTACAATATCACCTGGTTGGAGGAGGAGAATATCACCCACCACCACATCAGAGCTCGCGATCGTGGCGGTTCGGCCTGACCTCATGACTCTGACATCGGAAGTATTGATGTACTTTCGAAGTTTCAAGAATACTTTATCAGTATACCGGCCACAGAGCCAGTCGATCGCGAGATTGAGCATTATGGTTGCGCACACCACGGTCATCTCCGCCCAACGAACCGAGAAACCTCTCCTGGAGATATCGTCATCGATTACAGTCTGATACACCCCCAGCACTAGAGCAATAATGGCTGGAACGGACAGCATAGCCCAACTTCTCCTGTTTTTTGTATGTGTGAAGTACCACCACGGCGGAGTCTTGTTGCGGGGAAGAACATTGCTCTTGAACACGCGGATACGATCTTCAAAAGGTTGTGCTGAGCTGATATATGCGCGACTTGCAGAACTGCGCTGCTCCGCCTTAGGGGTGGTAGCTTCGTCGAAGCTGACAGTCCCTAGGACTGTGGTTTCGTCAACACTCAGTCCTGCCGTTGTGTCCGACTGCAGCCCACAAACAATCCCATCAAGGCCGCCTAGAGTGGAAAATACATTGAGTGATTTTGGGTACATTAGCATATTAAGCTGTCCCGGGGAGAAGGCGAATGGGTTATTGTCTACGCGGAAGTCACCCTCCAGGCCTGCCTCCGGCGTTATGACGAAAGCTGGGTCGAGACCGGGCTTCTCAACTCTGGAATCGTATGAATCGGCCCTACGGGTGTGGAATGATGATTCCCTGTGGGTACCCGCAGAAGTAAAACTCAAGACGCTGGATTGATCTATGGTGAGCCTGCGTGATGGCTTCAACCCATTTTCGTTGGAAGCAGTGTGTCCAGAGCGAGGGGAGACTGGTACTACAAGACTGACGTCTTGTTTATCTCCCAATAAAGGGATCCATGAATCAAGCTCAAAGTTGGTCGCACACTCGTAGAGGCAAAAGCCTTTCGGGAAATCTTCCCTGAGGGCAACCACGCGTGTCCAGGTGTTTTGGTCCAATAAGCGTGTTATCACTGGGCTCGGGTCCATCTTCGCTGATTGAGCTTCTATCGCATGACTAAATAGCTCCAGAATGGCGTAGGATAACAACGCAGGGAAGTCTTCTAGCATCTGAGACTTTCCAGATATAGAACTGGACATGGCGGAGTGGTACACAGACGCTGAGGGTGACGCATCTTCGATAGCCGCCTGGCTTACTTCGAGCCATCGGGTGATATCAGGCTCTCCGTCGGGTTCACTAGAGGCGACGAGTGCTTCTAATACAGGCTTGCCATTGGATGCTTCGTTATCGAGATCCCCCTGAGCTGAATACTCGGCGCCAGGATAGCTGATCTTCGGGGCTGGGTTCGCTGGGCGGGATTGGTGCGTTGCTTGTGTTCTCTTTGTAGCTTCGACTCGGCCTTCTTTGGCTCGTGCTCTAGCTTGAATCAAAGCATCGAGCTCCATAATGTTGAGGTAGTCAAGGCACGAGTGCATGATAGATAGATGTCCGTCTCCAATCAGATTGAGATCCAGTCTGTGGTCCAAGACGTTGAAACCTTGTCCTAGCAAGAAGAACTCTCTCACTGATTCGTGTATGACTTGAACAACGCGGGTATCTCCAGCTTCAAGGCTAAGTGAGCCTGCCCTAGCGAGAACGGAAGTATCGGATGTTCTGTCCTGTGCGTCATCCGGCCGGTCCCTTTTAATCTCTAATAGCCCTTTCGACATGCTCCTCACCCATCGCTCGAGTTGATCGCCATTTTCAACACAGTTGTCTGACGCCCGCCACTCGGCTAAAGATAACGGCGCCGGCTGTTGAATGAAAGCAAGAACGTGGTACCATTCATATATCCGCAGTGGCCTTTTAGCCAAGACCCCCCATTGGAAGAGCCGTAGCGTCAATTGCCTTGTATCTGGCTCAACAGACGATAACATTTGCTTGAACAACTCTTGGAGGGCCTGTGGCAAAATATTTACTTCTTTGAGCAAAGATCGAATGTTTTTACCTTCATCCCATTTCCGCAGAACCTCCTCAACAACAAGGACTGCCCAGAGAAAGATGCCAGCCGATTTTTCTAGAATACGATCTCTCAGGGTTGCCCATTGATCTGCATCTGCCGCTATCCCGAGCTGGAATTTCTGTTCCACGAATATGGTGATGTCGTCTTGGTTGTGGTCTTCAATGACTATCTCGGGGCAATTGCTCAGAGTGATGGAAGGGAAGTGTCTGCTAGAAATGCATACATTGAGGCTGACCCCGTTCTCGCGTGCTGTCATTGTTGCGTCGCGCCAAAAGTAGGCCTGCTGCCGCACACTATCTGCGTGGCACTCGTCGAGGGCATCAATAAAAATGAACAAGCTCTTGGACCCAGGTTGAGTAAACGCCAAGTAGAAGAACGACTGAAAGTCCTCTTCATCCCAGACGGTAGTGTACGTTAAACCCTCTTGATCTCTAGCTGCGCCCTTCTCTCTCGCAATTGAGCAAAATTGACTGAGGCTTTCGCGATCCCTTAATAATAATTGGTACAGCAATGACTTCCAGGAACCCACAGCTGAGCGTTCAAGCTCCGTCCCTTTGGCGCTGAAGAAAAAGCCCGCCGTTAAGACATCGGAATTCATATTCCCATGATTTGTTCGTTGAAAAGCCTCCTTCATCAGGATGGATTTACCTGTTCCTGGCTTTCCTTTGACCCAAAGGAGACCGTTGTGTTTGTCCTGGTCCCTCTGATTTAGCCAATCTTGGTATAGATGATGATCAAATAGCCATAAACATGTTTTACCCGCCGGTCTTCCGATTCCGTGATATCTGGCATGAAGGCCTGGAGACCATAGCCACTGGAGTGCTCTGGTCTCCTCATCGCTTAGATGATCATCTCCGGGCAGTTGCATCCTTTGAATTGAGGGAAGGTCCTGGAATTGGGGCTGTACAAGCTGCTTGTGGTTTTCCTCATGGGCTGTCTTCTCCCGTAGTTTCTGAATCGAGATGTATATCGAACGGAACTCTCCAGCGACTTTCCGGTAGTTCGGATCCTTATCACCAGAAAAACGGCATAGCTCGTTATGATTTGCCTGCAATGTCTCAGCACGCTCACGATGGTCTCCTAAGGTAGAAGAGTAGTCTGGGACGATCTTGGTAGTCAGAGCACCGAGGCCTAGCTTTACCACTGGAAGCCCTTCCTGGAATGTCTTGACCTGAAAGTCATATTCTTGCCAGATTGCTGAGAAGGACTCCTGGGCGCGTTCCAAATCGGTTGTTTTCAGGCCTAGAGTATCGAGAAGGGCAGGACTCGTATCGATCCCGAGTGTGCTGGCGATCGACCGTACGTATTCACCAAGGGCCGCAAGATCTGGACTTCCGCGATGGGGTGTACCAAGGAACATGACTGCAGCGGTAGACTTGACAACATCCTTGAGTGCCAAATCCGAGGAAATCGACGACCGAGCAAGTGCCTCGATGAGCGGTTAGCGATTGAGTAAACCAAACACAGAATGGGACACGCCTCACCTCTTTGACGACAATTCCCCCAAGACTATGAGCCACAAATACCAGGGGGCGACCAACAAGTCTCTCTCTAATTAGGGAGAATAGAAGATCCTTGCCATGAGCAAGTAAGGAGCCCTTGTTTGCCGGGCCAGACAAGTATTTCGTAATCTTGGAATCGTACCCAAATACGAGAATTCTCGCATCCGGGCATTCACTTGGCAGTAGATCTTGAGGCCAAAAGATGGGCTCCGATTCAGAATCAACACCACCCAATGTGTCTTTGAGTACTGGCTTCTCATTATCATCCACAGGCGTGCTCTTGGCTGACTTCCAGCTCAGCTTGCGCAGCCCGCTCTGGCGCCCATCCCCTTGGACCTCTGGGGAGGTTTGCAGAGATTTTGTCGTGCTACTCGGCTTTTTCAACCACGACTTGTATGGATGGCCATGCAAGCCGTGAACAATTACGACACTGTAAAGCAGCGATCAATATCTGGCCTGCAGGGTGCAAATGAGGGATTTGATGCGGGGAACACAGCACATACTCGACAATCGGCACTCTGCCTGGGGGCTCGTAGACCACGGAGATACCCGTATCAAGGATTTCCTTTCTCATTGTTTCATCTTTAGACCAATCTTATGCAGCTGACGAATTGAGAGCAGACTTTCTGGAAATGAGATGAGAGAAAAAGAAGTGAGGCTGAGCGACTGACCGCCCCTCTCGACTCTTGACATTGGCCAAGTGCAGGTCAGCTGACAAGCCACCAATTGAAATGGCTGCGTAAAGTGCACTTTACTTTTTGGTGATCAGCCAGTTTTGAAATATAAATGACGATAATGGCTCTATACCAGAAGGGTCACGTGCGCCACCATCACTCATTCTTCCAAGGACACAATATCCTCCATAGAAGTTTTTATTACTTAGTAACTTGACAAAGGAAGCCTTTGAGGAAAAAAGTGTTCCTAGGAGAATTGACTTATATTGTAAGAAACAAAAGCCTACCATGATGCCTGTCATATGAATAAGGTATTGGCCGGACATCATGGTCTCGTTGGTTCTTGCTATCTTGCTAGACCTATGTCATGTGATGGTGTGCCCGGATCAAGCCAGTCTTCGAGTTGTTAAATATTTGGATTTTAAGGCTTATCCATGCCTCTGTGTATGGGCTAATCAAGATGCATCTTCATGAAGCTGTAGCTGTCACTCATAGTTTTTCCAAGGCAAGATGACAACTACCGGAGAGAGTTTTGATAGAAAGTTAAAACAAAAGAAGAAGTCAGACCCAACAACTCAACACAATGAATAAGGATGACAACTACATCATCCCAGATACCTTGTGGCACGGTTATCCATAGAATCTTGGCATTAGGCGGCACCGCTACCAAAATTGAACAGGAAAGCTGCGGTTGGGCAGAGGTCCCAAATCCCATCCTCATGATGGGACGGAAGACGTGAAATAGCGTCATCCAATGCCTGGGAGTACGGGGACCTGCCGCTTTGGAAGTTATCCTGGATGCGGTTCAGAGAATCACAGTCTTGATAGATTCCTAGATGGCTAAATCAAATAACGCACTCTGACGGCTTGGAACAGCAAGTGCGGGGATTGTGGTATGAGCCAGGGTAGTAAGGCCAAATGAGAGCCACGAAAGCAGGTTGATCAACTGATAAAGCAAAGTAAAAATTCCAGAGGAGCATATCCTGTATATGTTGTGCGATGCCGTGGGCGTGAACGTGTTGTTGATGACCGCAATGAGGGATGAGACGCCAGCGACAACTTTTTCACACTTCAATATTGGTTCTGGGCAACAAATTCCTCGAAGTCTGCATCGAAGCTTGCAAGGGAATTGACATACTACCGAAGCCATTTTCAGACTATTCTGGCCGACGACTGTTACGCGAGGACGGGTCTCTGTATTAGTGGTGTTGTTGTGCTTGATTGGACAAGAAGATGAGAGCGAGTGACGGCAGAGGTGCGTCAGGGCATTAGAGTGCGTTGATCCCCCGCCTTTGGTTGGCAATGACGGCTGAATCACGAGTTCGGGTATCTATATTGGGACAGCCGCAAATTATCTGCAGTGTATCCAGGCATGCAACGTTACCATGGCTATAATAATCATGTCATGCATGTTGACGCCCGAGCTGCGGCTAGATACTATCATCAGTCAAGCTTGTCCGGCAGCCATCAGTATCTAACGTTGTCTCCTGGAATCGACTTCATCTAGTCCTATATCGGAAGTTCTCTTTTATCGACCTCTTCGTCTAGCCCAAAGGTATGGGGGTTCTTACGCGACTCGGCCTTCGTCGTAGCAGCATCTGGGAGCCGTACACTATTCTGGACTATCTGATATCGTCGCCGTTGATTTACTTGAGCATAAAGTTCTACTACTTCATTCTCTTCCTTCGAGCATGCCCTGTCCATCCTCCCAAGGATAAGCCTGCTGTCCGTCTCGTCTGCATCGCTGACACCCATAGCCAAACCGTGGCAGTCCCGGATGGCGATATCCTGATCCACGCAGGAGACATCACGCATGCCGGAACGGTTGCCGAGCTCAACACTCAATTCGACTGGCTCCGTTCCCAACCACATCCCGTCAAGATCGTCATCGCTGGGAATCATGACTACTGGTTCGATCCGGCCAGCCGCCCTGCTGAAGATGTTACCTCGGGCCAAGTCCCAGACTTGACAGGTCTAATATACCTTGAGAATAGCTCGACCTTGCAGAAAGTCAAGGGGCGCAAGCTTCATATTTATGGTGCCCCGTATATGCCAAAGGTTGATGGCTACAGGTTTGCGTATGCAATTCAAAAATATTACCAACTTTAGCCGAGGCTAACAATCTGGGCGTGTCTTTCAAGGTTCGAGTATACTGAAGCCACACAACCTTGGTTAAATAAAGTCCCGATGGAGACGGATATCCTCGTCACTCACTGTCCTCCGGTAGAGTACCTGAGTTCTCCATCTTTGTGTCGCTTGCTGATCCACATCCAGCAACACCACCGTGATCTCTATCAGGGATGCCCGAACCTTCTCCTCGAGGTGTGGCGTGTCAAGCCCTTGGTTCATGTTTTCGGCCATGCGCACTGGTGTCACGGAACTGAAGCTATCTTTTTTGACAATTTTCAGGAGACATACGAGCGCTTACTCTCTCGTCCCCGTCGCGGACTAATAAGGGACTTCATCCCTAGCCAGAAATGGCTTGATGTCCTCATTCTGGTGTTCTACGGTATCTACGGCGTTTTGTTGTCGTGGCTACGAACCGGTGCTGATGGTATTCGGGGTAGTATGATGGTCAATGCCGCACAGGTACATGGGAATACCGGCAAGGTTAGAGATAGAGCCATTGTAGTGGAAATCTAGCATGAGCTATCGCAAGGTCGCATTGGGTTGTTGGTGTAATGCTGCTTTGGCCTGCGCAGAGATGAAATTATGTACGTACATGACCTCAGTAATCTGGGAGATGATGCCCTACTTGGCCGTGGGCTTAGGTACCATTTACTATAACGCGGGTAACGTTTGCTCTCAGTGGCTCTCAGTGGTTGAAAGTTTACTGCCACATTGGGGCGCTTGCTGTCAGACGGTTCAGGCGGCCAGTAGCATCATAGATGGAGGCTCGGAAGTAAAAATGCCTCAACAAGCAAGCTACACAACACATTGCGAACTGAGCCATCAGCTTGATTCATTGAAAGATCAGGAACAACACTCAAAGTACCTCATGTCATAGCTTATTTGACTTAGCTAGCTATTGTTCATGATTATTGATCATCGGTTAGCCAAAATCCTCTGTCACGACGTTAGGTAGTATTTACAAAGAGAATATTGGAATGGAACCCGACAACCGACAAGATGATCGCTGCACGATGATCTCTCCTGGTGGTATAAAAACCGTTGCAATCATCGGCGCCGGGCTGAGCGGGCTAGTCTCGGCCGTGCATTTGCTCCGCGCAGGCATCAACATCACCATCTTCGAACGAGCAAACCATGTGGGCGGAGCCTGGAAATATAGCCCACAACCGGATCGGGATCCACCGTTTCCTAGCGTTCGACCACCGACTCCGGACTGGGCCGAGGTGGAACGGCTGCAGGGAGAAGGGCTGAGTTACGAGGAGGCGGCGTTGCGGTTCGCTCCGCCAGGCCCGGTGTATACGAACATGAAGAGCAGAGGCAACAAAGTGGCCATGCGGACCTCCTTGGCGAACTGGCCTGACGGAAGCGGGGATCCTCTGGATCATAGCGAAGTGCTAGAGTATCTCCAGGATGTTGCTCTCACTCACCGTGTGCAAGACAAGATTCGTTTCCACACGCGGGTGGAAGCGATGTCAAAGGAGGAAGGTACTGGTCACTGGCAAATCCGGACTTCTAGACTCGCTACGACAACAACGAGCTACAAGGTGGAGAGGGAGACGTGGACGTTCGATGCTGTTGTCGTGGCTACAGGAAGATACGGCGTCCCTCGCGTCCCTGATGTGCCTGGACTATCAACCTGGAAGCGCATGTTCCCAGACCGGCTGATGCACGCCAAACAGTACCGCACGCCAACATCCTTCCGCGGCAAGAGGGTTCTTATAATAGGGGCTTTTATCTCCGCACTCGAGATAGCCAAGGAGTTGACCGACAACGGTGCCATGGTGTACCAGAGTGCAACCGATACTAGGGTCGACTTCAGGGACAAAGCAGATCATGAAAATGCCGTCAAAGTGGCCATGGTAACCGAATTCGTCGTGTTCGCGCAGAACCGAGATGGACACAGCTCAGGTCCAAAGCTGCTCGACGACGATCAGCCTATTCCAGGGCAGGTAGTCCTCCAAGACAGGCAAGTACTTGAGGACATCCACCATGTCATAATAGCAACCGGCTACCTGACCACTTACCCTTTCCTTGGCCCTGTTCTTGAGCAGCCATTCACATCACTCGAAGAGGCAGACGACAAGGTGGTTACAGCCGGCGATGCTAGAACCGTGCATAATTTGCACGAGGATATCTTTTACATCCCTGATCCAACTCTGGCGTTCATAGGTGTCACACAATTCGCCTCTACGTTCTCGCTCTACGATTTCCAGGCCCAGGTTGTCACGTGACCCTCTGTAGGGTACCTATAATACCCTACCACTAGCTAGCCTTTGTATTCTCTTCTTTTCCTCTTCAATTAATTAAATATTATATAAACCCTATAAATAAAGCTCTGCTTTACTATATATAGCCTAATCTTACTAGAGTATATTAATAATAATTTATATATTACTTATTCCCTTTACTACTACTTAGTTTATTATATAATAGTAATTCTTATATTTCTTTCTATTATTTTTTAACTACTAACTATATAAATATAAAGTAATATACCCTTTACTATCTGTAAACTTATATATATATAAGTCTATAGCTAAAACTTCGGAATAATTAATACTATTATATCTAAGAGAACTTACTATTAAAAGGATATAAGAATAATAAATTATAATTAATATAAAGAAAACCCCTATTAGATATAGAACTATTTTATACTATATAAAGCTATATAGTTTTTTAAACCTACTAAGTAATTAGCTCTTTATTATAAAGGAGTTAGGAGAAAGAACTATAAGTTCTATCTTTATATTATAACTAACTATAGTAAGAAGATTACTAATAAAAACTAAATTTTAATTTTAATATAATTATATTAATCTTACCTCTATAATACTCTAGCTCCTATCCTAATTACTAAACCTGCTTTTTAAAATAAGTCTTTTACTATAAAAGTAACTATTAAAAAAACCTTAAACTATTTTAAACTACTAAGAGTTATCCTACTTTTATTTTAAAACTAGATTATACTAATCTAGATTAGAAAGCTTATATAAAGCTTAATTATTTAAAGAGAAATATATAGAAAATAAGTAAAAGAAGAGCTAGTATTTACTAGAAAGAGAACTAGATAGTTAATTCTTACCCTATAAATAACTTATATTAGAAATTAAGATAATTACCCCCTTAAGAGTTAAAGTAGCTACTCTAGATCCTTAAATTTCTACTAATTCTCCTCTCTCTATATTATCTAAATTCTCTTCTAATTACTCTCTTCCTACTTTATACTATTTAAATCTACTAATTTTATCTATCTCTTATCTCTATATTATAACTTAGTTTAAATTACTAGAACTAATTAATCTATCTGGTTTTTTATTAGAATCTTCTCTATAACTATCTTAGAATTATCCTAGTTATCTAATATTTACTACTAAGAAATCTAGAATAATCTTTAAGATTATTACTCTGAGTAAGTATATACCCTTATTCTTATAATAATTATCTATAATTCTAAAATAATTATCTATATCTTTATTATCTAAGAACTTATTCTATTTACTTCTAGAGGAACCTTAAGTATAATCTAAAAGTCTATTACTAGAAGATTATTCCTTACTATTTCCTGAAAATTATTATATATCTTATTACTATAACCCTTCTACTATTAAATAGTAGAGGCCTTCTACTATTAAACTATAAAGAGAACCTCTTCTAGTAATTCTATCTTACTCTATATACTTATTAATTCCCTTAGTAGAAAGTAATTAAGAAGATAAGTATCTCTATTCTACTTCTTCTATTTAAAGAGAATTATAACTCTAAGAAGTACCTATCTAAGTAAATAGTAATATAGACTAAGGATAAGAAAACCTAATAGGAAGACCTAGTAGATAATAGCTATTATTACCTCTTATAAATCCTATTTATACTAGATAGTAATATTTAGAGGATACTATAATAATTAATATACTAATTAAAGAAATTAAATAAGATAGGAATCTATAGTTAGTAAATATTATAAACTCTAAGGTCTGAGGAATAGTATATATAATATTATAAGGAGTTAGCTAATTAATATAAAGCTTAATTAAGGCCTAATATCTTTAAATAGCCTTATAGATAGCTTTAAATACTACTACTCTAACTAAGATTATATAAAGATTCTCTTAATAAGATTCTATTAATATATCTAGCCCTGCTTATCTAACTACTAGTAGATTAGTTAAAGAATCTAGACTTAATTAAGCTAGAAGTAACTACTTTTAATATAATAATTCTTATTTATATCTCTATACTAATAGAAATTTTAATCCTTAGAGATAAATTACTAAGTATAAACCCCTGATTAAAGATCTATACTCTAATTATACTTAATATAGATAAGATTATTATTATAATTATCCCTAAGATAATTATTATAATTATTCTAGAGATAATTATTATAATTATTCCTAATATTATAAACCTTATTCTAGATATTATAATAATAATAATTCTAAGGGAAACTTTAGTAGAGAAATTAACTCTTCCTTATAAGATTATTACTATTAATATAACTAATAGAGAGTTAAGTAATATAATAACTTTAATTTAAGAGGTTATAATAATAAGTTCCCTAGTAATCGCTTTAACTAACTAGTAGACTCTTCTATATATAATATATACTATAAGTATAGCTAGTATAAATAGGATTATTATAGATCTTTAGGGAGAAGGGATTACTTAAGAGATAATTAGAATAAGGAATAATATACTGATTTATATAGAGATAAGCCTAAAAGTTATAGTATTAAGATTAAAATTCTTATCTTAGATACTTTAAAGACCCTGATCTCTGCTTATATTAGTTAAATTAACTAGCTTATTAAGATATATAGAAAAGAGGAAGTACTATATATAATTATCCTTAGTATTCTAATTAAGCTGGAATTAGATAGATACTAATAGTTCTAATCTCTTACTTCTAATTAGAAGTAACTCCTTAGAATAAATATCTCTAAATAGAAGAGATCTCTATATTAAAGATTCTAATATAATTATAGAGCTATTATATAGAAAGCTAATAATCTGAAGTACTCTTTCTTAGATAAAAGTTAGATTAATCTTAAATTCTATATTAATTAGAAACTTATCTTATATAATAAAACTAGAGAAATAGATAAGAATACTAAAGCTTAATAATTAGTTATAGGTATTAATCTAATCCTAATAAACTTAGTTACTCTGAATACTAATATATCTATTAATAATATCTATAATTAACTTAGCTTATAAGAGTATATTATAAGATACTCTTATCTAGTCTCTATAGAGGAAATATATTATATAACTATAACTATAAATAACTGGAAATCTTATAATAGCTATTAGAATAGATACTAGAACTAGAATAGTTATTAGAATAATTAGAATTAATAAAATAATTCCAGTATATAGAACTATTATAAGAATCCTAATTAGAATAATCAGAATAATTCCTTAGCTAGAGATTAGAAGCCTAATAAGAATTATAAATCTTATAATAATTAGAAGCTATATAGAAATAAGTAATATAATAATTAAAAGTCTTATAGAAATAGATAAGCTTTTAATTAGTAAGATTTAAATTTAAATTAATAGATAGGAAAATCTATAACCCTCTTACTAGATTAGTATAAAGAGTTATTTAGAAAATCCTTAAGTAAACCAGTAAAAGCTTTTATTATTACTAGACTATTAAATAAGATAATTATATATAAATAGAAGGAAGATCTAATTAATATAGATAATAATATAGACCCTACCGGGAGCTCTACTAAGAATAGGATATTATTAAATAATCAGGGTAACTAGTAGCTAGAACTAGGTTATCCCTAGATTAAATACTAGATACTAATATTAATATACTAATTTTAAAACCTTAATAAAATTATTATTCTAATCTTATAAAGATATCTATATATACTAAAGGAAATATCTATACTTACTATATAGTTAGTAGGAATAAATATAGTTTTATTAATTATATATAACTTTATTTTATTTTATATTAAAATAGTATATTAGTAGAGATTCTTATAGATATATATACTGCTCTAAGTCTTATATTCAGAGCCTTCCTATAATACTATTAGCTAATAGTTACTAAATAATAGATAGATCTCTCTTTTCCTATAGATAGTATTAGTATAGGAGAACTATTAGTAATAATATAGGTAACTATAATAGTAATTTATTATACTATAAAGGATAAGATAGTATTCTTTCTAGTAGAATTTTAAATAGTAGATAAACTGAGTTATAATACTCTAATAGAAGTATTAGTACTTTAAAAGAATAGATTATATATTTAATAGGAATATAAAAATAAGAATAATTATCTAGTTATTAATAAAGATAAGAGGATCTCTATAATCTGTTTAAGTAGAAGATAGTCTGAAAAAGATATTAAGAGGGTATTTACTATATAAACTATAGAGGATTATTATATTACTTCTAATAGTAGCTTTAATATAAAAGTTTATACTAGTAAAAAGATAAGAGCTATTCCTATTTATACAGATAGTTACTATTTAGTTATAAAGCCTTTAACTAATTAGACTAAACTAGTCTATATTTCCCTTATAAATTTAATTATTACTAGTTAGAAAGTAAGATTACTACTAATAAACTTAGATAATACTCTATTATTTATCTATAAAGGAACTCTACTGGAATATTTATATCTAGTAGATATTATTAAAGATTCTAAAGTATTCTATATAAGTACTTCTATAAAACTTAGGAACTCTACTAATATATATTAAAAATCTATAATCCTACTCTCTAACCTTTTAGATAATATACTAGTTATTTAGGAACCTAAGAACTTAAAGATACTAGATAGATATCTCTATTATTTACTAAATACTGAACTACTACTTTAAGTATAATAAGTAGATATATCTAATTACTAGGGAGAGTCTGTAAAAGAATATATTATAGATATTATTACTAAATATATTAGCTTCTTTTATAAGGGTATTAGGTATTTTAATAATAGAGTAGAAATACTAATTAACTTCTATAGGGATATAGATATTTCTAATTTAGTCTAGTATCTATATAACTTATCCTTAAGAGATTATTAAGTAATAGATAATATACTATAACTACTCAGAGAGATAGAAGTAGTTAAACTAGTTCCTTTTAAAGAAGTCTACTTAGTATCTTCTTCAGTATTTATAGTTTAGAGAGATAATAAGCTAAGAGTAGTTATAGACTTATATAAAGTTAATATAAAAGTTATAGAATATATATACCTACTACTACTATAGGATAATATTCTTACTAGTATATAAAGTACTACTATATTTTCTATAGTAGACTTAATTAAGGGCTTCTTCTAATAAGGAATCTTATCTGAAGATAGATAGAAGACTATCTTTATTATACTATACAGAGGGTTAGAGTATTTAATAATTAGTACTATAGAACTACTTTCTAGTTTAGTTTTTTTCTAATAATATATAGATAATCTGTTTTATAAATACCTATAGGAATTTATACTAGTTTATATAAATAATATTATTATTTTCTCCCAGTCTATTAAGAAATATATTAAATATCTTAATATTTATCTAGGAATACTAGAGAGAGCAGGATATACTCTATTACTAGATAAGTACTATTTTATATAACCCAGTTTAAAGGTATTAGATTACTTTATTTTATAATTAGAATTAAGTACTCTAGAAGAAAAAATAAAAGTAATTAAGGACTTAGCTATATTATAAATACTAAAAGAACTAGAAACCAGACTAGGACTAATAGAATATTACTATAAGTTTATAGAATATTATATTACTATTAATAAACTATTAGTAAAGCTAAAAGTAATAGGATTTTATAAAATACTACTAAAGAACCTATAATAAGAAAAGTATATAAATAAGATCTAATTACTATCTGAAGAAGTTATAGATCTAGATAAGCTAGCTAAATTAGAGAGAGCTAGAGTTTAAAAGGAAAATAAGAAGAGATAAGAAATTTAGAAGAAAGTATATTATACTTAGGAGGAACTAAAAAGTAAGTTTATAAATATTATTAAACTTATTTTCCCAGATTTCTTAAAGCCTTTTAAACTCTATATTAATAGTAATAAAAAGAGAGGATTTAGAGTTATACTATATTAGAGATAAGATAGTATCCTATAACTAATTTTATTTTTATTAAAGATACTTAGTAATACTAAACTTAATTACTAAACTACTAAGTTAGAAACTAAAGTATTAATTTAGATATTATAAAAGCTTACCTACTATCTGGATTATATTCAGATTAATATTATTACTAATTATACTACTATCTGTAATACCTTTAATACTATAGGTTCTAATAAGCTAAAAGATAAATACTAACTAATTAATTAGAGATTTTACTTAGAAAAGTAGAAGAATTAAATTATAATTAAATATTAAGCTAGTAAATTATATATTAATATAGATACTCTCTCTAGAATAAAAATAATTATATTAGATAGTACTCCGGAAGAGATACTAGTAAAGATATAGATAATAACTTATTAATAAGTATATAAGATACTCTAAAGTTATTAAGATACTTACTAATAACTCTCTTAAATAGAAGTAGATAATAAAAACCTTAGATATAAATTTAACTAAATAATTACCTAATAAAGATATTAATTTATCTTTTAATTAGATCTAATTAATAAAGAAATTTTATATACTCTAGTAGAAGTAGATAATAAGTTATAGATAGTAATATAAAGATAAGCTTATTATATAGTAGAAGATAAGATTAAGAAACTAGTAGCTATATCTATAATTAAGCCTACTATTAGTAAAATACTCTTAATACTATCTTAAAATCTCTCTATAGATAAGCTATTAATAGAAACTAATTATACTATTAATAATATACTATTAATATTACCTTAGTATCTATCTATCTATTAGTTATAATCTTTAACTAATCTAATTATTAATAATATATTATTAATATCTCCCTTAGCTAGAAAACTAGATTATAAGGAATTAAGTATTCTAAACTTAACTGAAATATATATAACTTCTAGAGATAGTAATTTTACTTAAGGACTTTATCTATTATAAGAGTATATTAAGAAACTGCTTAATCTGTACCCTTAAGATCCTATATTTAGATATATCTATAATAGGATTTTAGAATAAAAGAGTAAGATAGGATTAAATACCCTACTAATATTTACTATTTATTCTAATATAGAACTACTATACTATAATAATAGAGAAAATATATAATTATATTTTCCTACTATAGAAATCCTAATAGTCTATAAAATAATATATAATAATTAAGCTTATATTAGAGGAGTATAGTAACTTTACTAATTTATAAGATAAGTTATATTCTTTTATAATATAAGATAAGTATTTATAGATTATATTACCTATTATTCTAAATATTAGAAGTTAAAACTATAATATAGTCTCCCCTATAGTAATATAATAGCTATTAAAATATCTAAATAACTATTAGACTCTCTTTACCTGGACTTTATATTAGGACTTTCTGAAGTAAGTAATAGAGCTAATTCTAATACTATTTTATTAATTATAAATAAGTTTATAAAATTTATCTATTATATTATTAGCTATACTAACTGGACTACTAAGGATTAGGCTAATATATATATATAGTAGGTTTACCTCTAATAGGGAATACCTCTAGTCTTTATATATAACCTTAATCTGTTACTAGTATCTAAACTATAGATAAATCTATATATAGTAGTAAATATAAAATACTATACTAGTATAGTATATTATTATTAGGCTAATAGATAAAGTAAATAATTAGTATAAACTCTGATAATTATACTAAGAGCTACTATAGAAGGATTATTTAGATAAGATAAATAGATATTAAGACTACTATATATAGTATTCTGCTTAAATAGTACTTATAGTTTATTAATAAATATATCTCTATATAAAGCTCTCTATAGTTACCTTTCTAGCTATTTCCTAAGCTCTACTAGTATTAAAAATCTATTAGGATTTAGAGAATAATAGAAAGTTATATAATAGGAAGTATAGGATTAAATTAAGCTTATAGAGGCTT